AATTTGAATGTAGTTGAATTTGCCTTGACTGCTCTCATACCATGTTGGGCTGAGAAAAGCCCTTAGGATCTTTTCAAGGCTAAACTCTGAGTAGAAGTTTTGTATTTGCGGAAGCGTTTAATGACAAGTGTTGAACCACCTTGCGCTAGTATGTGAGGGCAAGATAGATTGATTAAAGCAAGAAGATACAAGGGTTTTATAAGAATACAAGGAATATGAAATGATACAGTTAATAATCGTTTTATTGTTGCTGTTGCGGTTCGATACAGTGACGACTCGGGCAACTGCTCAATAGCGAGTCAGTTGTTTGTCCTTGCTCTCGCGCTGTACTTGTCAAGTCAAAGGTCGCTGACCTTTGACCTTCGCGTAACCTCCAGCAGTTGTTTTCTTTTGTCAACCTCCGAAGGTTGACTCGCCGTTGTTCCACTGTTTCGCTTCGTTTGTAATTCGGTGTTACGACACACGAGAAGCGTTTAATTAATTGTTTCCAACACTACATCTGGTACTTTATTAACATTGGTAGATGGGGCTTTGCACACACCGTATAGCTGTGATGTGAGTAATGAACATGTGTTAGACGTAGTTTGTGCCACGAATGCATAATTTCCATTGTAATCAGAGAATTGATGAGGGGAAAAGAATGTGCCTGTTGGGCTGAGAAAAGCCCTTAGGATCTTTGCAGGGCTGAACTTGATTAGAATATACAATGTAATAGCGGAAGCGTTTAATGAAGATTGTTGAACCACCTTGCGCTGGTATGTGAGGGCAAAGTAGATTGATTAAAACAAAGAGATACAAGCCTTTTATAAGAGTACAAGAAATATAGAAAGATATAGTTAAAAATTATTTTACTGTTGCTGTTGCGGTTCGATACAGTGACGACTCGGGCAACTGCTCTTTAACGAGTCAGTTGTTTGTCCTTGCTGTCGCGCTGTACTTGTCAGGTCAAAGGTCGCTGACCTTTGACTTTCGCGTAACCTCCAGCAACTGCTCAACCTCCGAGGGTTGACTCGCCGATGCTTCGTTATGTTTCGCTTCGCTTGTGACTTGGTGTTTCGACACGACAGAGGCGCTTAAATTAGTTGTTTCCAACACTCCCCTTCGCTTCTTGAGGTGTCGCTGCTGGTGACGTGGCCTTGTCCAGTCACCATCATGCAGTACTCGAACTTCTGCTTTCCGAGCTTCTTGGTCAAGTAGTCAGCTGCCATCTCGGACGTGGGGCAGTATGACAGCTCGAGTCTTCCCTTCTCGATCTCGTCCTTCACGAAGAAGTATCGCAGTGCGATGTATTTTGTCCTGTTCGCGAAGCCGTTCTTGTTGGCTATGCGAATTGCCGACTGATTGTCGCAGAACAGGGTGAAGCTGGGTAACTGAGCTAGCTTTGATTCCTCCAGGAGTTCGCGAAGGTACAATCCTTCCTTGGTGGCTGAGCAGAATGCTATATATTCTGCTTCAGCTAAGGAGAGGGCGATTAACTCCTGCTTGTTCGACTGCCAGGAGATAGGTCCGATAGGCTCGAGGCGGTAGACGTAGCCGGTGCGTGAGCGCCTATTGTCGGAGTCGCCGGCGTGATCAGCGTCGACGCAGCTGATTAGCTTGGGTGTTGACGTTCCGTTCTTATGATAGGTCAGGCCGATCGTCGGAGTGCTGACGAGGTAGTGAAGAGCGCGGTCGAGCTCCGCCATGTGTTCTGCTTCAGGTTTCTTGAGGTAGGTGGCGAGTTGACTTGCGGAGTACGATAGATCCGAACGGCAGGTAACGGCCGCGAAGAGAAGGCATCCCAGCTTTCTCTGGTAGTCGCGTATGTCGGCGGGCTTGAGAGGTGTGGATCTTTCTTTGTGATTTCCTGCCGTGTAGCGGTATGGTGTGGAGATGGTAGTCGGCGTGAGTGCGAAGCGTTTGGCGATAATGTCAGCGTATTTTGCGGCGCTAAGGTAGAACGCGTCCTCCTTTTCTTCCTGAATGTTGAGGCCGAGGTATTGCGTGACGGTGGACGAAACCGTGAGCGTGAGATCTTGCTGCAGCTCCCCTTCGAACCAGGTGGTGACGCTGTCGGTCGAGCCGATGTAAAGTAGGTCGTCTACGTAGACGATCAGCAGAATGTAAGTCAGTGCCTTTCGTGAGCCGGTACATGCCCTGGTCGTGCGGTAGCTGGCGGAATCCGATGCGGATGAGTCTAGCGTGCAGGTATTGTTGCCACAGCCTCGGGGCTTGTTTGATGCCATACAGGGACTTCAGCAATTGACATACTTGATTAGAGTCCGTGCTGGAGCCGTGCGGTAATTGGACAAAGATCTCTGCGTCGACAGGTGCGTAGAGAAAGGCGTTGGCGACGTCGATTTGCCGCAGTTTCTTCTTCTTCATGGCGGCGATCGCGAGAAGAATCCGCAGCGAAGTGTGTCGGCTGACCGGGGCGAATGTCTCGGTGAAGTCGCGTCCGTGTTCCTGGTCGAAGCCGCGTACGACCCAGCGCGCCTTAAATTTGTCGATGGTGCCGTCTGCCTTTATCTTCAAACGGAAGACCCATTTCCCGGTGAGTATTGTCTTGTTTCGTGCCACGCCAATGGGGGCGACTTTCCAAGTGTTGCGTTCCTCCAGTGCTTTCAGCTCCTTGTCCATGGCTTCGCGCCATTTTTCCCTATGTTCCCCCCCCAGAGCCTGCTGAACTGTGGCAGGCTCCTTAGGAATCGCCGTGCCGTGAACCGCGGTGACGAGACCAAGTATCTGAAGTCCACTCTGTGTGTAGCGGGGGAGTGTTGTGTCCTCGGGATAGACTACTTCGTCTCCCGCTTCTGGTGTTGGGTTGAAATTTGGTCCTATGCGTTCTGCTTCGTCGGTGTTGACCCGTGCAGGTGTAACGTAACCATTGTCGGCGAAGTGGTAGTAGGTTTCGGCGTTGACACTATCGCGTGGGTTCTCTTCGTCCATCGGAACATCGACTGAACAGTAAGGGAGAGGTCCGGCTTCCTCCGAGGCTCCTTCCACGTTCTGCTCATCCCAGTCAGCTTCATCTTCTGCCGAAGCGAAGGCTCGGGTGCCATGGAATCCGCGTGAGAGGTATGGGTTGTTTTCGTCCACGTTGGCAAGGTACGTTCGGAGGGTGAGGTTCTCGTAGAAGATGACATCACGTGCTGCCACTGTTTCCTTTGTCTCGACGTAAAAAATCTTCCATGCGTTGTAATGTTTTTCGATGCCCAGGTGTAATCCCCACTGTGCTCGTTGGGAAAATCGGTCGGCTCGTGCAGATGGGGGTCGGTACTGTACCATGCAGCCGAACACTCGCAACATTTTTGTGCTGCCCAATTTTCCTGTCCACAGCAGATGCGGTGATGCGTTGTTCGGGAGCGATGATGACGAGAGCAAGTTGTGCAGCATCACGGCGTGGTCCATTGCTTCGGGCCACTGGTGGTTGGGCAAGTGTATGCCACGTAGCAGCTTGCGCATGGTGTTCTGGAGTGTCCTGTTCATCCTTTCTGCTACGCCTTGCTGTTGATGGGCGTAGGGAAGGGAGATGAGCCGCTTGATTCCCCTTTCTGCCAAGTATTGCTTGAACCTCTGTGAGGTGTATTCTCCTCCTCCGTCAGACTGGAAGCTCTTAAGCTTTACGCCTGACTCTCGTTCTGCTACAGGGAGCCATGCGATGAAAGCCTCGAAAGCCATGTCCTTGCTCGGAAGGTTGAGATGCCAGACGTAGCGTGTTGCTGCGTCGATGAACGTGATGGTGTAGTTGTATGCGTTTTGCCCGGGTTCGCGATTGTAGAGTATATCGCTGTACACCTTTTCAAGAGGTGCGTATGCAGGTGCGCTTGGATTATGATGCGAGACGAACGGCTGGTGCGGTAAGTCAGCTTTTTTTTTTTTTTTTTTTTTTTGAATAGAAGGCGTTCCACGATATCAAGGATACAAGTGAAGAACAGCCACAGTCGTAACTGTTGCAAGAGGGGGGGACAGATGCACACGGTGTCATGAGTCACCCCCCTCACCGTCTACGGTGGCTTGAACCTAACTCTCCTATCCGTCCAGATGGACATGAAGTCATCTCGCCACATAAGCTTGTTACCAATCTGCGTGCTGACATTCTCTAAAGCCGTGATCTCGTCTCTCGCCAGGTGTTTCTTGGCCAAGCGTCGTTTTTTTGCCCAAGCCTTCTTCGTTTTGATGCCCTCGTAGGTCCGCGCATACAAGCAAAAAGCAGTCACAATCCTCCGCATCACCTTCCCGCACCGGATCTTCTTGCCTCTGAAGACAGCGTGGCACCGTGCCACCCATAATTGGTGGAATGTAATTGCTGACACCGTCAGCTCCGGGAAGCCGGAGGTCGTGCCCCCCCGTTGAAACATCAAATCCCCCAGCGACTTTATCCTCCTGGACGGGTTTAGCCAGCGGATGGCGCCAATCAGCGCCTGCACCACCGGCTGAATAACCCGACAGGAGAACAGCGCGTGATCTACTGTCTCCGCCTCCCCACAGTGCGGGCATTTCACCCGCTCCCCCAGGAATCTGAGGCGGTCCCCCACCTGCAAGTTGTAACAGTGCGCTCGCAACAGGACATCCCGAGCTTTTGTGGGGATCACATGCGAGTCCTTGCGCGCAATCGCTCTATCCCAGTTGATCCGCTTCCCCCAACTTCTCTCCCACTTCTTTCGACGGGGATGCTGCCCCACCTGCTCCTCCTCCAGTTCCTCTCTCAGCTGCCTCAGGGAGGCAACGCTGTCCCCCACACAGAGGTCTGTTCCCAGTAGCCTGACACGAGGATCGCCCAGCTCCCCGGCCACCCTCTCCCCCGCCATAGCAATCGGCGTGACTGTCTACACTGACAGCAGGCAGGTACTCGCTCCCTCTGGTACGAACCAAGACGCTCCGTCGTCCCGCCGCCGCATCCTTGCGCATCTTAACAAGCTGCCAACTCAGAGGGGAAGGATTGGTTGCTGTTGCTGGTGGACTTCAAGAAGGCCTTCGATTCTGTATCGAGGGTTTACCTGTTTGATGTGCTGAAGAGAATGGGGTTTCCGGATGAGTATGTGAAGTGGGTTGAGGGCCTGCACCACGGGGCGGCAACGCGCATCTGCAATGATGGGTGGCTCGGTGATGAAGTCCCGGTCCAGTCCGGGGTAAGGCAGGGCTGCCCTCTTGCGCCCTACCTGTTTCTCTGCGCGGTGGAGCCTCTTTGCCAGGAGGCGCAGAGAAGGCAGCTTGGCATGGACATAGGAGGGGCAGGGAAGCTGACATACCTGGGTTACGCGGATGATACCACCTTTCTACTGAAAGGGCGGGCACAGCTTGACGCAGCGGGGGAGCTGCTTCGTGACTTTGAACAGATGTCGCGGCTGGCGGCGAACTGTGACAAGACGGTGGTGATGCCTCTTGGGAAGCAGCGGGACGAGCAGCCGCCGGCGGCCTCCCCCTTCAAGTGGGCAGCGCGGGATGAACCTGAGCGCCTGCTAGGGGTGTGGATCACATCAAGTGGGGATGCGAAGCCGTCATGGAGAAAAGCACTGCGGAGGATGGAGACGGAGCTTAAAAAGTGGGAAGAGAAGTATCTTACCACGACGGCGCGGGTAGCGGTGATCAACGCGTACGTCATGCCCATCGCGCTTTTCCAAGCGCAGGTGTACCCCCCCCCCGGACGCCATTTGGGAGGAGCTTCGACGGCTCTGCCACGCCTTCGTGTCTGGTGGAAGAGCGAGTGCAGGGCCCGGTTTCATCCTGTGGAGTGCTGAACTGATGCAGATGAGGAGGAGCGACGGGGGGCTGGGGGTGATTAACATTCGCAATCGGCTTGACGCGAAGGCCCTTCACTCGGCGGGCGGGCTCCTGACAGAGGAGTCCTCTCTGAGGCGTTCCCTGGCGGAGATGGCGGCGCGTCTTCCCCTCGGTTACGCGTCATTCTACGCGCATGAGGCCCTGCTCAAAGCATGGGGGGGCGGGAGCGAGCGTTGGAAGGCGATAGCGGCGGTGGTGATGTCGTCTCCCATCGCCCAGGACCTGCCAAGCAACACCAGATGGGATGTGGAGAAGGAGCGGGTGGTTTTCAACTGGCACATCCTGCGGGGCAAAAGCTGCCCTTTCGGAAGGAGGAAGGAGGACGAATGCCTGCGCGACATCACCGTGGGAGACTTGGTGATGAAGTGGGTGGATGGCACCCGAAGTCCCAAGTCGCCGGAGCAGCTTGCGCGCTTGCTGGGCAGTAAGGAAGCGGCGGCGCTAGCAGCGACGGTTTTTTAAGCAGTACCGGACGAGTGGAAGGCGCGGGTCCTGAAAACGCTCGATGCGGGTGAGATTCATGAAGCAACCAGGGTGGTTCGCATGGCGGGCCACAGGGAGCAGCTGTGCTGGATAACGGTAAGTCAGCTTCTGGACAGCTGAAGCACGTTCCGCGGACTCGCTGGAGTTCTCTGAGGTTAGTCAGAAGTAGTGGATCTTTGTCGAGCACGCCTGCTCTTATTGTGTTGTTGAACACCGTGTTGCTTGATGGAAAGCGCGCGAATCTGGAGAGCGTAACAAGAGATTAAGTCCGCCGACTTCGGCGAACCATTGCGTGCAGCTCACGTAACCTAAAAATATGAGCAGGTACGCGTTGGAACGGTCTTAATCTCTACTTGCCAGAATGGTAAAACACGTCGTAAACCAAGATCTAGGCCGATCGCTATCGCGATTTAAGTGCGACGGGGTATCCTGGCAGAATAACTTGGCAGCCATGGATTAGATCAAGAAAGTAGCTTAAGCAAGAAATGAGATCTGAAAAGTGACGAGTTGGTCAAACCCTACCAACCCAACCCTCGCCCTACAACAATCCCCAACAACCCAAAGTGCCAAGCTAGCAACACCTAAGGAGTTGTAGTGAATAGCAAAGGTTTGTTGGTGCTTGTTGGGTGCGAGATCAATTCCAGCCTGCAACAAGTTTAGCAAGCACATTTTGCCCAAACCCTTAGCCCACAACCAGCTAGAGAAAAATACCACAACCACCTACACAATCAACACTCCCCCTTGCTCGTGCTGGAGGTGGCTGAACACCACTGGGCAAAATCCTTCACTCCACTCCCCCTTGCCCAGGGAGGGGCGCCATCCACAGCATGATGTCGTCAAGGCAGAGAAGCACCAGCCCTCCCACATCCTGCTCAGGCACCATGCCAACATGGGGCTGCATCCCCAGCAATGTCATGCACACACCATGTCTCTCAAAGGGAAGGAAGATGAGCCATAAGGCAGAAATCAAGCCCAACCTTACCCCCATCAGCATCCACAAGCATGCAGTCCTCCCAATCATGTCCCTCATGATCATGCATGCAAGCATACTGTGCACTTGGTGTGAACCTTTCAGGTGGCCGGGAGATGTGTATGGTGCGGCGCAGAGGTGATGCCTCCCCCTGCTCCAAACTTTGCAGCTTCTCCTTCCAAGTCACTCTCTTCATGGGGGACCGTGGTGACTTGGATAGCTGCTGCTGCAGTAGTCGCTGCTACCTACCCACAGGAACAGGCGGTGTATGCTGCTGCGGTGGCTGCTGCGGCTGCTCTTGAGGCTGCTGCGGGTCATGGGCTGGTTCGTTAGGCTCAGGAGTGGAACCAGCAGTTGGGGAATCCTCATGGTGAGGTGCAGCTGCCTTGTGTTCCTCCTGCTGCTCCTCTACCTCCTCTCCAGGGTCCTCCCATGTCCCCTCAAAAATGGAAGAGGTGTAGGGATCCTGGAGGGAGCTCCCAACTGTACTAGTGCCATGCTCCTTCCACCCCTTGTAGCTCAGCCCCTCATGGAAAACCACATCCCGGCTTTCCACCACCCGCTGATCCACCACAATCTACAACATCCAGGCGTTGCTCCTCTCCGACACCCCAAGGAAAATGCCCCATTGTGCCTTGGGATCCAGCTTCCTCCGTTGCTGGTCGGGCACTTTGTACTGCGCCATGCACCCCCACACTCGTGCCATGGACACACTAGGCACCTTCCTGGTCCACATGAAGTATGGGCTCTTGCCCCCTAGCCCCTTGCTGCCCATCCGGTTCTTAACCCAGTTGGCATATTGCACTGCTGCCCCCCACCAAGTATGGTCCAGCTGCGCATGAGCAAGCATGGCTCGGGCAAGGTCAATGAGGGTCCGGTTTAGCCTCTCCGTTGCCCCATTTTGCTGCGGCGTGTAGGCAACTGAAAGCTGGTGGGTAATTGTCTTGTCTTCAAGGAAAGACTCCAGATCCTTCCCCATGTACTCCCCACCCCGATCAGACCGTAGTATTTTCACCTTGGCCCCGGCTTCCCTCTCTGCATAGCGTATCCAACGCTTGAAGACCTTGGCCACCTCATCCTTGGTTTTCGCCTAGGTAACCCAACTTAGGCGGCTGAAGTCATCCAAGAAGGTGATGAAGTATTTGCTGCCCTTCTCCCTATCCGGTGTTTGCATGGGGCCACACACATCCGTGTGCACCAACTCAAGAGGTGCGGAGGCTCTAGTGGTGGAGGTAGGGAAAGAGGTCCTTGGCAGCTTCCCGGTCGTGCAATCAGGGCACTTGCTTGGCTGCCCACCACCCTCCTTGATCTCCACACCCTTCAGCTCCCCCTTCTTCTTACACTCCACAAGTTGTTGTTTCCCCGCATGCCCCATGCGTAGGTGCAGCAAATCCGCCGTCACCTGCTCCACGACCTTCCAACGGGTGCTGCAAGCTGCATCTTTGGCTTCAACCCCATGTGCCTTCTCCACTTGAGGCACACACACTGGAACAAGGTACAGTCCCTTCTCTAACTTGGCCTCCATCACCACAGCTCCACCCTGGCGAACCGTGCACCCTCCCATGGTGAAGGTGCATGCGTATCCTTGCCTAGCAAGCTGAGAGCATGAGAGGAGGTTGGCTGCCAATCCAGGAACATGAAGCACACCCTTCACATGTAGCACCTCCCCATCCTTCCCCTTAATGGTGATGGTGCCGATGCCGGTTGCTTGCAGCGTATCTCCGCTCCCCACGATCACATTTCTTGAGTTAGGTGGGAGGGAGTGGTAGGTGGTGAAGAGGTCACGCCGTGGTACCATTCCACAAGTGGCACCAGAGTCTAGAACGAGGTGATCGGGGTCAGCCAACACACGACCAGCAAGCGCCGTCTCCTTCTCCAAGGTAAGGAAGGAGAAACCGTCATCCGACGAGTCCTCCTTTCCCTTCCCACCATCATTTGCCGCTGCTGCCGCCGCTTTTCCTTTGCTGCCCTTCTTGTTCCAGGCTCCATTCTTCATCCTCTTCTCCACCCACTCAGGCCTAGTGACAGGTGGAGCCTCTCCTGGGTACCCTTGAGGCTTCCACCCATCTGGCCGGCTCCAACACTCCTTCCACGAGTGCTTCCGGTTGCATCCAGGGACGAGGCACTTGTCTATCACCTTCTTCTTCCCCCCACCTCCTTGCCGCTGCTGGTATTTCTTGGAGGCAGCCCTATCACCTGCCCCCATTCCCCCTTCAACTCCTCTACCAGCATCCCGTTTGCGAGCCTCATCAGAGACCAACACCTCCCATATCCAGGCCTTGGTCCATTTCTGCTGCTCAAGGTGAAGGTACTAAAGTAGGGCCTCGTTCGCCTCTTGGTCCAGCCCCTGGAGTGCAGTGTAGATGATCTCCTTGTCATCAACAATGTAGTTCAACTCCTCCAAGGCTCTCACATACTCATCCACCCTCTGGAGATACTGCACCATGGTCTCCCCATCACCATAGTTGCGTTCCATGGTGTAGAACCGCTTCCTCCAGGTGAGTATGCTTAGTAGCCCTTTCTACAAATGTCGATCTTGAACTTTTTTCCATGCTTGGGCAGCTGCTCCTTGCTTCCCCTTCAGGTCACTCAGCATCTTAAGGAGCTCTAATTGGCCTTCCAAGGCCCAACACAGGTACTGGAACGCTTGCTTGTCCTTGCGGTCCCATGCTTCCTGTGCCTCAAGTAGCTCCTCCGCACTTAGCCGTTGCCTTCCGGTTCGTGGTGCTGCTGATCCACCTCCACTTCCCTCACTTATAGATGAGCTAGAGGCTCCCCCAACCCCTTCTCCCACTTGGCTAGACACTTCAGCAGATGCCTTTCCTTCATCAGCTTCAGGTCTTCGCTCCGATCCCTCCAAAACGCCCTCTAGGTCTTTAATACCTAGCCAAAGCGTAAACTGGAACCGCCATAGCGAAAAATCCGAGCCGGTGAACCTAGGAGGGCCATCTAATAAATGGGGCCATGACCAACCCTAGATCTGGAGGTTCTTAAGCCAGTTCGAAATGTGATAATAGGAGGGAATATCGCAAGCCTAACCAGCTCTGATACCACTGATGGAAAGCGCGCGAATCTGGAGAGCATAACAAGAGATTAAGTCCGCCGACTTCGGCGAACCATTGCGTGCAGCTCACGTAACCTAAAAATATGAGCAGGTACGCGTTGGAAAGGTCTTAATCTCTACTTTCCAGAATGGTAAAGCACGTCTTCAACCAAGATCTAGGCCGATCGCTATCGCGATTTAAGTGCGACGGGGTATCCTGGCGGAATTACTTGGCAGCCATGGATTAGATCAAGAAAGTAGCTTAAGCAAGTAATGAGATCTGAAAAGTGACGAGTTGGTCAAACCCTACCAACCCAACCCTCGCCCTACAACAATCCCCAACAACCCAAAGTGCCAAACTAGCAACACCAAAGGTGTTGTAGTGAATAGCAAAGGTTTGTTGGTGCTTGTTGGGTGCGAGATCAATTCCAGCCCGCAACAAGTTTAGCAAACACATTTTGCCCAAACCCTTAGCCCACAACCAGCTAGAGCAAAATACCACAACCACCTACACAATCAACATTGCTTGGATGTCCCATTCGTGCGTGCCAGGTTCCTTCGATGGCGCGATGTCCGAGGGAGCGTCGATACAGGTCGGAGTTGGAATAGAAGCTGGCCGTGAAGTTGGCGCTTCGATAAACTTCTCGTTGAGTCGGGTTTAGCTGCTGCGCGGGAGTTGGTGGTGTGTCGTTGGTGAAGATCGGTGCCGTTGAAGGACCAGCGCGACTGGTGTTGATGTTGTTGCTGCTGCTGTCGTTGTTGTTTCTGCTGCTGCCGATGTTGTTTCTGCTGCTGCCGATGTTATTTCTGCTGCTGCCGATTGTTGAATCGTTGCTAATGCTCTTGTTCGTTCTGTCTCGGGTATGGTATGTAAATACCAGAAGCCTCCAGGACTGAAGTCTGGGTCAAGATCTGGAGGGTGTGTCCAGTTGGTGAAGTTGACGATGGCGTCGCTGTCGGCGGTGCCTAGGTCGGGAACGAAGTCCAGGACGAAGACGTTGTTCTTCAGCACGGCCTTGCCGATGTAGAGACCTCCTTTCCCATGGTACAACTTGAACTCCTGTGTTGTGCTGTCTGCTTCGAGGTGGATGAATACCCTTCGCCATCAACTGGCTGACGCTCAGTAAGTTGTAGCCGAGGCCTTCTGCTATTAAAACCTTTGACATCTGCAGTATGACGTTTGTCTCCCGTGACTGAAGTTGAACCACACCTTGTCGTCGTGTGCGCAGGTTCTGGTTGTTCGCGACCGTGATGACGACTTCCTGTTGAAGTTGGTATTCCCGTTGAACGAAGCTAACCGAAGAGCACATGTGCTGTCCGCAGCAGCTGTCCAGGAACCAAGTGTCCTTACCGGATGGCTAGCTTTGAGCGATGGCTGCATACGTTAGGTTCGGCTCCAGCTGTTCGCGTCGCGGAGTACTCTCGTCGAGTTGTTCTTCTGGTGAGTAGTGCGGTGGTGATTCAGTGATGCAGGAGTCTGTCAGTCTCGAGATGCAGCTAACGATGTTTCTTGCTCCTTGTGCAGATTGCGTTGTTGAAGACTGCGGTTGACTCGTGGGGTGCGCCTGCGTAGATGTCACTTGACTGCTTGAAGGGCGAAGTTGACGTTGTGATGGCGTTGACTGCTGTTGATTCGGGCAGCGTGTGCGAGGATGCCCTGACGTCTTGCAGAGATGACATAACGGAGGTACGAGTTTTGGTTGATGTCGGTTGGTGTTGTTGTTGTAGCGCCCTTGAGTGTGAAATGCAAATTCGGGTACTGATGTTCTCTTCTTGTGCTGTTCTTCTTGCAGGTCCATGTCTTGCTGCTCAGCGTGAATCTCGGCGCAGAGTGCTGCTTCGGAGATTTTCCCGTGGGTTCGGAGATTGGCGGGTGGAGCGCCATTGAGGACCGAGGCCGCCGATGATGACTGTCACGAAGGCGTCTTCAGATATTGACCCTCCGCATCGAAGAAGCTTGTCGTGCAACTCGCGACAGCGGCTGATATACGCCATCCCCTTTTCACCAGGCTTCATTTCTATTGTTGTCAGCTGTGCCATTAATCGACTTTGGTTGACGATGTCTGTTGCTTGATACAGGTTCTTCAAGTGGTTGTACGCGAGCTCGGCGGAGTTACCGTATCCCCAATAAGACCGGATGTTCTGCTGCTGGGTTGGAGTTATGTTCCTCAGCAGGATCGTGTACGCCATCAGCGACTGATACGTGTACTGCTGCTTGTCGTATTGCGTCCCGTGTGTCGGGTATGGCAGGGACCCGTCGAAGAAGCCAAGGATCTACGTGCCTTCCATCATCAGCTCGAACTCGAATGACTAGGTGAAGAAGTCCTTCCCGTCGAACGGTCTTGATGTCTGCAGTTTTAAGACGTGTGCGAACTGCGACTGAACTTGAAGTGCGCCCAGTGTCTTCTCTTGTCCAGGTGAAGGCTGCTGATGCGGTGTGAAGCTGATGGAGCCGCGCTGGGGCTCGTACGGAGCAGAGGTAGGCTGCTGCTGCTGATTTCCGTGCGCGTAAGATGAGCCGTCGAGACTCATGGGCGTCACTTCGTTGTTGTTGCTGTTGTTTGACTGCGCAGGTGCTGATTGCTGGTGTTGTTCGTAGAAGGACATGAAGGAGAAGAACTTCTCCATCATGCTTGGGTCGAAGCTTGCAGGTTAATTCGCTGGAGTTTCCGAAGGTGCTACTGCTGGTCTTGTTGCCGTACCCTCCTCTGTCTGTAGGCCAGAGGCAGGAGGTGGAGTAGGAGTAGTGCCGGGAGAACCGTTAGAGGAACTTCTTTCCTTCTGTGTTGCCATGCCTTCTGATGTTGTAGGTGATTTGATAGTAGTTGAGTTCGCCCTGTTAGCTCTCATACCATGTTGGGCTGAGAAAAGCCCTTAGGATCTTTGCAGGGCTGAATTTGATTAGAATAATGTAATAGCGGAAGCGTTTAATGAAGAATGTTGAACCACCTTGCGCTGGTACCGTAATCACCCGGACATACCACCCTAGGGTGCTATGATAACTACAGCAAAAAAAGGGGGGGGTCTTGTCATGGGAAAATGTTACATAACACCCGGGTGTTTATATAATGTATACTTTTTTAAAAGCAGAAACGGTTGGGAACAAAATGTACATGCTTGCTGCAGCAGTAGATTGTTGGTTGGGTGCGCAAAACCGAGGATGAGGCGATAACGTTAGGGCGTGTGCACTTTGGGCGAAATTTGTCAAAGTTCGAACATTCACCGCTTTGCACCGTGGCAAAACGTCTCTTATGAGTATTGTACCGAGTAGAACCTCACTAAAAGGTCGAACTTTGACAGAAGTTCGAACCCCTAGTGCACACGCCCTTAGCCTCGAGTGGAAGCTGCCACATTGCAAGCTCCAACAGCCCGCTGTCATGCCCTGATTGGTCGAAAACACACCCCCCGTCGCTCGACGAGGATTCATGCAGTCACAGAGGCGGGAGTCCCGCAACAGGCTTAGGACGCGTCAACTCCTGCTGAAATCGGCGATCAATCCTTCAAAATCGATCGGCCACCGCACTGAAATCCCGCATTTGTTTCCACGTTTTAATAGAACCTCCTCTAACCCAGGTAAAATTCGACCCTGCGCAGGATCGAGCTCCGAAATTCGCTGGAGTTGACGCGTCCTTAGCAGCCTCGCTGGTGCGGTCACGTCCCTGCGCAAAATTTAGGCGAAAAACAACAATTTCTTCCGTACATAACACCCCCCCCCCCCCCCCCCCCCCCCCCCCCCCCCCCCCTGGGTCTTATACCGGATCGGCCCAAAAGGGGGGTATAGTAGAAACGAGGTCCGCTATAGCACCCACCCCGCACAAGCCACTCGGGGGGTGTTCTATTTCGGCGGGTGGTATGTCCGGGTGATTACGGTATGGGAGGGCAAAGTAGATTGATTACCATAAAACAAAGAGATACAAGCCTTTTATAAGAGTACAAGGAATATAGAAAGCTATAGTTAGAGAATAACCGTTTTACTGTTGCTGTTGCGGTTCGATACAGTGACGACTCGGGCAACTGCTCTTTAACAAGTCAGTTGTTTGTCATTGCTGCCACGCTGTACTTGTCAGGTCAAAGGTCGCTGACCTTTGACTTTCGCGTAACCTCCAGCAGTTGCTCAACCTCCGAGGGTTGACTCGCCGATGCTTCGTTACCGTATGTTTCGCTTCGCTTGTGACTTGGTGTTTCGACACGACAGAGGCGCTTAAATTAGTTGTTTCCAACAGAATGGACCGGAAAAATGTGATTTTATACGCATGTTTCTTTGCATCACAAGGATTGGTGTAAGATGCCACAGCAGAACCTAATCATGCAGTAGGCCTTCCTTTCTCAACTTGTCATGTCAAAAAATAATTCAGTGAGTACCGTACAGGAGCCGAGCGAATGAGAAACCACCAGCAAGCGCACTAAGGTACAAGACATGTGACAGTACTCCGACAGTCCTTACTGGCGTGAACCCATGCAAGCTGGCCACTGGGGAGCTCTACCAAACACAATTTGTCGCTGACCGACTACCCTCCCCGATCAACGTTGAACGGGCGTCAAAGTCACAATATCATCCCTTGCATCACCATCATCATCACCATCATTATTACCGGCAGCAACAGCACCACCATGCATGACCATGCAATGACCATGACCATCACCATGACCATGACCATCACCATCACCATGACCATGACCATCACCATCACCTTGACCAACACCATCACCATGACCATCACCATGACCATGACCATCACCATCACCATCACCTTGACCAACACCATCACCATGACCATCACCATGACCATCACCATCACCATGACCATCACCATGACCATCACCATCACCATGACCACCACTGTCACCACCACCACCCTCATTTCATAAGCATCATCACCAGCACCAGCACTGTCATCGTCTCATCTCAGCGTCCCCATTGCCGTCCCCCTCCCTATCCCACAGGAGCATTCAGCGCCAGCGCCTCGGCGTAAATCATCTCCCTTATAATCTCATTTGTTACAGGAACGGCCCCTCAAAGGAAACAGTGTGCTTCGTGTAAACTCACAACCACCACCACCATCACAAGCACCACTTTCACCATCACCATAACCATCGCCACCACCATCACCACCAGCACCCCTACCATCATCTCATGTCAGCGTCCCCATCGCCATCCACCCCCTCCCCATCCTCCACAGGAGCATTCAGAGCTAGCGCCTCGGCATAAATCATCTCCCCTATAATCTCATCCGATAGAAACGGCCCCTCAAAGTCGAAGTGAAACGGCTCGTCACACGCCGGCTCGTCGTTTATGTCGTGAAGGGTTGCGAGGTAGGGGTGACACAGTGCCTCCTCCACTGGGGGGATTGGCGGGGGGGGAGGCAGGAACAATTCAGAGGAAGGAAAGGGTGCATCGCATGCTGACTCGTCGTTGATGTCGTGGAGGGTGGCGAGGTAGGGGTGACGGAGTGCCTCCTCCACTGGGGGGATTGGACAGGGAACAGAGGGAAGAAGGCAGGGAAGAATTTGAGGAGAGAGGGCTTGGGGCAGGCAGAGGCTCGTGACACGCCGGCTCGTCGTTGATGTTGTGCAGCGTGGCAAGGTAGGGAGGGCACAGTGATTCTTCCACTGGGGGGAATGGAAATGAGGAAGGGGAAAGAAGGCAGGAGCCGTTAGAGGAATGGAACGGCTCGGGTCATGCCGGCTCGTCGTTGATGTCGTGCAGTGTTGCGAGGTAAGGGTGGCACAGACCTTCCACTAAAGGAATGGGAATCTGAGGGAGGGGGGAAGGAGGCTTAGAGGAGGGAAAGGCTCATTACATGCCGACTCGTTGTTTATGTTATGGAGAGTGGCGAGATAGGGATGGCACAGTGACTCCTCCACTGGAAGAAGAGCGATGGGGAAGGAGGGAAGGCGGGAGATGGTTAGAGGAAGGGAATGACTCAAGGCATCACACACGCACATGTGCCTTACCAGCCCAGCTCGCCCACTCTCACCTGTGACATGCATCAGCAGCCCAGCTCGCCCACTCTCACCTGTGACATGCATCAGCAGCCCAGCTCGCCCACTCTCACCTGTGACATGCATCAGCAGCCCAGCTCGCCCACTCTCACCTGTGACATGCATCAGCAGCCCAGCTCGCCCACTCTCACCTGTGACATGCATCAGCAGCCCCCACAGCCCTCACCTGTGATGTGCTCGAGGGGGTCCAACCAACCAACGTGAGGGTAGCTCTTAAGGAGGTCCAACGTGAGGGTAGCGCTAGCGCTTGAGCAACCCTCGCCTGTGATTCTCAACACCGAATCGATCGCCACAGCAGGTAACTGTGGGTAGCGCTGTGATGAGCCAGGGGCTGCTGGGCGATCATCACAGACCCTGGAGGGGCCGCGAGCAAAGAGTGTGTCGCGGCTACACATGCACGCACATGCGCCTGCCTTAGACCCTAGCCCAGCACCCACAGCCCTCACCTGTGATGCGCTTGAGCGGGTCCAACATTGAATCGATGTCCTGGGCGGGAGGCTGCTTGGGGTAGATGGGCAGCAAGCAAACAGTGTCTCAACAGTCCGCTCTACCCATTCTCACCTGGGATGTGCTCGAGAGAATCGAAGTGAGTATTCTCAACATGCGGTAGATCACACCAGGCGGTAGGTGCGGGTAGCGCTGTGCTGTGCGAGTGTGCTTGGGGTAGACGGGCAGCGATCCGACAGCTACCACCCCCAGACAAGAGCTCACTTGCTTTGAGCCTCAACCGCCCACCCACCCTCACCTGGGATGCGCTCGAGAGGATCGAATGTGAGTATCCTCGACATGCGGTCGATCGCAACAGGCGGTAGGTGCGGGTAGCGCTGTGCAAGGGGCTGCTTGGGATAGAAGGGCAGCGAGCGAAGAATGTCCCACCAGCCCGCCCTGCCCATTCTCACCTGTGATGCACGTCATGGCTTCACAAGCACGCACATGTGCTCTAGCAGCCCACCCTTCCTCACCTGTGATGCGTTTAAGAGGATCGAACGTGAGCATCCTCGACATGAGGTCAATTGCCACAGGCGGTAGGTGCGGGTAGCACTGGGCTAGGGGCTGCTTGGGGTAGGAGGGAAGCGAGCGGATAGTGTCTCAGCTCACCACCTAGCCCACCCATTTGAAGCGCCTCATAAAACAGATCGCACACCCTTTCTCACCTGTGATGCGCTTGAGGGGATCGAACGTGAGCATTCTCGACATGAGGTCGACCGCAACGGGTGGTAGGTGTGGGTAGCGCTGTGCGAGAGGCTGCTTGGGGTAGAAAGGCAGCGAGCGAAGAATGTCCCACCAGCCCGCCCTGCCCATTCTCACCTGTGATGCGCTTGAGAGGATCAAAAGTGAGCATTCTCGACATGAGGTCGATCGCAACGGGTGGTAGGTGCGGGTAGCGTTGCGCGAGGGGCTGCTTGGGGTAGAAGGGCAGCGATCTGATGTAGCGCCGTGCGTTCTCTGATTGGAGAAACTCAATGTCTGACTCGTCTGGGGAGCCTAGGCACTGCAAGGAGGGGAAGCGGAGTGGAAGGGGGAGGGAGAGGCGGGGTGCACAACAGATAAGGAGGAAGCAAAGCGAAGCTAGCCTGGCAAGCCCCGTGCGTTCTCTGATTGGAGGAACTCGATGTCTGACTCGTCTGGGGAGCCCAGGCACTGTAAGGAGGGGAGTGGGGTGGAGGTGGGAGAGGGGCAAGGAAAGGCAGGGTGCCACGGCAGATGAGCAGGACGTGCCAGCGAGCCCATGCGTTCTCTGATTGGTCAAACTCGATGTCTGACTCGTCTGGGGAGCGGCCAGGCACTGCAAGAGAGAGGGTGGAAATGGAATAGGGAGGGAGAGGCAGGGCGTGATGGCAGATAAGGAGGAGGAACAGCCTGGAGAGCCCAGGCACCGGAAGACTCTGATTGGTGGAACTCGATGTCTGATCTGACTCGTTTGCTGAGCTTAGGCACTGGGGAAGCGGGGAGGAAATAAAAGGGAGGAAGGAGAGTGGAAGGGAGGGAGGAGAGTGGAAGGGAGGGAGGAGAGTGGAAGGGAGGGAGGGAGGAAGGGAGGGAGGGAGGAGAGTGGAAGGGAGGGAGGGGGGAAGGGAGGGAGGGGAGAAGGGAGGTGGTAACAGCGGGTTAAATGGGGAAGGAAAGAAGAAGGGCAGTGAGTGGATGTAGCAGGGAAGATTCAAAAAAGGGAGGGAAAAGGAGAGGGAGGGAGGGGGTGTTAGCAGATACAGGAGGAAGGAGGAGAATTGGCAAATATGGCGCCGGCCCCCTTCTGATTGGTCTGTTTTTGAGCGACTCAAAAATAGGAGAACTGCCAGATATGGCGCCGGCCCTTCTGATTGGAGAGGTTCAGCCTGAGCTACTCCACATGGCCCTTCCCCCAAAAACAATGTGCTTCCGCCAAGCAGCATTGCAATGCTGCTGTAACTATGTAACACTTTGCAGCACAAACCACCACAGTGATGAGTCTTACCTGCTTTACGTAGTCCTTCCTCGGAAACAGCATCACTTTCATGGTAATACTGTTACTTCTAGCAGTTTGTAACACCACTCACCTTGGTGATGAGTCTAAGCTGCTCCACTTAGTCCTTCCCCGGGAACAGAATCACTTAACATGGTAACACAGTAACACCACTCACCTTGGTGATCAGCCTAAGCTGCTCCACATAGTCCTTCCCTGGGAACAGCGGCTCGCGATTCAACAGCTCCATGAATATGCATCCTACTGACCACACGTCAATGGCTGCTGTGTATGTCTGGTGAGAGAGGAACGGGTAATGAGGGGTGAATAGGGGTTGAGAGTGGTGAAGAGCAAGTGTATTCAGCAGCTCCATGAAGATGCATCCCACCCACACGTCGATGGCAGTCTGTTGTTTGGGCGAGGATGACAGGGGTTGAGAGCGGTTTAAAGTGGTTGTGGCGTTGGGCCCCTAACATCAGGCATTTAGCATCTCCATGTATATGCATTCCACTGACCACACATCGATGGCTGTTTGGGGAGATAAAGGGGTAATGAGGGGTAATCAGGGGTTGAGAGAGCGGTGAAGTGCAAGTGTATTCAGCAGCTCCATGAAGATTCACCCCACCGGCCACACGTCGATGGCTTCCGTGTACGTCTGGTGTGGGAGTGGAAGGGGTAATCAGCGGTTGAGAGCAGTGAAGAACGAGTGGATTTAGAAGCTCCATGAGATATGCACCCCAGCGGCCACACGTCGCTGGCTGCCGTGTACGTCTGGTGGTTGGGGGAGAAAAAAAGGTCAGGGAGACGTGGGGAAGGGGAAAGAGGCGAGAGGGAAGGGGAGGAGTGGATGGCACAGTTGACCGAGGGAAGAGGGAATGTGTGTCGAGCCGAAGCCTGAACAAGAGGTTGCAAGGCTCCTGGCAAGGTAAAGATTTGAAATGATGCAACCCATGAAGATGAAGATGACTGTTGAGTCGACTCAGAAGATGACTCACTTCTCAAGCTCAATCCACAGCCCAAGTGCTTACGGTTGCTGGGTAACTACCACTGCTGACCTGGAAGCTGAACATTGCTGACCTGGAAGCTGAACATTGCTGACCTGGAAGCTGAACATTGCTGACCTGGAAGCTGAACATAGCTGACCTGGCAGTTGAGAAGCAGCTCAGGAGCGCGGTACCATCTGGTTACCACATACTCTGTGAGGAAATGCGCCTCCTGCACGGACCTGCATGCAGGTGTGAGCAAAGGGAGAAGGAGGAGAAGGGGGGTGGTTGAGCATGTGTGAAGGTACCATGTGGTTACCACATACTCTGTCAAATGTGCGCCTCCAGCACGGACCTGCAAAGTGTGTTGCCATATGCGAGAGGAGGGGAAGGAGATGAAGCATACATGGATGGGAGATGGGTGGAGAGGTGTGCCATCCGGTTACCACAAACTCTGTCAAAAATGCGCCTCTTGCATGGACCTGCATGCGTGTGAGAGAAGGGGGGAAGGAGAGGGATATGGGTAGATAGTTGTGAAGGTACCACCATACCATCGAAGTACCACATACTCTGTCACCAAGTCGCAAATCGCATGCCCTACCCCACTAACCAAGTCAATCCCCAACCCCCCTCTCTCATCACCCATTCACTCACCCATCCATCCACCCACTCACCCACACCCACTCCTCCACACACCCACTTTCTCACACCCACCAATCTGCACCCACTAACCTCCCCTGCATACACACCTCGCAAGGCCAAAGTCGCATATCTTGAGGTCACTGCTTGCACTGAGCAGGTTGGCTAAATAAAGGGCTTTAACTTCCAGCGCTGCAGCCCTTGCTGCACTCACCCATCCTACCCACTCACTCAACCCCCCCTTGCACACACACACACCTTGCGAGGCCAAAGTCGCATATCTTGAGGTCGCAGTTTGCACTGAGCAGCAGATTGGAGGGCTTTAAGTCGCGATGCAGCACACTCGCGCTGTGGATGTACTTTAATCCCCGCAATAGCTGGTAGAGAAAGTACTGTTGGTGGGGAGAGAGTGTGAGGGTAGGGGAGTGTGGGTGGAAAAGGATGTTAGAGGGCCGCGATGTAGCACACTTGCGCTGTGGATGTGCTTTAACCCACGCAATAGCTGGTAGAGGAAGTACTGTTGGGGGGGGGGAGGGGAGGAGAAGAAGGACATAAGAGGGGGGAGGGAGAGGAGCAGCAGGTTGGAGGGCTTTAAGCCAAAAGCTTGATGCAGCGTGCTGGCGCTGTGGATGTACTTTAATCCGCGCTATAGCTGGTAGAGAAATTGCCGCCAAAAGGGAAAGGAGGGGAGGCGGGTGGTGCAGGGAGAAGGAGAAGGGGAGAAGAAGGTTGGAGGGCGTTGAATGGAGCACCATCCACGTCCGTCAACGGATTGGGATAAATGATGTTCATGAAGCACACTGGCGCTGTGGACATACTGTGCTTCGTTTATGAAAGCATCTGTCCTGATCGAATGGTCTGATACAGGTCCGTGCCCATCAGCTCACACACCCCATGCACCCATGCCACCCCACATACACTCACACATGCCACCCCACATACACATGCAGAAAGTATGATGGACCCCCCCTTCCCTCCTCACACATACGCACCTGGCAGTACGCTTCAGACAACAATCGCCCAGACTGGATGATCTGATGTAAATCCGTGCCCATCAGCTCACACATCCCATCCCATGCACCTGGCAGTGCCTCTGACAGCATCTGTCCGGATTGGATAATCTGATGCAAGTCAGTATCCATAATCTCGTACACCACATGCTCACACGTGCACAGTGTATGAGGCACCCCTTTCTATCTCCATCTATCTCCTACCCCCCACAAACACACCTGACAGTGCTCTTCAGACAGGATCTCTCCTGATTAAATGATCTTATCAGCTCGTACACCACATACCCCCCTTCTCTCTCTTATACCCCCTCCTCATACACACATAACACACACCTGGCAGTGCTGCTCTGATCTCATCTGTCCCGATTGGATCATCTGGTGCGAGTCCGTGCCCATCAGCTCGTACACCACATACACATGCATGCAGAGAGTATGATGCACCGCCTGAGGGAAACACTCACATGCACGCTGTATGATGCACCGCCTGAGGGAAACACTCACATGCACGCTGTATGATGCACCGCCTGAGGGAAACACTCACATGCACGCTGTATGATGCACCGCCTGAGGGAAACACTCACATGCACGCTGTATGATGCACCGCCTGAGGGAAACACTCACATGCACGCTGTATGATGCACCGCCTGAGGGAAACACTCACATGCACGCTGTATGATGCACCGCCTGAGGGAAACACTCACATGCACGCTGTATGATGCACCGCCTGAGGGAAACACTCACATGCACGCTGTATGATGCACCGCCTGAGGGAAACACTCACATGCACGCTGTATGATGCAATGCACCCCTTCCCCATCCCACACACCTGGTAATGCTCCTCTGATACCATCTGTCCCGAGTGAATGATCTGATGAGGTCCGTTCCCATCAGCTCGTGCACCCAGGGAATTCACCATTCCCTCCCTCTGCACCCCTCACACACACGCACCTGACAGTGCTCCTCTGACAGCATCTGTCCGGACTGGATGATCTGGTGCAGGTCCGTGTCCATGAGCTCGTACACCACATACACATCGTTGAAGCTCGAGCGGTCAGGCGGTGGGATCACATCTCTTAGCGCGACCACCTATGAGGGGGACAGAAGGTTGGGGTGTGGATGGGTGGTGTGAGTGGGTGGGAGGGTGGGAGGGGTGGATGGATGGATGGATGGATGGATGGACGGACGGACATAAAATCAGGGTCATGCACTAGCAGCCTGTGCGCACTGCCGAGGGTCCAAAGGGGCTCAAGTGTGAAGCACACTTGAGCTCAAGAGGGCTCAAAGGGGCTCAAGTGTCCAAAGGGCCTCAAGTGTGCTTCACTCACGGTTTCGCGATCTCTGCGTGTGCTTGGCGTCGATGCGATTGAAGTGCATGAGACATCCACAAAAGCTAAACGCATGTGCTCACATGCTACATCACATTTTGAAAGGATGATGCAGTTGCCTGCTCCACTCACGTTCTCGTGGTCGAAGTGCCGCAGCAGCTTGATTTCCCTCAGAGTGCGCTTGGCGTCGATGCGATTGTCAAATGCATTTGAGATCTTCTTGATCGCCACCTCCTCTTCTGTTTCAATGTCCACTGCTGAACTGTATGGGTGGAGAGGTGTGGATGCATGCGTGCGTGCATGCGTGCGTGCGTGCGTGCGTGCGTGCGTGCGTGCGTGCGTGCGTGCGTGTGTGTGTGTGTGCAAGGATGGGCATAGAGCAGTGAGTCAGTGGTTGTGCTTCAGGCCTCCATTCATCCCTTCATCGCCACCTCCTCCCCCGTCTGCATGTCCGCTGATGAGCTGCATGGCGTGTGCAGTGGATGTCACACTTGCAGATGTTCCGTACGTCATATCCATCCGCAAATACAGTGATGGGTGTGAATGGGTGTGAATGGGTGTGGAAGGGTGTGAATGCATGCATAACCAATCCCTCCCCACCCCACACTCACCACACAATGCCGTACGCCCCGCATCCTATCGGCCGAATGGGCTTCACGTATTTCGAGGACACGTCAAAGATATGCCCGCAGATGTCGTACCCACAGATGGAGGAGGATAAGTGCGGATGAGTGTGAATAGGCGCGAATGGGTGTGAATGAACACATAAAACACCCCCCATCCTCCCACTCCGCACTCACCACACAATGCCGTACGCCCCGCGTCCTATCGGCCGAATGGGCTTCACGTATTTCGAGGACACCTCAAAGATATGCCCACAGATGTCGTATCGCGTGTAGGCGCCGCCATATGTCGGCACCCCCACCACCTCCAGCTCATACTGCTGCGCCATTGGTGCAGGGGCCGCGCCCCCTGCCGCGGCGCCAAGTGGCGCGTGGATATTGGTCGCCGTGGCCACGTCCATGGCTGCTGTGCTGACGTGGCACGGAGTGGGTTGGCATGGAATGGGATGAAAATAGCGGAAATCGTCGGTCATGAGGGTAAGCGTCGCAAAGAATACGGCTCGTGTGCTGGACATAAATGTATTATCCTTTGAGTGGATGTTATCTGAAAGGGAAGGATGAGATAGCATGGGATGCAATGATCCAAATTTGGGTCACATGGGTTGGCATGGGTCTTAGCAAATTGTGTAACGTATATGGACAGCAGATGTGCTACTGTTTGTTCTTCTCCTAAGCCACGTAACCATCTTCATTTCGTTACCCGAATGGAATGCCAAGGCGTGAACGGACGTGGCATGCTATAAGACATGCCAAGGCGTGAACGGACGTGGCATGCTATAAGACATGCCAAGGCAAGTCATACTCTTGGTGTGGCTTGACCACACCACACCATACCACACTACACCACACCAATCCATACAGTGCCATGCCATGCCATGCCATCTCCTCCTGTGTCATACCATACCATACCATACCATACCATACCATACCATACCATACCATACCATACCATACCATACCATACCATACCATACCATATTATACCATATTATACCATACCATGCCATGCCATGCCATACCATACCATACCATACCATACCATACCATACCATACCATACCATACCATAACCCACCACACCACACCACACCACACCACACCATACCATACCATACCATACCATACCTGCCACGCCATGCATCCCATCCATGCCATGTCATGCCAACCCGTTAGCATCTTGTACCTTTATCGAGTTTCTGCAGGCGAGACAAGCGTGATCGCCGCTAGACCGCCGAGCGAACGCGGGTCGCGCGCCCTGACTCGCCACCCATAACGCCGTGATTGACGGGGAATAATTCAGGCGGATTGGCGCATGAGTATTCTCCCAATGGAAAGGGACGTGCCGCAACCACCCCTTTCTCGGAAACGCGCAAACGGGGTGTGCGGATGGCGCGCGGAAGCGGCGGAGGCGGGATGGGGTGCGCGGAAGCGGCGTGGGATAGGCGTGCGGAACGGGCGCGCACCCAATATGCCCGAATAGGCCTTGCGGGAGCGACGCGGGCGGGGATGGGGTAGGGGAGGGGGAGTGGGAGGGAAAGGGGGAATACGCGGATTCCGCTATCGAGGACGAGGACCAGGGGAGGACGCGGAAGCGGAAAGTTGCGGAGGAGGATGGAGCAGGGCGGGGAACCGAAGGCGTGAGGGAGGAGGAGGGTGGCGCGAGCTGTCGCGGAATAAAGTAAAGAGCGAGAGGAGCGAGAGGAGGAGCGAGGGGCCCGAGAGGGACGAGAAAGTGGGCGATGAGGCAACTAGTGGAGGGCGAGGCGAACAACGGCGGCAGATAAGTGGCGATGGGCCCTGATCGCAAGGGTTACTCGTGACCCGAAAGCGGCGACGATTTACAACATTTGCATGTAGAGGGAGAAAATATTAAGGAATTTATTTCTGTGCGGAAATTTAGGGCAGTCTTAGGTTGGAGGCAGGTAGTTGATGTTGGCAACAGGACCGTGACACCTTCCTCCGACGCAAGGGTGATTCGCGAAGCAGCCGAGTACCGTAACCGGACACCTGAACGAAAGCTTCAACTGTTGTAGACAACGAAGATTTCGTTCGCAATGTACCGTACGAAATGCGTTTGCGATAAACGTAAGTAATTGTGGTCTTCGCAAGTGGTTGATTGGGCATGTGACGACGAGCCGCGAAATGGAAAAATCTGGCAGCAAACGGTTGGATAACCAGCCTGTGGCGGAAATTCCGCGGGACGCTTGCTGGAAGAATGCAAGCAGACAACTTGACCCACGGGCCCACTGTGATGAGGGCAGGGTGTCGAAATCCTCAATTTAAACGATACTCGATTGTAGAACTGCAACTGGCTTACGTTTCACTAAATATCATTATTGAGCAAATACACCAGGAATGTAGGAGATAAACATTGCAGCTCAAATCTAGGCAGCAACCGCTGAAAGCTGCGAGCAAACAAAACCCCAAAAAGAGAAGAAACACATAGGAACAAGAAAAATGGGTCAACTGCAGAGCAGATGCAAAGCAAACCCTGAAACACTGAAACACTAAGGTGAATTGGGAAGCAAAACTGCATGTGTAAGCTTAGTACAGGCAGCGATACCAAGAAGGCACGACGTTGCTAAGGGAAGGAGTGAGAAATTTTGATACACCAGGGAAGGAAGAAAGGTCAGGGGGCAGAGGGGGAAGAGGGAGGAGGGGGAAGACACGGGGGGGGGTGGGGTGCGGGGGGGAAGAGAAGCCTGGAGGAAGGGAGAGAAGGGAGCGAGCGAGTGGGAGCAGGAGTCTGACTGACATCAGCGGTGAGTAACCAAGAGAGGGGAAGGCAGGGGAGGCAAAACACCTGGAGGGATGGATGATGGATGGAGGGAGTGAGTGAAAGCCGGGCGGCTACTGACATCAACAGTGAGCTGAGAGGAGAGGGGGAGAGGAGCCTGGAGGAACGGAGAGGAGGGAGGGAGTGAGTGAGAGCGGGGACTACTGACATCGGAGGTGAGTTGCGAGGCGAGGGCGTCGTGGAAGCCGAGCTGCGCGAGCAGCTTGTGACCGGCAGACTCGCGCTGCTCCCAGATGCCCAGCAGGATGAGCGCCGTTGAGATTTCCCCCGTCCGCCCTGCTTGGTTGCAGCACGGAGGGAGTGTTGCAGAGAGGGGGTGGGGAGAAAATAAGGGGGGAAAGCGGAGGTGTTGGGGGAGGAGGGGTGGGGGAAGGGGAGGGGGGGGATGGGGGTAGTCTGATGAGAAATGGTGCTAGAGTCGAACGGTCAGTGCCTCTGCTGTGCCGGCCAGAGTGAATGCCGGAAGGCGTGAAGTGGATGAAAAGCATGGGCATGGAGATGGAAGCGAGACGTGCTTGCTTGGTAATGGCCCTCTGCAGCGACTTGACTTTTGAGTCAACTCAAGAGTCACATTGGCATGCAGCTGGAAGAAAGGCGTGCTTGTTTATGGCCCTCTGCAGCGCCCGCCCCGCAGGTTCAGTCAGGAGCAAATGGAGGGCAAAGTGAGGGGCACGCAGCAAGGGAGAGCAGAGCAGGCAGGCAGTCGAAGGACAAGGCAGGATGCAGGAGGGCACAAGAGAGGAAGGCATGAGGCAGGAATCCACAGCATGCCACAGGGCATAGCTGAGCATGCCCAGCTCCTTGTGCTTGGCGATGGCTCACTGTAGCTGCAGCGACAAGTAAAACCAGGCAAGCACGCAGCATACAGCAAGGAGATCGACACAAGGCGCAGCACCCAACGCACAGCCCAACGCACAGCCCAACGCACGGCCCAACCCACAGCCCAACGAAACGCACCGAGCTCCTTATGCTTGGCGATGGCCCACTGCAACGCGGCCAGGGCGGGCACCACAATGCACAGCCCAACCCACAACAACCCAACCCACAACCCAGCCCACAGCCCAACCAGCCCACGCACCGAGCTCCTTGTGCTTGGCGATGGCCCACTGCAGCGCAGCCAGGGCGGGCTCAGTGAGAGGCAGGTGTGAGGAAAGGCAAGGCAAGGTGCATGCAGCAAGAGCAACCATGCAGGCACCATACAGCAAGGACATCACCACAACGAAACGCACCGAGCTCCTTGTGCTTGGCGATGGCCCACTGCAGCGCGGCCAGGGCGGGCTCAGTGAGCGGCGGGTGCTCCGGGCTGAAGTAGTACATGTCGGCCTTGCCCAGCAGCTCCACCGTCCTCACCCGCAGGTCCATCAGCTTGATGCCGTTTGCCCGCAGGAACCGCGCCCCATAGTTGGTGCCTGGTTGGAGCAGCAGGAGTGTAAGTGAGTGGGGAAAATGGGAGGGAGAGGGGGGTTTTTGCAGCTGAAGGAGGGTAAGAAACGCGTGCCGTAGTTGGTGCCCGGGGTATGCGGGTGGGTGGGGGGAGAGCGGGGATGAGGGGAAGGAAATGGTGGAGGGGAAGAGGTAACCAGTGCTATAAACAGCAAGGCACAATATGAATAAACAGGAGAAGATGACCAACGGTCACGACGACCAATTGACAGTGCTACCTACACACATCAACAACGGGGCCATGAGCACTCACCTTCTGTGAGCACACCCAACACACATGAAAAGCACTCACCTTCTGTGAGCATGCCCATCAGCAGCGCCTCCGTGCCAGTGGTGGGGTACTTGAGCTTCCGAGCCTCCAGCTCCGCCATGCCAAACGTCTTGATGGCCCGCGCGGACCAGCTGACAGGGAGGGAGAGTGAGGTTGGGGCGGGGGGAACAATGCGGCAATTAGGTGGGACCACCGTCGAGGCCACTTCAAGGTACTTGAGTTGAGCTTGCGAGCTTCTTGCGAGCCTCCAGCCTCCAGCTCCGCCATGCCGAACGTCTTGATGGCCAGCGCGGACTAGCTGACAGGGAGAAAGTACGGTAGCGGGGGATAATGCGGCTGTTAGATTAAGTCCAATTCCAAGCCTCCAGCTCCGCCATGCCGAACGTCTTGATGGCCCGCGTGGACCAGCTGACGGGGAGGGAGGGAACAACAGGAGCGAGATTAGGGCAGCCAGGGGAAAGTGCGCCTGTTAAGTGGGAGAGAAACCCGAGCTTCCGAGCCTCCAGCTCTGCCATGCGAACGTCTTGATGGCCCGGGAGGACCAGCTAGTGAAGAGACAGCATTGTGAGAGGGGAGAAGAGACAGCAAAAGGAGTGGAAGTGAGGAAGGACGTGAAGAGAGGGGGAATAGATAGTGTAGGCAAGCAGGAGGGAAGTAGAGCGAAACGGCAGAAGAGTAGGAGGGACAGAGAGTGCACAGAATCAAGCTGAGCTCTTTGGCATTGATGGATGGAAGGCGTTGTTATGCAGTGGAGTGTGATAAGATTCGGGAGTGTGATTTTACGGGGAGGGCGCAGATGTGATTGAAAAGAAAGAAATTTTTGTGATTGCAGAGGGTGGTGGTGAGGGTGTGAACAGGAAGGGTGATGCTGGCTGGTGGGATACGCATTGAGAATTCTCAGCAGGGAAGATGGGAAGGACACGCGAGAATGGGACGGGCAAGAGAGAATGGGAGGGGCAAGAGACAATGGGAGGGGCACGAGAGAATGGGAGGGGCAAGAGAAATATGTGAGGGGCAAGAGGGGATGGGAGGGGTAAGAGAGAATGGGAGGGACGAGAGAGTATGGGAGGGGCAAGAGAGAATGGGAGGGGCAACAGGGAATGGGAGGGGTGAGAGAAATGGGAGGGGAAAGAGAACGGGAGGAGCTCGAGAAAATGGGGGGTAAGGGAGAATGGGAGGGGCACGAGATAATGCGCGGGGCAAGAGGGGATGGGAGAGCAAGAGATTGAGTGAGAAGCAGCACTTGGCTCGAAGAAGCGGTCCAGGAAAGCGACACCCTCAGCCTCAGCTACCTCACATGGCGTACACGCCAAATTATGTCATCCCATGCCATGCGCATGCCAACCCATGCCATTGCTACACATGCAAAGCTGGGCCCACCCAGGCCAGGAACGCAATGGCAGGAATGACGTGCCATTCCATGGTCACGGCATGACGCGATGTCCACAAGCTGGGAACGTGTAATCGTGTCTTGGGAGTGATGGCTGCAAATGGCTTGTGGAACTTACTTTCTGCAACCAGGATATATGAAAACGATGGAAAGGGATACACGGAGCAGGGCAAGAAAAGGGTCATTCGGGGATGGCAACCGACGGTGAAAGGACAGAGGACGGATAATAGAGACAAATGGACCCGTTCTTGCCAGGGCTCAACGATATCAGTAACGGGTCAAACGATGAATCTTGAATGAGAAACTTGGAGTGAAAAGACGGAATTCTGATACGCAAGATCAATGGAACCCTACTTGGGAGAACGAATGACGCTCATCCATAACTTAAGTACGACACGAAGCGTGAGTCGCCAGTGTCAAACTGGGTTTAGAAACTACGATTACCAAAGCAGTTGCATTATCATAATAAAACGCATTTGAAGGGTTGTTAATCTGAATGTTGTGGTTTCGGGATTCATTTGGTACTAGCAACCGGCATGTCTTGGCTGCGTGGTTTTAAAACAGAAATTTAGAGGATTTGTGACAAGCACGATCGACTAAGAGGAGAGTCCTTCTTCGAAGCAACAATGAACGCGGACGGGGTTTTTTGCAATGCCGCTAGGCTCTTGAAAAATGCGAGTCAGAGGTTAGGGTTTGCAGTAACTAGCGACACTCTGATTCATCACGCAAGGCACGAGTGGAAACTACGAGAACGCAAGCAGCGAGTGAGGGTTGCGACGAACGCGGATGGAGGGGAATGGAAGGAGTTGAGGAGGGCATACGCGTGAGGTAGCGAGCAGGTTACCGCTGCTCGCGATTTAACGACGCGCATCGCCACGCTAAGTTTTGCATTCCCGCCATACGAAGACGACGACGTGGCGCCTGAGAATCGCGACGGAGTGAACGACGACGCGAATGACGCCGTCGATCTAGCGGCCTCATCGCATCGGACGGCCGCAGTGTATCTAACGCAGGGGGAGGCGATCAGCGAGAGATGGGACACAGCAGCCATGGTGCTCGCTTTGTCGATTAAATCAAGGAGATTAGTAGTTTTCCCAGCTGCTGGCTGCGTCCGCCCAGGATCGTCCGCGTGTCTTATGTTCTGTCTAGATGCTATCTTTCGTGCTATGCTGTGCTGCTCCGAATTTCGAAACAGCTTCGTCTCGAGTCCAGTGTTCCCCTCGGAGAAATCTTGGGACAGGGGTGTGTGACGTGGCGATTGATGGTGCTGGTGGAATATTGATCGGCATGCATTATCGCTACAGAATACATTCGCTTTATGACTATACACCAATCACAATGCAATGCAAGATATGGAATGTAAACGCGTGTTACAACTAGCTAGGAAATGCACAATGAAGCATAACAATTACATGCAAACAAATGCAGACAAAATGCATCTACCATGCATTCTGCTCTTCTACATAGTTATTTACAGTCAGGGCAAATATATTCTTTGATAGACTCCAGCCCACGACTGGGCAAGTTGACACACTCTGGATGGAACCTGAACAGGAAAAAGAATGCAATAAGAAGCGCATATTGAACTCCTGCATGGATGCAAACCAAAAGGGACATCTACGAGCTTTAAAAAAAGCCACACAAGAGACTGCGGACATGGCAAGGTGCAGGAGTCAAGAGGCAGTCATAGGCACAAGCGAAGCAGAAAAAAGGATAATGCTTCACACCCATCCTCACCAGTCTTTGCAGTCTTCACACTGAACCATGAGATTGTCAGGGTTGTATGGCATCTCGCACTTGCAGTACCTGCAGAGCGGTGGCACAAGCATTCTGAAAAAATGTTCAAGCACAACACACCCAGCTGCTCATTCCACTCATTCTGAAACATAGACTTCATCATGCAGACTTCTAGTGAGAAAAAACCCCTGCCAGCACATGCGCCCTCTTTGGCTAATGTGCATGCATGCCATGCCACAATCCGCCAACAATGTTGTTTGTTCTCGCAGGGTAAAACCCTCGCCACTCACACTGCAACACTCTCTGGCGCGAACATCCCTGTTGACGCGTTGTACTCGAACCGGCAAAAGAAGTCCTCCTCCTCAACCACATCTAAGTAAGCGTAATCCTTCAGGTTGTGCACAAAGCACACGCCTTCCACTGCCTCTGGGTAGCAGCCATCATAGTGATCAGACAGAAACAGCTCCTTCACTCCATGGAAGCACCGACGCCCCCCTATAGACTCCTCTGGGCGGTAGTACCAGCGGCACCACATCTTGACTCGACCCGCAGCATCAGATTCGATCTTCTCGATCCGCGCAATGTAGGAGGGGGTCTTGGGGCTGGGTGGCCGCAGCATGACGCAAACCCCAGCTGCAAGGGGATAGGAGAGGGGTGGTACCTGGTAATGGTTGGAAGGAGCGACAGATGTGTATGTGGAGGGTTCTCCATAAGATTCTCATATAAGACATCTCAAAGGCAGATTTGTTCAGAAATAAATATTCTCGCAAGTTGGAGGGAGTCTCTCAATGAAAGGTGTCCTTCGGGCATTTTTGTAGAGGACACGAGCGCGAAAACGTGGGAATACAGCAGCATTCGGGCCTTATGAAAGAGTTACGATACTAAGAACGGCTGGCAGGGGAGGACTTTAAGAGGAAAAGCGACAGCGTGGAGAAAGAGCACGGGTTGCCTACTAATTACAAGCAATGGAGAGAAGTTAAAACGGTAGGAGAGAGGGCGCCGCAGCACGTACGTTCGAGTCGCTTGCCGTTCGCCTCGTAGGACTCCAACAACCGCTTCGCTCGCTTTTTCCCCATAACACGCTTCGGGTCGAAGTATATTTCAGCAGGAAAGGAAGGATATTGTGGGACAAGTACAGTCGTTACAATGTGCTCTGTTTTAGCAAGTCTACATGCGCATCACGTGGAAAATACTGTGAGGGAACGCGGCGAGGCGGCGATGCTGCTGGGCGCTTTCAGAAGACAATCACGCGCGCCATAGCGGAGGCAGTACGCGCGCGACGTTCGTGCGAGGTGTGCAACGTTAGCGGCCTCGGTGTGACGTATGTGTGAGAGCACCAACGTTGATGAACGGAGAAGGGATGGTGGCACGAGGCAGGCGGCTATGATAGGCAGTAGCATAAAAACGAGAGAAGACGGTTACAGTCGGGAGGACATAACAATCAGTGATTATTTCCCCGCATTTGCCGCCTACTAAGCATGGTTCGAGGAAATCCAGGAACGATAATCGCAGTTCATTCTGTCTTGTCACTCCCTTCAATGCGTCCTGCCCTGTCCCTGTGCTCACTTGTTTCTCCTATTTCAGAAAGTCAAGCTATCGCGTCGTAACTCGAATGTTCAAAAAAACGCTTTTCTAACGGGACATAGGTATACATTCGGGGTTCATTTTTCGTGGTAGGGGACGTTTTGGCACGGTTGAGAGCGATTCTTTAGCTTTAGCATTTGCTCTCAATGCAAGGGATGGTGAAGTACGGCCTGGAAACCTTGAAGGACCATGGGGATATGCTTGGGTGCACAGGGGTACCACATTCTAATCTTGAGGTTCAAAATTTTGTAATTGCCCCTAAGAATTGTATTTCCAACGCACAGAACCGCGTCCAAGCCCGTTGCAACACTGGTTTTGAGGGCAACAAAGCCTGCCCTAAACTTTTCGTTCGCTTCGCATCCTCGCCTCGCACTGACCTGCGATTTCGTATTCTGGCATTTTCGGGCACAACAGTACTCGGGCTACCAGGGTGCAACAAAAGTTTTACACCTGCCCTAACTGATAGTTCGTTTGCTGGATCACACCCGCATGCGATTGGTGGACTAGCCTGTGTGTCTCAACGGAATGTGTTCCGGCGCTCCCGTTTTGCCCGTGGGAACGAGGGATCCGTCGCTCTCCCAGCGCCGGGTCGGCGGAACTGAAACCCCGCCAGCTGGGCCTTGTCGGGACCCGCTGCACGCGAACCCACTTCCCCGCCCCACCTGAGCGCCGCACCCATCGTGCATGTCTTCCCCTCGGAGACGCGGATACCAACCTGCCTCCGCGAAAGCAAATCTTCAGGAGACTCAGCTCGCGAAAACTAATGCGAACACAAAAAAGCAGGCGAAAACAACAGGCCCTGGCAAAACCAACACATGCGATCCATACGAAGGAGCGCAACCCACCTGCGCGAAACAGAAGCCCCTGCGCGCCACAACAGACTGCCCTCGCCGAGTTCGCAATCGTCGCCCTTCGCAAGGCGTGAGCAAGGCGTGGCCTAGGCGTGACCAAGGCGTGAAAGAGAATGGCTCATGCAGGATGTGACACGGCCATCTCCTCTCTCCTGCTGACACGTGCCACTTCGACGGTTGGCGTGAACCATGCACCAATCCCGCACCAATCCCGCTCCAATCCCGTCCAATCCCGCTCCCTTTCCATGTTGCCACGTGCGCGCTCACCTCCGCGCAACATTGTGGACAGGCTTCGCGACCGACCATTGGCCAGCCAATCCACCCCTTGGCACAGCCAGTCCGCACTTTGGCACAGCCAATCCACCCCTTCGCATGCATCGACGAACGGACGAGATTCGTCACGCATGCCAACTGTGGACGTGACGAATCTTGCCTTGCTCCCGGACGTTGCTAGCGCTGGGGGGGTATGTCAAGGACGAGGGTCTCATTATTTCATTTGTTGCTAGGTTGTCCAATTTTCTTCTCCCCTTCTGCTCCCACCATCTTAGCCTCCACCTTCTAGCGTGCCTCTTCACGGCCCTAGATCCCCCGTAGAGCGTTACGGACATTTGACGAGGTTTCCAGAGTTGCTTCGTCACGCGCATAGTAGTAGTAGCATCGCGCTCACGAGGTGTAGTGTATCGTTGCTTCCGGGTACGACGATGGGTGAACCCGTTGACACGTCGTCCGTGCAGGCCTTCAAGCCCTTCCGTTATGTGCCTTACCGCAATGTTCCGCTGGTGGTGACGGACCCCGATTATAACTCGCTGATGGACGAGAAAGTGGACTTCACTCCCGCTACCATGACGTTGGCGCTGCTGTGAGTGCTTGCGCACGTTGTTTGTAGGGTTTAGGGCATTCAGCGGACACCGTGCAGAGGGTCAACTGGCTCATGTGTTGCACGCAAAATGTTTGCAGGCACGCAGAGTCGACCGTAGAACCCAAGCTCAACACGCGACTAGTGCCCGCTGAGACCGTCAGCCGCAGGATCGAAGACGGGGAGAAGTTCTGCATGCCTCCGATGATTAATCTTTGCGGCGGCGTTGTCATCGCCGTGCCCATCATAACAACGTGAGTTGATTCGGTTCTCAGTAGCGGTGTTTTTTTCATGTTCTGCAGATGGTTTCTCACCTGTTGTGCAGGGAGAGCGCTGCATAGACAGAACGGCCGATTCGTTTCCCTTATTGGTTTTTTGCCCTGCCACAGCACGGAGGAACTCCCGGGCAGGCACTGCAGCCTTCTCCTTGTGGCACACGCTAATGATCTTCGGGAACTCGCGAGCGAGAACCGCACAGTGGTTTTCCATGTGGACCCGAAAGCCAGACTGCGCTTCCACGATGTCGTTTTCAACACCGTGCACGAGTGAGTATGAAGTCGTGCTCTGATCGATTCGACGAACCGTGTGCAACGCATTGATACACTCGTTTGTAATTGTCTTACGCAGGTGGATCATGAGCACTGCTCGTGCGCAGGCACTATCGAGCCTCGGCGGGGCCGGTTTCGAACGGCCGAAAGAGTCCGACATCGACGAACGTTTGGAGAGGTGGAAGAACGTGGTTCGTCTGGTGAGTGCGAGATGTCGCATACGCTACTGTTCCTTCGAGCCTATTCTATGCATGACCGCTCACGAACGTATATCTTCCGCATGCGTGGGCTGCGCAGGATTCCGGTAACCTGAGAGACACCGCACCCGTCACTGGTCTACGCGTGGCGGAGGTGTATAAAACGTTCCTCGCCCACATGGAAGCCGTCGTTGCGCAACCCTCGTCGTACGAATTCAAGCTCATGGGGCGCAAGGAGCTGAAGCCGTTTCGTCAACAGATTGCGCAGTACATAGAGGGTATCGCGCTCGGGCAGAAGTTCGAAGGCGCCCTTTTGCAGCAAGGGACAGCAGCTTCTGTGGAGGGTGAGGAGGATGCTGTCGGAAGTTCCGTGCACGCTGATGAGGGTCACGCTGGCGGGTCGTCGGTTGCCGCTCCGGCCGCGGGAGGAGTGACGTTGCACAAGGAAGGTGCGGAACGGGGCAATCCCAAGGGTGGCAAGGGGAAGCCGAGGGAGGTCGCGCTGAGGGGGGCAAGGGAAAGCCGAAGGAGGCGTCCGAGGGGAGCAGGGGGAAGCAGAAGGAGGTGTCTGAGGGGGATGAGTGGAAGAAGGAGAAGCGGAAGTTGAAGGAAAAGCTGGATGAGGAGAGGAGCGAGAAGGAGCATCTGCGGGAGGAGCTGCGGAGTAAGGATGCTGAGCTTGCGGAGGAAAAGGAGAAGGGTACCAAGTATGTCGGGCATGCAAAACAAGTACTTGATAAGGCGGCGGAGGTTTCTACAAACGCAGCGGCCACGCTGGATCGTTCCCGAGCGATGCAAGAGACCCTTGCCAAGGGCGTCGAGCAGCTGGTGGGTGATCACGCCAAGGCAGCGGCGAAGACAGAGGAGACGGTGAAGTCTGTGGAAACGTCGTTTGCTGGTGTCGGAGACAAGGTCAAGACGGCCGCGGAAGGTGCCGTTGCGGGGCTTGGGCAGCAGGTCGACAAGGCTGTGAAGGCTGCTGTGACGTCTGCCGTCTCGGATGCAGCGAAAACCATGTAGGACGTTCTCGTCGAAGCCGTCAAGGGGGTGGTCAACAAGAGGCTGGAGGAGATTAAAGCCTCCATTGTCGCGCTGGTCGACAAACGTGTCCGCGAGGTTGTAGCTGAGTCAACCAAGGGTTTGAAGGCGGACATCGTCTCCATGGTTCGGGACACGACGAGGCAGGCCTTTGGCGAAGCTGGCTTCGCAGCTCTTCCGAGCGTTTTTGGTGCCGCAACAGCTTTGGCACGCCAAGGTGGAGGAGGGGGTGCAGGAGGAAAGCATCCTCGTGGGGATGATGGGAGTGATACGCATGGCGGGATGGCAGGAGATACTGTCCACAGCGAACTCGCGCGGCAAAAACGATCGAAGGCTGGCTGGCTGGAGAAGGGTGTGGGGGACGTCCCATCGAAGCTGGCATCTCGTGCGGAGGGTGGTGTTGCACCTTTGCACATAGACCTCACCCTGGGCACACCGGTGGGGCGTGCAGACGGTCGGGCCAACATTGGGGCGTCCTTGCCGTCGCAAGGTTTAGTTGCGGTCGGGGCTAGCAGGGGTCATGGTGCGCAACCACCAAGCGGAGGTGGCATTGTGTTGGGCCTTCCGACGAGGACTCTCGCTGGCCGTGGAGGTGTGGAGCAGACTGGTGCGGAAGGTGCTGTTCAAGGGGCGGCGCCGCGGACCCAGGAGGTGCCCGGGGCCCCGCAAGGAGACGTTCACGATTTCCTGGCAGGGATGCGAACCGCCATGGAAACGGGTCAGCAACAGCACCCGGTGGTTGACCAGGGACTTGCGGCAATCCGGGCGGGATTGCAAGAGCTTCAGCCCGCGGGCGATCACCATGCGCATGCGCAGCCTCAGCGCCCCGTAGCCTCCACACCTGCTGCGGACGACGACGTACCTGCAAGCGAGGCTATACCGCCCGAGGGTCAGCTCAGCTTCCCTCCGGACTTGTTCGGCATTGATCTTGGTGAGGCTGATACGTACGCACAGGAGTGGCAGGCAGGTCATGGCGACTCGGATGGCGAAGCGGAGGAGCACGTGGATAACGAGGAGAACGAGGAGAAGGAGGATACGGAAGGCCTCCATGTACTTGGTGCCGTGGAAGGAGAGGAGACTGACGGCAAGGCTGGTGGTGCTTTGGCGGAGGTTGAAGGGGGCAGGGGTCGCAAGGGCGCTGGCGTCCGCAAAGACAGAAACTCGCCTGGATGGACCGCCGACGTTGTGGGTGGAGGCCGCTCCCGCTACCTGGGCTACTCGTTGAAACGGGCGGACGTGGAGTTTACAGTGTCCGTAGCCATGATTGTGTGGGACGGATACGTGTCGAAGGTGCTGTGGGCCTACAAGGAGGGTGAAACTCCCCCATCGTGGCCCCAGGAATGGGCATTGGCCAAGAGACTTCCGAAAGGCCTGTGGACATGCATGTGGTCTCGTACCATCTGCGGCGACAAAGACAGGTGTGGTTTCCTCGCGGATGTTTTTGGATTTTTACTAGTGCGGATGTTCAGATCATATGCTTGTACACCCTCTCTGACCTGTTTACCCACGTCTCGCAGGCTGACCAAGTTTTTCACGCACGTCTCTGCGTATCAGAGCGGTGGTTTGGACTTCCAGCCCGCTGTGAGTCTGGCCGTCGGTGCCATTGCGGCCAACGCGGAGGCGCGTGACATGAAGGCTGCTATCGCGTATGGGGTCACCATCGCGTCCACGGTTGCTGCCGCCTGGTACTTGGCCTCACAGAGGGCTCCTCAATTCGCGCAAGCTTGCCAGTGGGCTGTGGATGTGGGGACGAAGCTCGACCAGGCCAATGACTTCCCGAACCTCTCGGACAAGTTGAAGAAGGTCATGGAGGCGGTCATGCATGCTGTGAAGCTCGCGGACGAAGAGGAAGGTGCGCTTGCGAATGGGACAACCTTCGTCAATCAGGTCACTACGCAGGCTCTGACGGCGGCGAACATGTCGCAGGATCCCTGGGGGAAGTTCATCGCGAGTGAACTTCTGCACACCTTGGCCTACTGGGCTGACTGCCCGGACGGACGTGATTCCATGCAGGCAGTCGGCATGGTGGTTCCACTTTCGGAGGTCATGACGAAGCTCACCGTGTACAGGAACAAGCGCAGCTACAGGTTCAACAAGTGGGAGATTCCCGGATCTGCGCCGACCCGAACTCGCGCACGCGGTGGTCGCGCGGGCCAGCAGCAGGGAGGTGGTCGCGTGGGCCAGCAGCACTGATCGTCAACCACACGCTGAGGGGGGAGGTGCATTAGGGGGTTGCGAACGTGGTTCTGCGGATGTGCACGGTTTTGTCTGCCTCTGCGGATGTGGATTCATCTTTGTTTTAGTCATGCGCATGTTCTTTGGGTTGGCAGTGGGGTGCAGTGGTTGTTGTTAGAATTTACCCAGGATTTAATTCCGTAGTAACCCATGACTTTGAACCACTTGTCCTTTTTTTTTTTGTGATGTTGTTCCTGCGCGTGTAATTACTTCGATGGAAAATGCATGTTCTTGTCCTCGTTACACGTGGCACCGTGAAATTATTGCTGCCCGCCTTACCGCCTCTGGTAGCCGTATGGGTATAAATAGGCCCAGCAGACACTCGTCATTTCTCATTTTCCACGTCGGACTTCTGCCACCACCCTATTTTGCTCACTTGGTGATGGCTTCTCGGCGTGTGATAGTGGAGACCCACACTGGCAGTCAGCACCTCCTCACGGCTGACGAAGTTAGGCGGATGATGGATCCTACGCAGGAGCTCAGCGAGGTTTCCCTCGAGATAGGCCTGATGTACGTACGTCTCGTTTGCGCAATAGTACGTTCTGCGACGTGTGTGACAATGACGCTTGCCTTATGCAGATGGGCGTGTGAGAGTAATCACGTTCGTAACGTGCGCGTTCTGACGTCTGCCGAGGCCGCGGAAATCGGTCCAGAGGGTTTAGGCCCTGCTGTGCACGTTCTCGATTTCGACGGAGTTGTCGTCCCCGTGTGGAACGAGTAAGTGGCCTGTTTTGTATCAGAACACTTGCGGAGGCTGTCCAAGGCTCTACATACCCATATTTAGGTTTCCGTTGTCGTATGCAGATGGCGTGACAATGGTGAGCCGCCTCTGTGCGCGATTTTTGTCGTTACTCGTCCGCGTGATTTGTTGAAACCGGAGGGAGAGGAAGCGCGTGTCCACAGCTTCTTCTTAGACCCCAAGCCCATTCGCACGCTGCATCGCGGCTCAGTGGTGGGCCCGATGTGGGGGTGGATACTACGGTGAGCTTGCAGATGAGGAGTTTTCCTTCCGGAAGTGCTTCAATTAACCTTGTTAATGATGCCTGCATTTGTTGCAGATGGTTTCTTAGGGCGGCACGTTTTGAGCTGCTCCTCGCGCCGAACCCGCGCCCATCGCACGACGTGCTTGAAGACCGTATGCGAGACATGCATGTTTGTGGTAATGTTTTCCATGAGGGGGAGGAGCCGTCCTTGTGGAGCCCTGTTTCTGGCCTTTGGTGCGTTCGTTTCCTGCAAGATCTGCTGATGGATACGGAAGGCTTCGTTGATCGACGCCGCCGCGGGGAAACGTATCCGTCAGGGGATGCGGATGCAAGTGCTATTCGTGCGTCCATAGCACATTTCGCCCAAGGACTCCTTTCCGACGAGGCGTATAACGTTTGCTATGCGATCCCGGTCAGTGGTCATCCCGGTCAGGAGAGCAACGGTGCGGCCACTTCGGAGGATGCCATGCCGGAGGTTGACCAATCTCAGGGCAACGGTGTGGCCACTTCGCAGGTCTCTATCCCTGATTCCATGCCAGCTCTTGCATCTGATGATGATGATGTGCCTAGGATTGATCGTGCCGAGGAATGATCGTTAGTGCAGTAGTTTTCGTGTGCAGTAGACCTTGCATGTGATTGCGTGTACCTTTCTGTGTGTGAAAACATTGGTTCCTTTGGGTAGGCTTCGTGAAAGATGTTCCGTACGTACGACACAGTGTTCTCAGTCATGCATCAATGTACAAAGTATATGTACAAGACGTTTCCGAACATGCGCACGTTGTAAACAACCATGCGCAAGTACAACAGTTATCACGTGTTAGCAACCTTTTGGCGCTTTTTCGCAGGCGCCTTTGGCTTCTGGGGCTTGGGGGCAGGGGACTTGTGCCACGTTGTAGGGAACTTTTTCTTTAGCCAGTCCTCCGTTCGCAGCTCCGACTCAACGAGCATCCGCGCAACCTTCAGCTGGTCATGTTGCGTTGACGTGAATGCCTCCAGTCCATCGTCCCCATCTGGCTCGACCTTCCCGGGCATCTTGACCACGCCGATGCCGTCTGCGAACGTGCTCCACCCCCCGGTTCGCCCGAGAATGGACTCCAGCTTTTGCCTGACCTGCGTGGTTTCCCCAAGGGCCTCCACCGCGTCCATCACCCTCTTTACGCGCCGCATTTGTGCAGTAATCCCGCCCACGCTTTTGGAGCCACCGTCGTAGGAGTGGCGTTTGACGAAGCAGGGGTCTTTCCCATAGCGGTCTCGAAGGCGTCTTTGGTCGCCGCGTCCTTGGAGGTTCCACAGCACCCATGCATGCTCCACGGATTGACACTTCCTCCATGGAGCCACGACATCCTTCTCGTACGCAGCGTCAGCGGGCTGCTGGGGTTCCACCTTTGGGGCCCCTTGGACAGGCGGGGGTGACTGGCCGGAGACATCCGCGGGCGGGCATGTTCCTGCCGCACGCTGTTCTAGTAACGCACGCAGGCGTGCGATTTCAGCGTCCTTTTCCGCGATGACTGTGTCCTTTTCCGCGATGACAGCATCCTTTTGCAGGAGGAGGTCCTCCTTCGCCTTGTTGTCTTCTTCCAGCTTGCGGATGGTCCGAGATGCCTTGTTGGCCTCCGCAGCCGCTCTGACAAGCTGGTGATCCTGCTGTGACCGCAGACACATGATGGTCTGCTCGGCGTCATGTCGGGCCGAAAACTCCTGCACAATCAGGTCGTTGAGAGTTCGCAGCGTGAGAACGTGCGGATGGTTCTGTACAGTCGCACAATTTGAAACGCTCACACGAGGTGATCATGACGTACCGCCTCTGTTGTCTCGGTGGGATTTCTCCTCTCCTTCGAGGCCTTCTCCTGGGTGTGGAACACGTCGTGCGCCCATTTGCGGAACTCGCTGTTACGGCACAGCGATGACGCTTGTACGTACGGGTGGTACGGTGTCTTGTATAGCATCATCTCCAGGTCCTGAGCCACGATTTTGCGGCCTAACTTCCTAAGAGTTCGCAGGAAGTGAGGTCCAGCACTGTCCTCCTGACCCTTGACCTTGTTGTACGCGGATGCCTGAGAAGGGTACGCGGAGGATATTTCAACAAAATGGATGAACTGCGCAGATGGATGGAACCTACGCACGACTTAGGCTAGCCACTCACCGCTGCTTCCTGCTCCTCGATCCACGGGAAAATGTGCTTCTTGACCAACTCCTTCACCGCAGCCATCATGGGAACGGAGTCTCTGCCCAAGACGTAGTTGCCTTTGGAGCCGGTGAAACCAGCTTTCACCAAAACAGCCATGCGCGGGATCGACGTGAGGTAGCACCTGTTCATCTTGTCGATGGACCAGTGTCAGAATATTATGCTCTAGCCTGCAGTGGGGTGCTCTATAGCGAGTACAACCCTTCTAGGGTTAGCTATTTGTACCACCATTGTTGCTAGTGCAAACCCTCCTTTCTTCATTCTCACTTTCCACTACTATCTCGACATGCTATCAGAGCAGGACGATCCTGTTGGGTCGATCCTGTGGGTGGGCCCCACCACCTCAGTCTTCCGCTGCTCCTACTACTGTCTGTGTCGCACGCCCCGTGGCGTGCGACGGATTTTTCATCCCGCCGCGCGCTCGGGGCGTGCGGCGGTTTTCTCCCCGCCGTGCGCCCCGAGGCGCGCGGCGGTTTCCTACCGTGGGGGACCCCGCGCGCCCCCGCCCTTTCCGTTGCGACGTCCTGGGGAGCCGCGCGCGACCCCCCGCGGCCCCGATTTCCCGTCGCGCCGCCCTGGGGAGCCGCGCGCGACCCCCCGCTGCCCCTTCGCGGCGCCCTAAGGAGCCGCGCGCGGCCCCTCGCTGCCCCGTGGTGGCGTCCTGGGGGCCGCGCGCCGTCCCCCTCGCCGTCCCCCGCGCTCCTTCCCCCGTTCCGCCCGTTTTAGGGTTTGGGGGTGAGGAGTGTGGGGGTGGCGACTATGGGGGTGTCGGTTGTGAGTTCCTCCCCCTGCTCCTCCTCCTCCCTAGTCTCCCTCTGCTACAGCTGCCGCTGAGGGGGGTGGTGTGTGGGAGCCTAGGGTTTGGGGTTTAAGGGGGGTACCGTGGGAGTGGAGCTAGCTAGGGTTTGAAGCAGAGGGTGTGTGTCGAGGGGTGTGGGACTGTTGGGGGAGGTTGAGCGGAGGTTGCCGTCGTGTCGTACGCAGCGCCTGTACTCCGGGGCACTCATTCCCGGTAGCTCAGAGAGCCGGTTGCGCCGTCGCCTGTGGGTCCGTTGCTCCTGCCGAGCATATTAGCCGCGGAGCCTGTTACTCCTGTACTCCGGGGCACTCATTCCCGGTAGCCACGTTGTCGCACCAGAGCCGTCTGTTGCCCGTGTGTCTGCATCTTCAGTCGTCGCCTCCTATCTACTCTCCTCTCGCCAGCCCTCCTCCTCCTCACTTGCCCCCTGTGACTGCCTCTAGCTTTGCTCATAATTTGAACCTTAAACTATTGCTTCTTGCTTGTGCTCAGAATGTGTGGTGACATCGTGATCCACCCTGAGCTTGTACTGCTTTGCTTGCTCTGCTGATTACACCCCACTTTGACTATGGGGGTGTGTCAGAATATTATGCTCTAGCCTGCAGTGGGGTGCTCTATAGCGAGTACAACCCTTCTAGGGTTAGCTATTTGTACCACCATTGTTGCTAGTGCAAACCCTCCTTTCTTCATTCTCACTTTCCACTACTATTTCGACAACCAGTGCCCCATCGAGGCGATTTCGGCCTGCGGCACACCCTTCAGTGCCAGCTCTTGTGCTCCCCCCGCACGAGTTGCGTGGACGACCCGTCTCATGGTTACCCCGTTCGTGCTCCACATCTCCTTTGTGAAGCGCAAATGAGTTGACGCAGGGACCGGACCTTGCTTCTTGCTGCGTACGGGGAAGAACAAATGCTTGTGGTACCATTTCGTGGGCGCGCTGAAGTCCAGTGGCGGGACAACTGGTTGTCCGAAAGCTTCCTTGGCAAGGTCGTACGCGAAGTGCAGGTAAAGCATGAGGTTTCCCACCGCGCACATCTCGTGGTCTTCGTGCCGTGCTGCGTAAGATTGCTCAGTATATCCTAGGTGCTGCCCAACTTGTGCATGTAGATGTCTGGAAGTTCAATGCTTCGCAAGCTGCCTCCTCGAAGAAGCGTGTGGTGGCCGAGCAGCGTCATCACTTTCATGAGGAGGATTTTCCACAGCTTCTGCGACACAGCTTTGCGACACTTTCTCCACGCCTCTCCAGCCAGACGGGAAGCACCTTCCGCATGATTCTGCGTATATCCTTCTCAGAGTACGTGTCGCTGAAACTTCCGCGGTGTCGGTCCACGCACTCCCTGCGGCAAGGTTGCAAACCATGTCAGTGATAACGGACTGGAATGGTGGACTAGCAAGGATTGTGAGTACAAATATGAAACCCTAATGTTGTGACCCCCCTATAGGCTAACCCACTACAGCCTACACAAATACAACATGTACAATGTTTGACACACCCCCATAGGCAAAGTGGGGAAGACCTAGGGGTCACAAGACCAGTTCACATGCAGGTTTATAACAGAGCAAGAGATACAGTGATCACAACCTAGCAAGAGTAAACATGCAGGTATAGATATATATAGTGATCACAGTACAAGCAAAGTCAAGAGGTAAGCAAGTGAGGTCCAGTAGGCACAAGGCCTAGTAGAGTGCAGAAGCGCTGATGGTCACGAGGCTGAAGCGATTTGGTGAACACATCAGCAGTGTTGGCCTCAGTGGCCACGTAGCGAATACAAAGCTGACCGCGCTGCTGCAACTCTCGAGCAAGGAAGTACCGCAGGGCGATGTGCTTCGTTCTGTGCTCCAGTCTGTGCTCCTCACACAAGGCAATGGCAGCCTTGTTGTCGACGTACAGTACTGGAGGAGAACGAGGCCGCTCTCCGAGGTCGGTCAGCAGGTAGGTCAGCCAGCGTAGCTCCTGGGCAGCCATGGCTGTAGCGTAGATCTCAGCCTCGCAACTGGAGCCGAGAACAGAAGAAGAGCGTGTAGAGCGCCAAGAAACTGAGCCAGAACCAAGGCTGAAGGTGTAACCCTGAGACGACCGCTGAGTGGCCTGGTCGTCTGCCCAAGAAGCGTCTGAGTGCCCTGTGAGAACAACTCGGTCTCGCCCTCCAAGCACAAGCCCCATGCCCGACGTACTGCACAAGTAGCGCAACACCCTCTTAGCGGCATCCATGTGCTCCTTCCTGTGACGGCCAGGAGCGACATAGCGTGCAAGGATGCTAAGAGGGTATGCAAGGTCAGATCGAGTGCAGGTCATCAGGTACATGAGGCAGCCCACAAGCTCTGGATACGGGCCACTCGGCTCTACGGACTCATCCGAAGGCAGAGCTGAGAGCGAGTGACCGGTAGGCAGAGGAGTGGACTGAGGCGAGGAGTACGTGAAGCGGAAGCGCTGGAGAACCTGCTGCACCATGTGTGACTGAGTCAGGGTGATGGTGCGCCGTGCTCTGTCCCAGGTGATCCGCAAGCCAAGATAGCTCGTCAGCTCACCCAGGTCTGTGCACGTGTGTCTCCTCTGCAGCTCCGACTTCACGTAGGCGAGTCCGGCAGTGTCAGCAGTGGCAAAGACCAAGTCATCGACGTACACGAGGATGTAGAACGGCGGCAGCGAAGTGTCGGTGCGCAGGAACAGCGACGGGTCAGCTGTAGAAGGCGCGAACCCAAGAGCCGCAAGTGTAGTCCTCAGTGTGTCGTGCCACTCACGCGGAGCCTGGCGGAGACCGTAGACTGGCCGCTGAAGCCTCCACTGGGTACCAGGAGGAAACGACCCAGTGAAGCCAGGTGGGCGGCGTAGCCAGATCTCCTCGTGCAGGCTGCCCTGCAAGAAAGCAGTGCTGAAGTCAAGTGAGTGAAGCTCGTAGTCGCGGTGAGCGGCTATGTGCAGTAGCACCCGAAGAGTAGTCATCTTCGGGGTGGGGGAGAAGGTCTGGAAGAAGTCAACTCCCTCTCGCTGACTGAAGCCTCGAGCCACGTAACGCGCCTTGAAGACAGGCGGAGAACCCGGCGGCCGCTTCACCCTGAAAATCCACATGCCACTGACGATGTTCGCCCCAGGAGGGGGAACCTCGTCGACGTAGGTGCGTGTGGACTTCCAGGAAGCCATCTCGGCGTCCATGGCTGTCTGCCACTGAGAGGAGTAGGGACCCGCCATCGCCTCAGCGTAAGTGCGCGGGGTCGGGATGTCTGGTGCATCCGGGTCTCCCTCAGGGGCAACTAGCAAGGACACGAGACGGGGCAAAGCAGCAGCAAGACACTGGAACTCCTCCTGTCTGTCCTCAAGGACGTCCGTGCCAAGAGCACACTCACCCCCGACGGACAGAGGACAGACAGACTCAGACTCAGACTCAGCAACAAGGCGAGCAGCGTAGTCTAGACGACAGGCAGCAGCAAAGTCAACCAACTCAGTGACCAGAGCAGACGCAGCCGAGGACTCAAAGGTAGGGTCAGTGACAACAGTAGCGAGGAGACGCGTGACAGTAGGGTGCTCAGCACGATACCGGTCAGACTCAGGGTCCGGAACGTCAGGCAAAGAGGACGCAGGAGGAGACGGTAGAGGGACACGCTGAGGAGCAGTAGAGGGACGCAGAGTCATGTAGTGAGTGCCTAGGACAGGAGGAGGACGCTCACGATGGACACGACTACCAGTGCGAGCAGGACGAACAGGCGATGCAGGACGAGACTCAGGCTCACGACGCTCTGTAAGACCTCCTGTGGGACCAGTGTAAGGAGAGGGAGCAGGGAGAGGCGAGGTAGGCGGTAACTGTGACTGCGGCTGGACAGGCGGAGGACACTCTACGGAGGGAGGAGGACAAGGAGGAGGAGCCTGCCCAAGAACCTGCTGAAGGAGCGGTACGAAGTACGGTCGCGGCCGCGCAGCGTCTCCAGAAGCAGAAGAGACTCCAGCGGCCGGGTCCTCAGTACCAGTAGGAGCTCCAGCGTCCGGGTCCACAGCACCAGCAGCAGCTCCACCGGCCGGGTCCTCAGCACCAGTAGTAGCTCCAACGCCCGGGTCCTCAGCAGCAGCAGCAGCGCCACCGCTCGGGTCCTCAGCTCCAGCAGCAGCTCCACCGTCCGAGTCCTCAGCACCAGCAGCAGCTCCACCGCCCGGGTCCTCAGCACCAGCAGCAGCGCCACCGCCCGGGTCCTCAGCTCCAGCAGCAGCTCCAACGTCCGAGTCCTCAGCACCAGCAGCAGCGCCACCCTCAGGGTCCGCAGCACCAGGAGCACCACTCCGAAGACTGCAGCGCCGTGTGTACCACTCGCGGATCTGCTGAATGGGGGGGAGCTCCTGGGTAGGAGGGGAAGTACCGGGACGAGCTCCAGCAGCACCTCTCCGGAGGCGGCAGTACTCGAGGTACCTCTCCTGCAGCTGCTGGGAGGAGAGGGCTCCTCCAGGTGTAGCACGCTCAGGCTCAGCACCCCCAGACTCAGCACCCCCAGACTCAGCACCCCCAGGCTCAGCACCTCCAGGCTCCGCACCTCCAGGCTCCGCACCTCCAGGCTCAGCACCCCCAGGCTCCGCACCCCCAGACTCAGCACTCCCAGGCTCAGCACCCCCAGATGCAGCACCCCCAGGCTCAGCACCCCCAGACGCAGCACCCCCAGGCTCAGCACCCCTAGCAGGACGAGAGTCAACAGCTACCTCGACAGGCTCACCCGGGTCTACCTGGGACACACCTGAGGGAGCGGCACCCTGAGGGGGGAGGGGGTCTGGGACCTCAGCACCTGGAGCGAGGAAGAGAGGCGGGGGGGGGAGCGGGGCAGTGCGGTAGGGGAAGAGGCGGTAGTAGGGGACGGACTCGTCAAAAGTGACGTCCTGAGAGGCCAGGACACGACGCGAGGTGGGGTGGTAGAACTGCCAACCAGGGGCGTCCGGGACAAAGCCAAGGAAGACGCAGGGGACAGCGCGACGGGAGAGCTTGTCCGCGGACGTGTCGCGGACAAAAGCTCGGGATCCCCAGACCCGAAAACGCGACGCATCGCCAGCCTCTCCTGTCCAACGCAGTGTCGGAGAAGTCTCGGGCAAGGAGACACGGGGCCAGAGGTTGAGCTGATGCGCAGCGTATCGGACTGCAAATGGCCACAGAAAATGGGGGGCAGCCGCATGGCTCAAGGAGGTACGAGCGACCTCCATGACCAGACCAATGCGGTGCTCAGCAACCCCATTCTGCTGTGGAGAGGCCGGAAGCGTGTACGACTGCTCAATGCCCTCCTGCTGACAGAAGGCCTCCAAGAGGCCAGAGGAAAACTCCCCACCTCTGTCAGAGTGCAGACGCAGGACAGGGAAGTCGGAGCGGAAACGCTCACTGAGCTGGAGACGAGATCTGCGGATCCAAGGGATCAAGACATCAGGGACGTCACCCTTGGTGCGCAAGGGGAAGACCGTGGTGTAGCGCGAGAAGTCGTCAACAACAATCAGGAAGTACCTCTCCTGACCCTGACCATGGACGCGGGCTGGGCCCCACACGTCCATGTGGAGCGTCTGCAAAGGAGCAGTCGTCGGGGGAAAGGAGGAGGAGTGAGGAGCGGCGCGCTGCCGCCCCTCGACACAGGGAAGACAGGGAGGAGCAGGCGAGTCGGGAAGGGGAGGGAGCACCCTGGGAAGACCAGCAACAAGGTCCCGTTTGTGCATGGCCCGAAGGCGCTGCACAGACGGGTGACCAAGGCGGTGGTGCCAAAGGACAGTCTCATGCGCCAGAGAGCGACACGAGCAGGGGGCGGACAGCTGACCTGACGCAGACGCAGACGTAGACGCAGACGCAGCTACCTGAGGGGACGCAGTGGTCAGTGTGTACAGGTCCGACCCCGGCTCTCGAGTGAAAGTAGCCAGGTGGCGACCCGTCCGAGCACACGTGCAGTGGGTCACGCGCTCGTAGGCAGGGGTGAACTGGTGAACACCCGAGTCCTGGAGCGCACAACCCGCCACCAAGTTCGTAGAGAACGAGGGGAGGTAGAGACCTGACAGCGTGCCGGATGGGACCGCAGGACAAGGAAGGACAGTGGAGGAGGTCGCAATGACCGGACCCCCAGAGGGGTCAGCAAGGGAGACAGCAACTGGCCGAGCGAGTGGCTCAAGGACAGTGCGGTCACGAAAGAAAGAGCGAGAAGCACCGGAGTCCAGTGTGAAGGTGTGCAGTGCTGCAGTCGACTCAGTACCAGGGGGCACAGACGCACTAGCACCTAGGGCAGCAGCCTCACCAGGACCTGCGGGAGCGGACGCACTAGCACCTAGAGCGGCAGCCGGCCTGGCCTGAATGCCCGGGTCGGGCGGAACACGCAAGTACTGAGCACCCTCTCCACTAATAGACATCGCATACATGGCAGTGAGAATAGCATCAAAGTCTAGAGCCCAAATATCAACACCCCTCTTTTCCAGCTCAGCCCAGCGCGGCAGCTCAGTGGCACTAGGAAACTGGGTGCGCCACGCGTCGTTAAGGCGCGCGAAGCAGCGCTGCGTGGGGTGCGGCCTCCCACACTGCTGGCCGCTGCGGTCACCTGTGCGAATGACGTACGTGCAGGTAAAGCCACGCTGCGCATACCACTCACGGGCGGCCTGAAGCGTCGGGGCGGGCTGCTGACTCTGCCCTCCGCCAGTGCCTCCACGACCACCACCCCCACCGCCTCCGCCCCGGCCACCTCCACCCCTGCCGCCACCACGACCACCTCCGCCCCCGCTGCCGCCTCCGCCCCTGCCACCACTCCCGCCGCTGCTGTCTCCTCCCCCACTGCCGCCACTGGCCTCCTCAGCCGCGCCTCCACTCCCACCGCCTCCACCCCCACCTCCTCCGCCGCCACCCCCACCCCTGCCCCCCTTGTTCCTGCGGCGCCCGCTCGAAGCAGACGCGGTCCCGACCTTCTCAGCACCAAGGAGGTCGACAGCAGCAGCAGAGGCGACAGAGGGGAGGAGGGGGGAAGGGGAACACCCCTCAAAGAACGGGGTGCGAGGGTCGCCACGAGAGGTGCCTACAGCGACGATGCTCGCCTCAGCTGCAAGCAGTTCCTTCTCGAGGAGGGCAACAGTGAGCTCAGTGGGGGAGCGAGAGAGGAAGTGGTCCCTGACTGCGCGCAGAGAGTCAGGGAGGCGGGTGACGATGTGGTAGAGAGTGATCCAGAGCGGGGGGGGGGTTGCTAGTGAGAAACTCGGCAGGCATAGCAGCGCGAAAGCGGGCCTCACTAGTCTTAAGGTGGGTGATGAGGTCTGCGACAGTGTGAAAGGAGGCTAGGTCGGGGAACAGGTAGGGGAGAGTGAGGCGGCCTAGCGTGGCAGAAGCGGGTGAGGAGTAGCGGGCAACTACAGCTGTGTAGAGGTCCTTAGCAGTCTTGCACTGGCCGAAGTGCTCGCGCTCGTCTAGCGGCAGGGAGTTGCGAATAGCAAAGCGAGCGTGCGCATCATGGGTCTGCCACTGGGAACGCAGAGTGCTGTCAGCAGACGAGTCAGGGGCAGTGGCATGGCCTAGGGCGTGGTCGTACAGTGAGATATCTTCCTTGGCAGTGAGCTGTAGGAACAGGTGCAGGTCATCTAGCCAGGTTTCGAACTTCACTGGACGGCCCTCGGCATCGAAAGCTAGAACGGGAGGACTAGCCATAGTGACAGTAGTAGTAGCAGTAGTAGCAGTAGTGACAGTAGTAGTAGGAATTAGGCCGCTGGAAAGGTGTGCGGAGGGTCAACGGGGCCGGCGGGGCCGCTAGGTAAGGCGCGGGCGGGGTCGACTGTCCGTAGTGGCACACGAGCGGCAGTAGTAGGGAGCGTGGCAGCAGGAGCTGCAACGGCGCACTGGTGGCAGCTGCAGTGGTAGCAGTGTGCGCGGTAGGTAGAAAATAAACAGCAGTGAGATCGAGTGCCTCGCGGGCGGCGGCTGCAGAAGCGCACGGGCGGCAGCGGCGCACGGGGAACGGCAGTGCACGGGCAGCGGCGGCGCACGGGCAGCGGTGGCGCTCGGGAGGCAGCGGTGCGCAAGCAGCAGCGGAAGCAGCGGCGTACAAGCGGTTGCGGGCAGCGGGGCGTGTGCGAGCAGGCGACGGGCGGCTGCGGGGCGTGTGCGAGCAGGCGACGGGCGGCTGCGGGGCGTGCGCGAGCAGGCGACGGGCCGCGCGCGTAACTAGCGGGCCGCGTATGTAAGAAACAAAGCCGCGCGCGCGAGAAAAAAAAAAGGACCCGCGCGCGAGTAGCTAGCGGATCGCGCGCGCGCGGTAGGGAAATGCGCTCGAGGGCGCGAGGCCTTAAGGGGCCGTAAGAACCGAGGCGCTCTAAGGCGCAGGTAGGTAGGTAGGTAGGTATATAGTGGTGGGCCCTAAGAACGGTCCTAGCGAAGGACCTGCTCTGAAACCATGTCAGTGATAACGGACTGGAATGGTGGACTAGCAAGGATTGTGAGTACAAATATGAAACCCTAATGTTGTGACCCCCCTATAGGCTAACCCACTACAGCCTACACAAATACAACATGTACAATGTTTGACAGCAAACAGTTGTAGTGCTGAGGGAACTTCTCTTTAGCACCTCATGCATAATGAAAAGCACTGTTTCCGTACTCACTTGTGGTTTTTGAGCCATTTGTTGCGGACCTTGAACTTGAGCTCCGTGCTCACGGACGTGATGTCGCGAATGATGTGCAGGGCCTTCTCTCCAAACAGCACACCCTCCACTTTGCACAGGTGAGACAACGCTTTCACCGACATCACGTACATGTTGACCGTGCAGTCGCGCAGCTTTTGCGTACGTTTCTTCTGCGAAGGCTCCCTTTCCTTCTCCTTCTTCCGCTGAAACTCTGCCGCTTTTGCCACGGTCAGATCAGATTTCCATCGAAGGAACGTTTCCACGCGCAACGGGGTCGTGCGCGGGCCATGTAACCACGGCTTGTCTGGTTCCGCCGTCCTCCAATCTTTTCCCTTCCCTCTTCCAAGAAAGGTGCCAACCTCGTCTTGGTCAAGCAAATGTGCGTCGGGTGGGAATCCTTCCGTTAGCTCCGTCTTGAGGAACGCGCAGCACCACTCTTTGCACTCCCGATCGGCATTCACGTAGGCCATGTAAGTGGTGTCTTGTTGAAGATTAGCGAACATCTTGGCCGACTCATCTTCTCTCGACCTCTTGGACGTGTTGGACATCATGTCGGTGATGTCCACCGCTGGTTCGTCAAACGCCTCGAGTGGGATGCGCATGGCCTCGATTTCCTCCATCTCCCGAAGCGAACTTTCGTCCTCTATGTACTGTTCTTCGAGCTCCGTGAGAGGTTCTGCCGGTCTCGCAACTTCGTCATCATCTGAATCCTCGTCCTCAGAGTCGGATTTCTCATCGTCACTGTCTACGTCCTCTACCTCTATACCTGGTGGCTCTGGAATTTTCTTGCCCAAATCCGGTATAACCACGTTGTCGAGATCGGGTGCATCATCGTCTGCCTCTGCAGGGGAACTCGTAGTTGCGGCTTGTTCGGCAGGGGAACTCGGAGGTGCAGGAGTTGCGGGTCCTGGTGCGACATCTGTAGCCCTTCTCTGAGGTGGTCCCGGTCGTGCGCGTGATGTGCGCGGCGCAACATCGGCTACTTCTGCATGCGGACTCGGAGCTGCAGGGGTTGCGGATACTGGTGTGGCATCTGTATGCCTTTTCCGAGGTTGTGCCGCTCGTGCACGCGATGTACTCGGTGCAACAGTAGCTGCTTCTGCAGGTGGACTCGGAGTTGCCGGTCCTTGTACATCATCTACGGTTCCCTCCGCGGGTGGTGTATGGGGTGAGCGTGTGGTGTCCTCTGCAGAGGGTGTCGACATGGTGGTCGGTAAGCTATCACACCATCCGCATAAGCTGAGCGAGCCTATCGTTTCTGGCGTCTAAGGAAGAGGTGAGGGGGCCTGGGGGATGGGGGAAGAGAGATTGTTGTGGCGTCCTAGGGTTTCACAAACGAAGTGGAAGAAATGAAAGAATGACCACCTCCCCTCGGACCCTATGGTTGGGAACTCCTACGCGTGGAGCTCTTGGCTGTCCTACTGCCGGTGATGGCTCGGCCGAGCCACGACCTCGTGCATGCGCAGCCCAGATTTGTGACATGTCCACGCGTCGGCAAAGCATGCACAGCTTCTCCCCGTGTTTTTTATGGCTTGGCGTGCGGGTGCCGAGCCATCAACGATGGTACGTGCGCGCGACACGGTCGTCCAATCAAACAAGGCCACCGTGGTCATTGTAACACCTTCGCAGCCATTGGCCGGCCACAGGCGTTCCCGAACACATGTCGCGCAGGCAGAGCGAGTTGAACCCTTCGCATGCAGTGGTGCCGCGTAACCTTGTTTGGCGCGGAGTGTACACACGTAGCCACGACGTTGCTCGTTGACATTCGCGCGTTCGCCTCTTCCAATGGTTACTCGCCAAATGTTGTAAAAACCCTAAACCCGTTGAGATGTACTCTCGGGTTTGTCTCAACGGATTTTGCATCCGTCGCTGGCGTCGCTTGCCCCTGCATGTCGAGCAGCAGTTTGCAATCCATTCCGTCGCTGGGCGTCGTTGGTCCCAAGGGGGGCCAGGTGTTTCCCCTTCATCCCAACCTTCCCGTTGAGATGAACCAGTCTGTCAGATCCAGTGCTCCTCAAGATGCCTCGAGCGGCTTGTTTACGCCATTCGCAGGCATTTCTAATCAGCATACGTTCCTGACACTCGCGTAATACTTGAAATGCAGCAGCGCTGTCGGCGGTTAGCAGCTTGACTTGATTGTCTTTTCCCTCGTCTAAGTGAAATGGATTTGAAGCCAGAGCACCCGCAACAACAACAAATTCCACCCATATCCGAAGGAGGGGGGCCGGCGAAAGCAGCAACTTCGGATCTGGAACCGACTGGCGGCGCGCGAAATGACGCCCCATCGATTTCGCCGGCCGCCGATGATCGTGCGACGAGCCCTATGCCGTCCGCAGCTACGAGGCCTTCCGCCAACGGTGGCGGCGGCGAGTCCGCGACAGACGCGCGCGGTGCGAACGCCGCGGGGACCGCTGCGCCCGAATCCACCGCTGCGCACAGAGACGCTGCGCAACCGCACGCGCAGGCGCAGGCGCAGGGCTCTCCGCAGGGCGCGCTGAGCGTTCCGCACGCGCTGCTGTCGGACTTTGCGGAGACGGGCGTGCTGGATCTGGCGCACGACCTCGGGATCATCCCGCCCGCCGCTGCTGCTGCCGCCCACGCGGACGGGCCGAAACCGTCGCCTGGTGAGAGAGGGAAGGGGGGAGGGGGGAAGGGGAGTGGGGAGACGGGCGGGCCGGATCTGGCGCACGACCTCGGGATCATCCCCCCGCCGCCGCTGCTGCCGCCCACGCGGACGGGCCGAAACCGTCGTCTGGTGAGAGAGGAAGGGGGGAGGGGGGAGGGGGAGTGGGGAGACGGGCGGGCCGGATCTGGCGCACGACCTCGGAATCATCCCCGCCGCCGCCTCCGCTACTGCTGCCACCGCCCAAGCAGACGGGCTAAAACCGAAGCCTGGGGACGGTGGGAGGTGGGAGAGGGGACGAGGGGACGAGGGGAGGAGGGGAGTAAGGGAAAGGGGGAGGGAGAGATTGGGGAAGGGAGGGGGAGTGGGTGGGAGGGAGGGAGGGAGTTATGGAGGGAAGGAGGGAGGGAGGGAGGGAGGGAGGGAGGGAGGGAGGGAGGGAGGGAGGGAGGGAGGGAGGGAGGGAGGGGGGAGGGAGGGCGGCGAGAGGGGCGAGAGGGAGGGCGGGCGGGCATAGGGAGCTGTAATTGAAATTGCCAGAAACTACCTGCAGCAAATTAGGTGTAACCAACAGCAACACATAGACAAAATGAGATCTTGATGTCAACAAAATATAGTCTCGATGTCATAAACTCGCTTGGATACCACACAGAGCAATCGGCCCTGTTGGAATGTCTCTTCCCCTTCTCTTCCCCTTCTCTTCCCCCAACGCCACCTACCCTTCTCCCCCCGTTCCCCCCCGCTTCTGCAGTCTCTCCTCCCCCAAAGCCAATACCATCGGCTCTGCAGTCACAGCAGCAGCATAGAACTGCAGTGTCAGAGATTTTCTTTCCCCTCTCTTCCCCCTCTGTTCCCCAAATCCCACCCTCCTTCCTCCCCCCGTCCCCCCTGCGTCTGCAGTCTCCCCTCCCCCAAGCCATTGCCATCTTCTCTGCATTCGCAGCAGCAGCAGGGGCAGCAGGGAACAGCAGGGGGATGGGCGGAAGCCTCTTTGGGAGGGGGAACGGCAGGCGCAGGGGGAGGGGGAGGGGGAGGGGGAGGGGGAGGGGGAGCAGGGGCGCGGTCAGTGGAGAGCGGGGACTCCACTGACCGTGGGCGCGTGGGGGGCGCAGGCCCCGCTGCTGCAGGGGGGAACGGGGGGGGGAGGGGGCGGAGCAGGGGGAGCTGGGGGGGCAGCGAGTGGGGCGTCGGGGCTGGGGATGGGGATGGGCGCGGGGGTTTCTATGGGGATGGGCATGCTCCCAGGGGACGAGTATGGCGCGGATGGGGCTGCAGCTGACTCCTTGGACCCCAATGACGCGTGAGTGGCTGTTCTTGCCCGCTGTCCCTCTGCTGTCCCTGTACTGGGGATGGGGGTGGGGATGGGGATGGGGATGGGAATACGGTCGCAGGTGGGGAAGGGCATGCTCCCTTCCAGGGGATGAATATGTCGCGGATGCTGCAGCTGACTCCTTGGACCCCAATGACGCGTGAGTGCCTTGAGGCCCTGCTGCCCCTCTGACGCTGGTTCCTGCTTAAGCGCTTGGCTGACTGGGGAGGGATGAGTGTGGGGGTGGGGATGGGGGTGAAGGTGGTGGCGCGGGTGGGTATGGGCATGCTCCCAGGGGACGAGTATGGCGCGGATGGGGCTGCAGCTGACTCCTTGGACCCTAACGATGCGTGAGTGGCCTGCTGCCCTGCTGTCCCTCTGCTGTCCCTCTGCTGTCCCTCTGCTGTCCCTCTGCTGTTTTTTCCTGCTTGAGCGCTTAAGGGATGGGGGATGGGGGTGGGGATGGGTATGGGGATGGGGATAGGGATGCGGATGGGCATGCTCCCAGGGGACGAGTATGGCGCGGATGGCGCTGCAGCTGACTCCTTGGACCACAATGATGCTGCCCAACTGTAGTACACTCTCTCTGCACTCTCTCTACACTCTCTCTACACTCTCTCTACACTCTCTCTACACTCTCTCTACACTCTCTCTACACTCTCTCTGCACTCTCTGTACGCTCTCTCTCTCTCTTCCTGTTCCATGCGTTTACTGCCATGCTGTTGGGGCCACTTAAACACTTGCTTCGAGGGGCTGTCTTGTCCTTGCTAGCTTGTTCTGCTGCTTTGCTTCCGCCTGCCACATTTTGCTCTCTCCTGCTTTTGTCGTCCTGTTTCTCTCTCACCTCTGCTGCTGTGCCTGCTCTGCCTCCTGCTGCTGCCTCCTGCTCTGTCTCCTGCTCTGCCTCCTGCTGCTGCCTCTGTGGGAGCAGCAAGCGCAAGAGGCGACTGCCCCGGGCAGCAGACAGAGGCAAGGGGCTCAGGCATTTCAGCATGAAAGGTGAGAGGCAGTTAAATAAGAACGGGGTCTGCTGCCTCTGTGCTTGCTGCGCTGCCTGCTGCTGCCTGCTGCCGCCTGCTGCCGCCTGCTGCCGCCTGCTGCCGCCTGCTGCCGCCTGCTGCCGCCTGCTGCTGCCAGCCAGCTGGAGTGGCGACTGCCCCGGGCAGCAGACAGAGGCAAGGGGCTCAGGCATTTCAGCATGAAAGGTGCGATACAGTTAGAGAGCAACCATGAAAGGTGTGGCAGTTGCGCATGAAAGGTGAGGGGAAGCACGAGAACAATCAAAGCCGGATTGCAGCTTTGGCATGTGCCGTCGCGTGAAAACTCATTGCATTCATGTGAAGGTGAATACACAAAGCAGCACCCCAGCATCTGCAAATGCCTATTTTTCCGCTCCGCCCTCCCGCTTGGCATGGCAGTGTGTGAGAAGGTGGAATCCAAGGGGCGCACCACGTACAATGAGGTATGTGTGTCCGTGCCATGTGATTGCTGCAGCAGGGCACAGCAGGACACAGCAGGGCCCAGCAGAGCACAGCAGGACACTGCAGGACACAGCAGGACTCAGCAGGACTCAGCAGGACACAGCAGGGAACAGCAGGACACAGCAGGGAACAGCAGGACACAGCAGGACACAGCAGGATACAGCAGGACACAGCAGGACACAGCAGGGAACAGCAGGACACAGCAGGAAACAGCAGGACACAGCAGGACACAGCAGGACACAGCAGGACACAGCAGGACACAGCAGGACACAGCAGGACACAGCAGGACACAGCAGGACACAGCAGGATACAGCAGGACACAGCAGGACACAGCAGGGAACAGCAGGACACAGCAGGAAACAGCAGGACACAGCAGGACACAGCAGGACACAGCAGGACACAGCAGGGAACAGCAGGGAACAGCAGGATACAGCAGGACACAGCAGGACACAGCAGGACACAGCAGGGAACAGCAGGACACAGCAGGGAACAGCAGGACACAGCAGGGCACAGCAGGGAACAGCAGGACACAGCAGGGAACAGCAGGGAACAGCAGGGAACAGCAGGACACAGCAGGACACAGCAGGACACAGCAGGGAACAGCAGGACACAGCAGGGAACAGCAGGGCCCAGCAGGGAACAGCAGGACACAGCAGGGCACAGCAGGGAACAGCAGGACACAGCAGGGCACAGCAGGGAACAGCACAGCAGGGAACAGCAGGGAACAGCAGGGAACAGCAGGACACAGTAGGACACAGCAGGACACAGCAGGGAACAGCAGGACACAGCAGGGAACAGCAGGACACAGCAGGGAACAGCAGGACACAGCAGGGCACAGCAGGGAACAGCAGGACACAGCAGGGCACAGCAGGACACAGCAGGGCACAGCAGGACACAGCAGGACACAGCAGGACACAGCAGGGAACAGCAGGGAACAGCAGGACACAGCAGGGAACAGCAGGGAACAGCAGGGAACAGCAGGACACAGCAGGACACAGCAGGACACAGTAGGGAACAGCAGGACACAGCAGGGAACAGCAGGGCCCAGCAGGGCACAGCAGGGAACAGCAGGACACAGCAGGGAACAGCAGGGAACAGCAGGACACAGCAGGGCACAGCAGGGCACAGCAGGGCACAGCAGGGCACAGTTACTCTCCTTTCTCTGATCTCCTCTCTGGGCCCCTGGGTGATTCGTCATGTACCCTTCTCTTTCTTACCCTTCTCTCTCTTACCCTTCTCTCTTCTTACCCTTCTCTTTCTTACCCTTCTCTTTCTTACCCTTCTCTTTCTTACCCTTCTCTTTCTTACCCTTCTCTTTCTTACCCTTCTCTTTCTTACCCTTCTCTTTCTTACCCTTCTCTTTCTTACCCTCTCAAGCTACTCCCCTCAAGCTGATGTGTGCGCTCTCCTTCAGATCAGATCATGATGCCCTCAACCTAAACCCATACGTGTATACAGCTACGTTTGTGCACCCCAATACCCGCCTCCCCAATGCCCGCCTGCCAAACCCTGTCAAACCCCGCCACACCTTACCGAACCCTACAGGTGCAGACGAGTTGGTGGCGGAGTTCACAGGGCTGCAAGGCACTGCACGCACCGTGTGCATGGACCCTACCTTTCAAGCCTAATCCCTTGTACCCTCATCCCCGCCAATGCACGCCCTGCAGGTGGCAGACGAGCTAGTGGCTGAGTTCACAGGGCTGCAAGGCACTGCCAGCCTGCCTCTCTAACCCTACCTTTCAAACCTGTTCCCTTGTACCCTCATCCCCTCCAATGCAACCCCCTTTGCCCTACACCCTCCCAATGCACGGCCTCAGGTAGCAGACGAGCTAGTGGCTGAGTTCACAGGGCTGCAAGGCACTGCCAGCCTGCCTCAAGACCAGGTACTCTCCCTCCCAACCTACTCTCCCTCCCTCCCACCTACTCTCCCTCCCTCCCAACCTACTCTCCCACCCTCCCACCTACTCTCCCTCCCTCCCAACCTACTCTCCCTCCCTCCCAACCTACTCTCCCTCCCTCCCAACCTACTCTCCCACCCTCCCATCCTCCCACCTACTCTCCCACCCTCCCACCCTCCCACCCACCCACCCTCCCACCCTCCCAACCTACTCTCCCACCCTCCCAACCTACTCTCCTACCCTCCCAACCTACTCTCCTACCCTCTCAACCTACTCTCTTACCCTCTCAAGCCACGCTCTCACCCTCACAGGCCACTCACCTACCCTCTCAAGCCACTCTCTTACTCTCTCAAGCTACCCTCTTTCTCTCTCAAGCCACTCTCTTACTCTCTCAAGCTACCCTATTGTCGCTGATCGCACCCATTTTCCCCTCCGCTCCAGTGCTTCATCTCTTGAACTCCTCATCCCCTCCCCCCGGCAAAAGAACAACCGGCACCGCATATACAAGGCATCCCTCACTGGTGTTCCACCATTTCCCCTCTCTGCCCAAAACCCGTACCCCTGCTTCCGTTCCCCCTTTTCTTGGCCTCATTCCCCCACTCCATCCCCCCTCTCCCCCGCACCCCTCGGCAGCAGTACGATTGGAAGAGAATTCGGGAGCGGGTGATGATGGTGATGGACATCATCTCAAAGGAGAGGAAGGAGATCAAATGGAAGGGGCTCCCTTCCGCTGCTCTGCCTCCCACCCGCTGCTGCTTCTGGCGCCGCTGCTGCTGCTGCTGTCACTGCTGCTGCTGCTGCAGCTGCTGCTTCTCTCTGCCCAATCACTTCCGCCTCCTCCCCCTCCCCTCCCCCCTCCACCTCCAGCAGTACGACGAGAAGAACATTCGGCGGCGGGTGTACGACGCGCTGAACGTGCTGATGGCGATGGACATCATCTCCAAGGAGAAGAAGGAGATCAAATGGAAGGGTCTCCCCCCCTCCTCCGCCTCCCACCAGCTGCTTCTGGTGCGTGTGGTGTGGTTTGGTGTGGTGTGGTGTGGTTTGTGTTGCTGTTCTGAATAATTCTATTCAAAATTTTACTCAATCATCAAGTGGAAGGGCCACCTCCCCTTCTCCGCCTCGCACCAGCTCCTCCTGGTGCGTGTGGTATGGCATGGTGTGGCGTGGTGTGGTATGGTATGGTGTGGCGTGGTGTGGTATGGTATGATGTGGCGTGGTGTGGTATGGTGTGGTGTGGTGTGGTGTGGTATGGTGTGGTGTTGTGGTGTGGTGTGGTGTGGTGTGGTGTGGTGTGGTGTGGTGTGGTGTGGTGTGGCGTGGTGTGGTATGGTGTGGTGTGGTGTGGTGTGGTGTGGTGTGGTATGGTATGGTGTTGTGGTGTGGTGTGGTGTGGTGTGGTGTGGTGTGGTGTGGTGTGTGTGGTGTGGTGTGGTGTGGTGTGGTGTGGTCTGTGTTGCTAAGTCGACTCAAAGATCAAGTGGAAGGGCCTCCTCCCCTCCTCCGCCTCGCACCAGCTGCTCTGGGTATGTATGGTATGGTGTTGCTGCTCCTGCTGATACTGGTACCACTGCTTCTGTTGCTGCTGCCTCTCCTGCTGCGGACAAGCATTTGATGGGCATTCGGCTACCATTTGACATGCGTTCGAGCCTCTTGTGCTTGCTTCCTTCCAGGCGGAGTCATCGCGGGTGCGCAGTCGGGTGGAGAAGAAGGCAGCCCATCTCGAGGAGTTGAAGGAGCAGGTGAGCCACCCCTCCTGCTCGCTGCCCTCTGCCCTCTGCCCTCTGCCCTCTGCTCTCTGCTCTCTGCCCGCTGCTCTCTGCTCGCTGCTCACTGCTCTCTGTTCTCGTTCAAGAAACAGCTATGCCACCCTTTCCTGCTCTCTGCTCTCTTTCAAGAAGCAGGTATGCTACCTTCTCTCTCCCCCCTTCGCGCTCGCTCGCTCCTGCTCCAGTTTTCATTGCTGCTGCTTCTACTTTCTCCTCTACACCTTCTGTGTTCCTCTTCGCATGCTCTTTTGCCTGTTGACATGCATTTGTCCGTGCACGCATCCATGCATGCATCCATGCATGCATGCACCTACGTATGGTTGCTCCTACACATGCATGCACCCACGCATGCACGGACCCACGTACTCTCATGTGTGTGCCGCCCACCTCGTGTCTGTGTGCCATCCACCTCACAGATGGCCGGCATCGAGCGTCTCATGCGCCGCAACGAGGCCAGCAGCCAGCAGGGGGGCCCACCTGCGGGCGGCGGAGTGGCGCTGCCTTTTATCCTCGTGCAGGTACTGTTCATTCTCGTGCAGGTACTGTTCATTCTCGTGCAGGTACTGTTCATTCTCGTGCAGGTACTGTTCATTCTCGTGCAGGTACTTTTCATTCTCGTGCAGGTACTGTTCATTCTCGTGCAGGTACTGTTCATTCTCGTGCAGGTACTGTTCATTCTCGTGCAGGTACTTTTCATTCTCGTGCAGGTACTGTTCATTCTCGTGCAGGTACTGTTCATTCTCGTGCAGGTACTGTTCATTCTCGTGCAGGTACTGTTCATTCTCGTGCATGTACTGTTCATTCTCGTGCAGGTACTGTTCATTCTCGTGCAGGTACTGTTCATTCTCGTGCAGGTATTGTTCATTCTCGTGCAGGTACTGTTCATTCTCGTGCAGGTACTGTTCATTCTCGTGCAGGTACTGTTCATTCTCGTGCAGGTACTGTTCATTCTCGTGCAGGTACTGTTCATTCTCGTGCAGGTACTGTTCATTCTCGTGCATGTACTGTTCATTCTCGTGCAGGTACTGTTCATTCTCGTGCAGGTACTGTTCATTCTCGTGCAGGTATTGTTCATTCTCGTGCAGGTACTGTTCATTCTCGTGCAGGTACTGTTCATTCTCGTGCAGGTACTGTTCATTCTCGTGCAGGTACTGTTCATTCTCGTGCAGGTACTGTTCATTCTCGTGCATGTACTGTTCATTCTCGTGCAGGTACTGTTCATTCTCGTGCAGGTACTGTTCATTCTCGTGCAGGTATTGTTCATTCTCGTGCAGGTACTGTTCATTCTCGTGCAGGTACTGTTCATTCTCGTGCAGGTACTGTTCATTCTCGTGCAGGTACTTTTCATTCTCGTGCAGGTACTGTTCATTCTCGTGCAGGTACTTTTCATTCTCGTGCAGGTACTGTTCATTCTCGTGCAGGTACTGTTCATTCTCGTGCAGGTACTGTTCATTCTCGTGCATATACTGTTCATTCTCGTGCATGTACTGTTCATTCTCGTGCATGTACTGTTCATTCTCGTGCGGGTACTGTTCATTCCTGTGCAGGTACTGTTCATTCTCATGCAGGTACTGTTCATTCTCCATGCAGGTACTGTTCATTCTCCATGCAGGTACTGTTCATTCTCATGCAGGTACTGTTTACCTATAGTAAGTGGACAAGGAGGCAGAAGCGGACGGGCGCACCTGGTGCAAGGGAAGTGAAAGAAAATCCGTACCCTTATGTACCCTAGCAATCGCTCGTGGCTTTTGATATGTCTCAGAATGTCCTTACGTGCCTTTTGAAATAACCCTAGCCGAATGTACACAGATGGCTAAGGAGAGTGAACAAGTTGTTTGATGTTGGGAGGTATGGCAGCCTGTTTGTATTACAATATGCGAAGCTTGCTGCACCCCCTCTCCTTGGGGGAGAGCGTGCTGCACCTCTCACAAACTTGTTAAAGAGCTCACCCCCTCTCCGCTCTCCCTCTCTCTTCCCTCTCTCTCTTCCCTTCGAATCCGTCTATACCATCCAAAGCAGACCCACCCGCAGGCAATTGTGGGAGGTGGAGATATCAGCATCTCTCCTTCTGAATGGTCCTTTATTGATATAAGCATGGGTGGTGCAGCAAGGTTCATGCAGTGGACAGAGATAACGAGGGTGAGCTATCATCCTACCCACCTTCTCTCCTTCTCTTTTCTCTTCCCTCCCCCTACCCTCTTCTCTCTCTCGCCACTCTGTCCCCCCATACAGACCCGACCACAGGCAACAGCGGAGGTGGAGATATCAGAGGACATGCAGCTTGTGCACTTCGACTTTAGCACGTCTGCTTCTCAACCCTTCTCTTCCTCCCTCATCCTTTCTCTCTGCCTCTTGATGCCACTGTCTCCCTGTGCAGACCCGCCCACAAGCAACGGTGGAGGTGGAGATATCAGAGGACATGCAGCTCCTATCTCACCTCCTCTTCCCTCCTCTCCCCTTCTCTCCCCTTCCGTGCTCCCCTGTGGTGTGCAGACCCGCCCACAAGCAACGGTGGAGGTGGAGATATCAGAGGACATGCAGCTTGTGCACTTCGACTTCAGCACGTAAGCCTGCTCACACCTTTTTCTACTTAGTTAATACCATTAATGCCTCCCCTCAGCAAAGGGTACTCTAAATCTGGAATTTCTGACCTCTCCCTCTCGCACCCCAGTCTTTCCTTCTTCTCTGCTCCGTCTCCTCTCTCCCGCCACGCTCTTTGAGCTTTAAGACGTGGGTCTCTGCACGGGTCTCGTAGCTGCCAGCTGGCTTTAAGCCGACAGCTAAGTTGTGCATGACGTGGGTCTCTGCGCGCCTCCGCTCTCGAGTGTTTTGAGTCAACGCACTCGTGTGTTTTGAGTCAACGCTCTCGTGTGTTTTGAGTCAACGCACTCGTGTGTTTTGAGTCAACGCTCTCGTGTGTTTTGAGTCAACGCTCTCGTGTGTTTTGAGTCAACGCTCTCGTGTGTTTTGAGTCAACGCTCTCGTGTGTTTTGATTCAACGCTCTCGAGTGTTTTGAGTCAACGCTCTCGAGTGTTTTGAGTCAACGCTCTCGAGTGTTTTGAGTCAACGCTCTCGTGTGTTTTGAGTCAACGCTCTCGTGTGTTTTGAGTCATCGCTCTCGTGTGTTTTGAGTCAACGCAAAACTCTCCAGTGTCTGTCTTCCGGCCATCTTTGGCTGCTCCCACTACTGCTGCTGCAACCATGGCGCCTCTGCACCCATCCCCTCATTGATGTGCCTCTGCACCATCCCCTCATCAATGTGCCTTGTCTAAACCCGAAACGCCTATCTCTCCTCTTACCCCAAATTCTCTGCCTCCTTCTCTTTTCTCTCAGCACGCCCTTCGAGCTGCACGACGACAGCTACGTGCTGCGAGCCATGGGCCTCTGCACGCCTCTCCTCATCAAAGACGTTACCCTTCATTCATCCAGAACCCCAACCTCTCCCATCTCAATCTCTCCCTCTTTACCGCCCCTTCCCTCTTCCCTGCCCTCGCATCTGACAGCACGCCCTTCGAGCTGCACGACGACAGCTACGTGCTGCGAGCCATGGGCCTCTGCACGCCTCCCCTCACCGATGTTTTCCCGCCCTCCCCGGCTCCTGCTGCTGCTGCTGCGCCTCCCCTTGCCTCCACACCCAACCCTCCGCCGTCCGCGCAGTCACAGCAACCTCAACAGGTGCAACATTCTCAGCAGCCGCCACAGCAGCAGCAACAACAGCAGCAGCAGCAGCAGGCATCGGCGGGAGACGGTGCAATGACGACCACACAGGCTGGTGCACAGGCACTACAGCAGCAGGGGCAGCAGGCACAGCAACAGCAGGGGCCGCAGCAGGGGCCGCAGGGGGCAGGGAGTGGGCAGGCACAGAACGCACCAGCAAGCACACTCTCTCACACAGAGCCAGGGACGGCAGCCCCTACAAATGGGGGACCGAACACGAACACAGGAGCTCCCACGAACGGGGCACCACCCACAACAAGTAATGGACCGCCCATGGGTGGCACTGCAGGTGCCACTGGTGTGGGGAGCGGGGTGGCAGCAGCGGCAGCAGGAGGAGGAGGAGGGCCGGTGGGTCAGCCTGGGAGAGCAGAGCGTGTGATCTATTCTCCTCCTCCCCAGCAGCAGCAGCAGCAGCAGCAGCAGCAGCAGTACCAGCCGGCAGTGCAGGTTCCGGCTCAGGCTGTGGGTGCATCTGCGCTTGCCCCAGGGCAAATGGCACCTCAATTCCAGACACAGGGATCTCTGGCGGTGCACCTTCCACAGCAGCAGCAGCTGCTGCAACAGCAGGTGCAGCAGCAGCCACAGCAGCTGCCACAGCAGCAGGTGTCGCAGCAAGTGATGGTGGGGAGTGCGCCTCAGATGCAAATGGTAGGAGGGGGGGTGATGGGTGGGGTTAGTCATGGTTACCAAGCAGGGGTTGCAGGTGCAGGGGTGGTGCCAATGCAGGGGCAAATCCCGGGTATGGGGCAGCAGCAGCAGGTGCAGCCGCAGTATTATCAGCCGTCGCAGCAGCAGTCACAACAGTATCAGCAGCAGCAGCAGCAGCAGCAGTACCAGCAGCAGCAGCAGCAGCAGCAGTATCAGCAGCAGCAGCAGCAGCAGCAGCAGCAGCAGCAGCAGCAGCAGCAGCAGCAGCAGCACTATCAGCAACAGCAGGGCGCACCATACGTTGGCATGCAGCCTATGATGCAACCCCAGCAGCAGCAGCAGCTGCCACAACAGCAACAGCTGCAACAGCAGCAGCCCTACCAACAGCAACAGTACCAGCACCAGCAATACCAGCAACAGCAACAGCAGCAGTATCAGCAGCAGCAGGTGCAGGCGATGCCAGTGGCAGAAGCAACAGGAGCACCAGCAGCAGCAATGCAGCAGCAGCCACAGCAAGGGGGTTCCTCTCAGAACTACCCCATCACCATGCAGGGAAATCCTGCGTTTACCCCAGTACCACCCACTTCTAGTGTCACCCCTCCTCCTTCTGCCCCTGGTAGTAGTATGGGTGCTGATCCCATTGTGCAAAACCCTGGAGGGATGGAAGGGCCAGGGCAAGGCGGGGCACTGGGGGAGATGCAGCAGAGTCAGGCAGGAGAGTATGGGTAGGGGCAGGGGCAAGGGGGCATGGCACAAGAGGCAATTGGGGATGGGGGGGTTGCTGGGTCGGGAGCAGGCGAGCACATGCAAGGGGGGTACTAGGGAATGGGGTCTGTTGTGCAGGGCTCAAAGGTTGGGTGTCAGATGCAGTTGGGGCAGGGGTAAGCAATCACATGCAAGGGGACGTTATTATGGCCGAGGCAACACTTATGCATATGATGTACTGTACCAGATATGGTCTGTTGGGCGTGGTCGATCGGCTTTCAGCTACTAGATTTAGGCACAATCGGCTGGTACTGGCAATGGTGGTGGGGCTAACACAGGTGCGCTGTTTGATGTCAGGTCAGGAGCATGCGATTTAATGAAGACGCTATTTACGGTGCTGGTGCTGGTGTGTCCCGTTGCTATCATACTAGCCACTGATAACGTTGTAGTGTGCTGTAGCCACCGCTTTGTGTTTCTGCTGTGTGCTGTGCTGACAGATGGGAGATGAATTGACCCATAAATTCATTTTTTGAGTTCACATAATTGGGACCTTTGTTTTTAAATGGCTATAAATATCTTACATGCGCCGCATTAGTAGTTTTGACATGATGCATAAAGACGTTTCAGTCTAAAGCGCACCATCGATTTTCTCGTTCCGACTTTCGTTCCATAGATTCTCCAGGCAGACTTTTCAGTCAGCCTTGCCTCTCCGACGTGTCCAGCATCCCGAAGTTCTCTGCGTAGTGCGTAGCCTCGGTTTTAGGTTCGGTGTATCGAACTGTTTGCCTCAAGTCTCGCCCCCCCCCATACGTAACTGTTCTTCCCGCCTTCGGAATTTCGAGCCGCACTCGGTACTCCCGAATGCGGCGGATCTTTGAATCACCACGCACCGTACAGAACCCCTCTCGTTCGCTCATGCAGTCGAGAGGCCGCATCGAGTTGTCGGGAGTGGTCTGGACAGCCATGCGACGCTTTAGGCCATCTGGCGACGTCGCCACGAGCAGCGATCGCCGCGGATCCCACAGGCGATGCGGATTCGCTCAGCAGTGCCATTGTTGTCTCACACCCTTGGCGATTCCGAGCCTCACACCCGCGGCGATACCGAGCCTCACACCCTCGGCGATTCCGAGCCTAACACCCCCCTCCGTGACTTACGTCGCACCCCCGTCCCTGTTTCAGGCACACCCCAGATTCCTCCCTCCCTTGGAATCACAGCAGCCACTGATGCACCAACAAAACAACTATATAGCAAGCAGGGGTTCGTATTCTCATTCACCAGTCTGCACTGATCCAGTTGCTGCGAGTTCTTATAATCAGCCTTCGACTTCCTGCCATCGTCTGCTCTTAAAGCCAGGGTCTCAAGTGACCAAGTGCTTTGCAGTCGATGAAAAACGGGCCTGTCTGATTGGTTTACAAATTTGGGGCCAAAGTTTTGACAAATCGAGACTCTCCAAAGAGCCCACTTATCGCCCAAGTGCTTTGCAGTTGCACGGCCAACCCTTACATGAGACCCTGGTTTTAAGGCCGTGGTACCGTCTGACACTGCTCTAGTGCTCCCTGAAAGCCCTTCGATTTCTACACTAAAGCCAGTCCGTTCCGCTACTTCGTTCGTAAACGAAATGGCCTGCGTCGGTGCTGCGAGTGCCTGCGCGGACGTTGACGCGCTCTTCTCGAGCCACTGGGAGCTAAATGACTCCCTGACTCGCTTCGTCTGCAGCCTGGTCTCCCTTCCACGCCTGGTAAGAACAAATTTCCACCTTCTCCTTTCAGTTTCTGTGTGTATTATCACGCCGACGCCTCCTTCTTGTCACAGATTATCTTCATATCTTGAGCGGAAACTAACGTTGCTCACTTGAATCTCTGCAGGTCAATTTCAAGTGGACCAGCTCAAGCTATCAAGTTGCAACGAAGGCTGTTCTTGCCGTGGTTGAGGCTCCTGCTGTCAAGGATGAGGTCCCTTCTTCTCCTGTGGAGGTTCCTGCTGTCGCTGTGTTGTTCCCTGCTGTCCCTGAGGTTCCTGCTGTCCCTGTGGAGGTTCTTGCTGACTCTGAGGTGGTTCCGGCTGTCCCTGTGGAGGTTCCTGCGGACCTGGTCGAAGCTGCTGCGTGCTCAGCTGGAACCGCTGCCTTGTCAACTGAGGTCGTCTCTCCTTTCTCGGCTGCTACTCCTCGCTCCTCGGCTGAAGCAGTGTTCAATTCGATTGAGAGCTCGATCTACTCAGTTGAAAAGGCGTGGTGGTTGGCTGTTCTGGAACCAGAGGAAGTGGCTTTTTCGTTCCTGGTTCCGAGGACATACAAGGATGTGACGATGGGCTCAAAGGTACAGAATGGTGCGGTGGTGGGTGCAGAGGCGAGCAGCAGGCGGTGCAGCTTGAATCGGAATGAGAGTGCGTGTCTCATCGACCTCACCTGGGATACCTGCTCCTTCTCTTCTGATAGCCTTTGCAGTACACAGACGGACTTGCTCACAGAGGCAGCCAGTAGTAAGAGGGGGATTGGCCGGGGCAACAGCAGCACTGGGAAGGGATGGAATGTGGAGGCGAAGGGGCTTGGGAAGGCTGAAGGAATGACTGCTTTCTCGAACCAACTCTTTGGGGATGATGAGGAGGACGAGGATTACAGCAGCAGAAACGGTTTTACGACGTACGGGGCAGGGAATATGTGCTACATGAATCAACTGTACATGGATGAGGAGGATGAGGAGGAGAGTAGGTCACTAGCAGCATCAGGGATTTCGGTCGGCATCGGGAGATTTGGTGGAAGGCGAAGAATAACGGGGTCGAGCAGCTGGGTCGCTCTCCGTAGAATGAGCAGTGTGCTGAGACAAATGTAGATTAGACATCCTAGTCTATTAGCAGCTGTGGCTGGAACCGGAGTAACTGGACTGCCACAAATTAGCATGCTACGGTATTGTAAATATATGATTATCTTTTTGTCAAATTTGTGTAATGCTACTGTATGACCCTTTATGCTTTATACCACCTTTGTCAGTAACGTACCTAGTATGAATACTGGTTTTATTACCATATCATTCCCCAACATGTTGTAACATTCCCACGAAAACAGGGGCAGTTGAGTACCTTTGGCACCGTGATGAAGATGTTTCCGGCTTCAGAGACAGAGGCAGGAGGGGACCATCAGCAGCGGCACACTCAGTCTTTAGTTGCTCTAGTAGTACCGTATTCTTGACCCGCATGCAGCCCCACTTGAGCTGACAAAGCTGTACATGGTAAAGGAGGACTATCCACAAGGGGAGGAACATTGAAGAATGGTGTGGTGTAAATGGGCCCATCTGATAAACGTTTACGGCATGGTTTCACTTCAAATCACACAAGAGATCTAGACAAAAGGCGGGCGGCAGCAGCGCCATCCACACGGGTCTTCCTCCACTCCAGAACCGACCAATAGCAGCTTACCAGCACATCAGCTGACACGTCTTCAAAGCAGGTCACAGACAGGCAGCACGCCACAGTTCGCACCAATCTCTCATCCACATCTCTGTCCAACTCTTTCTCCAAACATCCATCTGCACACCCCTCCAAACGTTCACCCAGACTTTCATCCGGAACACCCTTACGGCTGCTACTATTGCTGTCGGAACCTGAACGGCAAGCCTGTGAGCTTCTCCTCTCCTCACTCTTTTTCGCCCGCCGACTGGCCTCTCTGATCCGCCACTCAGCCGCCCCTGCCATTTCCGCCGATGCAAACACCACAAGGTACGTTCCTGCTGTCTCCTCCCCCTCCTCTCCCTCCTTTCCATCCTGTCCCTCCGCCTCCTCTGATTCCTCTGTCGCTTCAGCTCTCACTTCCCCTTTTGTTCCCCTTGCCCCCTCTCTCCCCTTTGACAGAGCAACAGCTCTCACGGATGGGTGCAGCCCCATAACTACCTCCACTGCCTTGCGTATCAGCGCAACGGGCGGCGACTCATGAGGCGGCAGTTCAGAGCTGTTGAGGTGGTGGGACATCTGTGCGCCAGCAGGAGCGCCGGCAGCTGCGTCAGCAGAGGCATCGACACCAGCACTCCTGCAGTCCCTCCTGATCACAGTAGCTGCAGCAGCAGGGTCAGCAGCAGTGGCACTCTGAGGAGCAGAAACAGCCTGCTTCTCTCTATGTTTACACCAACCCACCTTGATGCTGCTGCCCATCATCCTCTCAATCCCCTTCTCCAGTGCACCCAGCTCTGCACGGACCACCAGAATGTGCCGCGTGCCTGCAACAGCAAGCTTCTCTCCACTTGGACACTCCTCCTTAGCACCCCTTGTGGTACTAACGCCTACAGGCAAGCCCCGTGTGGTTCCATTGCCTGGAGAGCAGCCCCATGTGGTAGTACCATCACCATATGTACCCTTTGCAGTCCCATAGTCATATGAGCTCTCAATGGTGCGTCGGTGCACTCGCATCCTCTCCCCCTCACCACCACCTCCCCTGCCTTTGTCTTCCTCCACCTGCCACATCCTGTAGGCGTGACTCGCCCTCGTTATAATCACACCATCAGCCCTTCATCTGCCCCGAAATCCTCGTCTGCTAGAGTCACCATCTCAGCAGCTGTCAGTCCCATATCGCTCTCACCACTCCCACACCTCTTCTCACACGATCCCCTCTCACTCTCCCCTTTCTTATGCCACCTGTCCCGTCCCTTGCCCCAACTGTTACCCTCACCTAGAGCATAGGTGATCATAGGAAGCACAAATCTACACCATAGATCAGATCCTTCTCCCTGTCAAAGGTCCACTAGCGAGCTGCTCCTTAGCGAGGCTGCAGCACACGTGCTTGTGGCCAGTGTTACTCCAGAGGGGGTAGGAGGAGGAGGCGAGGCAGAAGCGGCTGTTGACTGCACCAGCAGGCGATGGTAGGACCGGAGCTTAGGAAACTCCGGCATCACATCTGACGCGCCTATTGCCGATCCTTCCCTTCCTGTTACAGTTACATTTGTTACCGTTGCAAATCCCTCTACCTTCCTTTCTGTTTCACCCCCTGCCGTTGAATCCCCTGCTGAATCTGGATCATCTGCTGCTTGCTCCCCTCACTGGTTCCCCCGTTCCTCTGCTCTGGTTGTCCGCTTCTCTTCCACTCTCCTCCCATGCCGCACTGCTGCTATCCGCGCGTCAGATGCCGCAGCTGCCGCCCATGCGCCTCCCACTCGGTGCGCCTTGAGCCCTCTCCCCTTGCACACCCTCTTCTGAAGCACTTGCTTCTCTTCTCTCCCTCACCTCCGGCCCCCTCCTCTCCACTTCCCCCACCTTCTTCCGAATTACTCTAACCTCTTTCCGCTTCTCCTGTGATTACTCTAGCGCCAACATCTCCCCCACTCCCCTCCGTTCCTCCTTTCCTCTCAGCCAATTCCTCCTCATCCTGCCCCTTTTCGTAGCTCTGCTTCCCCCTCACCCCTGTTCCCGCGACCGCGCGCAACCTCTCTTAATGCTTCTCGCGCGCCTTCATCCACCAATATCCTTGCCGCTCCGCCCGTCTCTTTCCGCGCCCCCCCCGCTACAACACCCCGTGCTCTGGTCTCTCATCCGCCCGCGCCTCAACCTCGGCGCGTATCTTCTTCCCCGCGCCCCCAGACACTGTGTCACCCTTTACGGTCGCCGCCGACCTGCCGCTTTCTTCCCTCGCTTCGTCCTTGGCCCGTGAGGAGCCGCCACGTGTCCATGGTTCCGCGCCTGGCCGCACCCGCCGCCGCGCTCGGGCTCCCACTCCGCCTTGGCGCGCGGAACCAGCACCGTCAGCTTTCTCCGAAGACCGCGCAGCGGCGCTCAAGTTCAGGAGCGCTCGGCGCGCTGCTTCGGGAGGAGCTTGCGTGCGAAGCTCGGCAGGCGTTGGGGGAAACGGGAAGAGAATTTTGCGCAATAAATGGGGTATCAGGGGGTGCGAAATCCCGCGGGCGGGAGAGGAAGCGCAGGATGTCGTCCTCGACGCGCAAGAGGAAGAGATGATCGGACGGCTTGGATGGAGACGCCAAAAGGCGGTGCGGTTCCATCGCGTAAATCTCAGCGAAATGAGGAAACCATATGCTTCTGTACCTATTTTGTAAGGCTACATTAGTGCACCATATTTCTATTGTGCACACATCGTAGAGAAATCATGAAAGAATGAATAGCAAAAAATGAGCATGATTTCCGTTTTTGGGATGATGATTTGTTATATAGTATTGGTTTGGATGAGAACACCTCCTTATTGTAGTATGGTAGATATAAGCATGCGTTGTAATGTGTCACAAACGAGCATGTGCCCATTCATGATGCTTTTGACGCGGATATTGCGTCTCCCTTGGAGACCTTCCTCTTCTATTTGAGCGTGATCGTGACGGCTGGCCTAGCAGAAACAGAACAGCTAAGCTCACGTGACTGCATCGAAGCGCATGGTGGTCAAGAATCTAGATCACGATGAGCATCCTTGTCTCAAGAGATTCTATATCGATTTGTAGTAGAGGATTTTAGGTTGAGTGACACTCACTATACGCAGCATTCGCGGTCCCAGAGTCACGATCTCACAGTTTGTACTCGATTTAGACTCAAATTCACCCTTTTCTGTCGAAGCTGGACTTCAGCTCGCTGACATTCCTCAGATGCCATAACGGCGCTGCCGCACGTGGAAGGCGGGCCGCGTTCAAGAGCTCGTGTTGAGGAGTTTCTTCTTAGAGTCTTTCATCTCGATCATAACGTCAAAAGAACCTCACTTATCAGTACGTGGCAGTTACTGCTAGTCCGCCGCCCTGCTGTCATTCCACGAGGAGTTGGTGGCTCAGCTGCACGACGAGGGCATACTGTGGAGAAGAGCTTGCATAGATCGATATTGGAGCGACAAGGGAGCTTTCGATCCGACCTTTCTCCGTTCAGCTCGGTCTGATCTGCCGCCATGCTATCATTTCACGAGGAGGTGGTGGCCCAGCTGCACGAGGAGGGCGGGCTGTGCTAAATAGCTTGCTTCGGTCGATTCGTGATAAATAGAACCGGTCCCATTTGTCTTACTGTGCCATCATACTCTCATTCCACGAGGTGGTGGTGGCGCAGCTGCACGAGGAGGGCGGCTGTGCTGAAGAGCCTTTTCGTACCCCTTAGAGCACGTGGCAGTCATTCAGCCGCTAAAATGCTCTCATTTCACGAGGAGGTGGTGGCACAGCTGCACGAGGAGGGCGGGCTGGCGGTCCTGGGGGCGGGGCTGGGGCTGCACAAGGTGCTCGCGCTGCTCATCCGCTACCACCACATCACCACCGCCACCTGCTCCCGCAACCTCGGGATCATCGGCAGCAGCAGCAGCGGCGGTGGCGGCAGCAGTAGCGGCAGTGGCAGCAGTGGCAGCTTGGGTGGTTATAACGGGCGGTTGATGTTTGTGATTGGATTGACGGAGGAGCAGAGGCAGGCCGTGCAGGAGGAGCTTGCGGCGCTCAACAGAGCTGCTCCGGCCCTTGCAGCTGCTCCCTTTGAGAACTCTCAAAATGTTCCTTCCCGCTCCAGCCCGCCTGCTGCTCCACGGGACAATCGGGCGGCAGCAGGATCAGGGTCAGTAGCAGCAGCAGCAGCCGCAGCCGCAGCCGCAGCCGCAGCAGCAGCGGTGGCTGTCGCATCAGCAAGGGTAGCAGCTGCTGCTGTGGCAGCACCATCAGCAGAGGGAGACGAGGCTGCCAAGGTGTCACCTGCAGTGGCATCCAATGGACCGGAGGCAGAAGCACCCCTGTCGACCGCGCTGCACCGCCCTGCACTCCCGTGTGTGCTGGCCGAGGTGAACAGCAGCATGTCGAGTGCTGACAGGGTGGCGGCGTACCGAGAGGGAGGGTGCTTCGCCGTGACCTCCCGCATCCTCATCGTCGACATGCTCTCCGATCGAGTGCCCTTCAATAAGGTTTGTTGGGGGATTGCATGAATGCTTGGGTGATTTGAACGTGCTCTGAGGCGCCTCATTAACTCATTCTCATCGTTGACATGCTCTCGGATCGAGTGAGCTTTGACAAGGTCTGGGATTGTGTGTGAGAATGTGTGGATTGAAGGAACCAATAGACCACGAGGGAGGGTGCTTCGCCGTGACCTCCCGCATCCTCATCCTTGACATGCTGTGGAATGTCTGTATGCTTGGGTGATCTGAACGTACACGTTTGCGTGCATGCGTGTGTGTTGACGAGCATAAGCCTTGTACCAAGGTGAAGTGTGGTCTGTGTTGTCTTCCACCTGCCCTCTCATCCTCTCCTCCCACATGCGGTGCATGCAGCTCAAGGGCATGTTAGTGGCGAATGCACACAGGAGGTGTTGTCCAGCCTTCCTTTACTCCTTCTCCCCTCTTCCCTGCTTGCACCTGTCTCACTCGCAGCTGAAGGGCATAGTGGTAGTGAACGCACACAGGGTCACCGACACAGGAGCAGAGGCCTTCATCCTGAGGCTCTTCAGGTGGGACCTTTCACGTGGCCACTCGCAGGTGGTCCTTCAGGTGGGTTCTTACAACTGGATGCAAGTTTGGTGCTGGGCTGGCCTTCTCAATCTCGGATTCTCAAGGCGCTCTCTCTTAGTCTCTCTTAGTCAGGCGCCCAAGCCGCCCTGAAAATACATGTTTGTACGTGCATCTGCTTCTCTTGATCTTCCTGCCCGTTTTCCCCCCAGGGATGCCAACAAGCACGGCTTTATCTACGCGCTGTCAGACCGCCCCAACTCGCTGACTGCCGGCTTCCACAAGGCGGAGCGAATCCTCAAAGCGCTCTTTTTGCGCCGCCTTTACCTGTGGCCGCGATTCCAGGTGAGCATTTCAACTTCTAGAGGTCTCCCTGTTTGGTTCCTCTGGTATAAATCAGGGCGCCTCTAAATCCCCACGTAGGAGGACAGCTGCTGCCACGCTACGCCATGCCTCCTACGTGGGGATCTATTGATTCCAGGTGAGCACTTCAACTCCTAGAGGTCTCCCTGCTTGGTTCCTCTGGTATAGATCAGGGCGCCTCTTTTTCAGAGCATCATCATGGAGCTCCGTGCTTCCAAGCGAATGTATTGATGTCCTTATTCCTGGCGGGCAGTATGGTCTAGGTGGAGGCACTCTCTCCTTCAGAGCATTCTCAAAGCGCTTCCCTCCTGTGCCACATCTACCTCTGGCCGCACTTCCTGGTAAGGTGCTCTGCCTCATCAGATACAGTATTGGATCTGAATGTACCCATCCCATCCCAGCCCATCCCCCATCCCATCGCATCCCAGCCCAGCCCATCCCATCCCATCTCATCCCATCCCATCCCATCCCATCCCATCTCATCCCATCCCATCCCAGCCCAGCCCAGCTCATCCCATCTCATCCCATCCCATCCCATCCCATCCCATCCCATCCCATCCCATTCCATCCCATCCCATCCCATCCCATCCCATTCCATCCCATCCCATCCCATCCCATCCCATCTCATCCCATCCCATCCCATCCCATCCCATTCCATCCCATCCCATCCCATCCCATCCCATCCCATCCCATCCCATCCCATCCCATCCCATCCCATCCCATCCCATCCCATCCCATCCCATCCCATCCCATCCCAGCCCATCCCAGCCCATCCCATCCCATCCCCATCCCATCCCATCCCATCCCATCCCATCTCATCCCATCCCATCCCATCCCATCCCATCTCATCCCATCCCATCCCATCCCATCCCATCTCATCCCATCCCATCCCATCCCATCCCATCCCATCCCATCTCATCCCATCCCATCCCATCCCATCCCATCCCATCCCATCCCATTCCATCCCATCCCATCCCATCCCATCCCATCCCATCCCATCCCATCCCATCCCATCCCATCCCATTCCATCCCATCCCATCCCATCCCATCCCATCCCATCCCATCCCATCCCATCTCATCCCATCCCATCTCATCCCATCCCATCCCATCCCATCCCATCCCATCCCATCTCATCCCATCCCATCCCATCCCATCCCATCCCATCTCATCCCATCCCATCCCATCCCATCCCATCACATCCCATCCCATCCCATCCCATCCCATTCCATCCCATCCCATCCCATCCCATCCCATCCCATCCCATCCCATCTCATCCCATCCCATCTCATCCCATCCCATCCCATCCCATCCCATCCCATCCCATCCCATCTCATCCCATCCCATCCCATCCCATCCCATCCCATCCCATCCCATCCCATCCCATCCCATCCCATCCCATCCCATCCCATCCCATCCCATCCCATGCATACGCCATCCAGGTGAGCGTGTCCCAGGCGTTGGAGCAGCACTCCTTCTGAGGCGCCTCAAGAGCAGCACCCCTCGCATGTGGAGACCATGAGGGTGCCTTGTTTTCTCTCTCAAGTGTATGCCGTCCCATCCCTCATGCACACACTGCCACCCTTGCATATGCTGACCAGATCAGCAACTCTCAGTCGTTGGAGCAGCACCCCCACACGAGGAGGACGCGAGGTGAGGGTGCCTCTCTCGCCGGCAGCAGCAACCTCATACCTCCTTATAGTACTGTATTCCATCCGCCCACCCGTTTTGGCCTATGCTTCAGGTGAGTGTGTTAGGCGTTGGAGCAGCACCCCCTGCACGTGGAGGACGTGAGGGTGCCTCTCTCGCGAGGAGCATTGGCCCCATCCCTCTGACCCCGCACAGTACCTTTTCTATCCACCCTTATTCACCCATCGTTCAGGTCAGTGTGTCCCAGTCATTGGAGCAGCACCCCCCCCATGTGGAGGACGTGAGGGTGCCTCTCTCGCCGGCAGCAGCAGCCATCCAGCAGGCCATCGTTGACATCATGGGCTCGTGCCTGCAGGTGCGAACCTCCCCATCCCACAAACACCATACCTCCAGAGCTCAGCAGCACGCAGCTCCACTGGTGTCGACTCATCTCAGCCACCCAGCATGCCATCAGCGACGCCATCAGCTCCTGCCTCAAGTGGTGCAAGCCCCCGTAGCTTCGGTAACCTGATAGCTTGTAGCCCGCTGTGACTCATCATCTCAGCCATCCACCAGTCCAGGCCATTCTAGGCTCGCGGTGACGTCATGGGCTCGTGCCTGCACGTGCAAACCTCCCCCCAGCCACATAAAACTTTAGGCAAGGCACTTTCGTGTTTGCCCGTGCTGTGCTGTGCAGGCATTCTTAAACAAAGTTGAAAGGGTTCGAACCGCAGCAAGCTTGAATTCGCCGAACGTCGTGTTTGCCCCTGCGTCGTCGTGTTTGCCCGTGCTGTGCAGGCATTCTTAAATCCCAACTGTTATTTTTTGTCACCCTTAAATTCATTCGATATGTGTTTTCAGATCTGTCCCATTTAAAACCTTGCTCTTGATCTTGCAAGGATCTGCGCCGTACAAACAAGCTGGACGTGGACGATCTGACGGTGGAGAGCGGGCTGTTCAAGTCGTTTGACGAGATCGTGCGGCGCCAGCTGGATCCCGTGTGGCACACCCTGGGCCGCAAGATCAAGCAGGTGACGTGTCAGTCAGGTGCCATGTGTATGTCTGGCCTCTTCTCTCATGCTATTTCATAAAGCAAGTGCTATCTCTTTTGACCGCATCCACGTCCCTCTCATTCATCTCGTGCTTATTGAGACGCCTCAAATGTTCATGCTTGGGTTTCGCTTCCATCTCATCCCTCCCTTCCATGTGTCATCTTCGCTCACCATGCAGCTGGTGGCGGACCTGAGGACTCTCAGGAAGATAGCAGAGCATCTGCTTCGATACGACTCGGTCACCTTCCTGTGCTTCCTCAGCATCCTCATTCCCATTCCTGCTTCCACCCCATTCCTTGTGTTGTTTGCCATGCAGCTAGTGGCTGATCTGTGGACTCTCAGAAAGAGAGCAGAGCAGCTGTTGCGCTATGACTCGGTCACCTTCCTGCGCTTCCTCCCTACGGCCCTCATCCTCATCTCCCTCTTCCCACCCACTTCCATCCTATACTTTTCCTTTCCTATCCTACAGCTAGTGGCCGACCTCAGAACCCTCAGGAAGATAGCCGAGCACCTGCTGCGTTACGACTCGGTCACCTTCCTGCGCTTCCTGGATGCGCTCAAGGCGAGCGAATCAAAGGCCGCCATCTGGATCTTCGTGGACCCCGCGCCCAGGATATTTGAGCTGGCCAAGCGGAGGGTGTACCAGGTGGGTGAGAGGGTCGGAGCATAGATGTACCAAACCACGCACATGAGGAAACGGGCATTCTAAGCCCAACGCGCCCAAGATACTTGAACTGGCCAAACGGAGGGTGTATCAGGTGGGTGAGGCGGGTGTATCAGGCGAGGGTGTTGAGCATTGATGTGCCAGGGGAGAATGAGGGCGTCTCTTGGACCCCGCACCCAAGATACTTGAACTGGCCAAACGGAGGGTGTATCAGGTGGGTGAGGCGGGTGTATCAGGCGAGGGTGTTGAGCATTGATGTGCCAGGGGAGAATGAGGGCGTCTCTTGGACCCCGCACCCAAGATACTTGAACTGGCCAAACGGAGGGTGTATCAGGTGGGTGAGGCGGGTGTATCAGGCGAGGGTGTTGAGCATTGATGTGCCAGGGGAGAATGAGGGCGTCTCTTGGACCCCGCACCCAAGATACTTGAACTGGCCAAACGGAGGGTGTATCAGGTGGGTGAGGCGGGTGTATCAGGCGAGGGTGTTGAGCATTGATGTGCCAGGGGAGAATGAGGGCGTCTCTTGGACCCCGCACCCAAGATACTTGAACTGGCCAAACGGAGGGTGTATCAGGTGGGTGAGGCGGGTGTATCAGGCGAGGGTGTTGAGCATTGATGTGCCAGGGGAGAATGAGGGCGTCTCTTGGACCCCGCACCCAAGATACTTGAACTGGCCAAACGGAGGGTGTATCAGGTGGGTGAGGCGGGTGTATCAGGCGAGGGTGTTGAGCATTGATGTGCCAGGGGAGAATGAGGGCGTCTCTTGGACCCCGCACCCAAGATACTTGAACTGGCCAAACGGAGGGTGTATCAGGTGGGTGAGGCGGGTGTATCAGGCGAGGGTGTTGAGCATTGATGTGCCAGGGGAGAATGAGGGCGTCTCTTGGACCCCGCACCCAAGATACTTGAACTGGCCAAACGGAGGGTGTATCAGGTGGGTGAGGCGGGTGTATCAGGCGAGGGTGTTGAGCATTGATGTGCCAGGGGAGAATGAGGGCGTCTCTTGGACCCCGCACCCAAGATACTTGAACTGGCCAAACGGAGGGTGTATCAGGTGGGTGAGGCGGGTGTATCAGGCGAGGGTGTTGAGCATTGATGTGCCAGGGGAGAATGAGGGCGTCTCTTGGACCCCGCACCCAAGATACTTGAACTGGCCAAACGGAGGGTGTATCAGGTGGGTGAGGCGGGTGTATCAGGCGAGGGTGTTGAGCATTGATGTGCCAGGGGAGAATGAGGGCGTCTCTTGGACCCCGCACCCAAGATACTTGAACTGGCCAAACGGAGGGTGTATCAGGTGGGTGAGGCGGGTGTATCAGGCGAGGGTGTTGAGCATTGATGCGCCAGGGGAGAATGAGGGCGTCTCTTGGACCCCGCACCCAAGATACTTGAACTGGCCAAACGGAGGGTGTATCAGGTGGGTGAGGCGGGTGTATCAGGCGAGGGTGTTGAGCATTGATGTGCCAGGGGAGAATGAGGGCGTCTCTTGGACCCCGCACCCAAGATACTTGAACTGGCCAAACGGAGGGTGTATCAGGTGGGTGAGGCGGGTGTATCAGGCGAGGGTGTTGAGCATTGATGTGCCAGGGGAGAATGAGGGCGTCTCTTGGACCCCGCACCCAAGATACTTGAACTGGCCAAACGGAGGGTGTATCAGGTGGGTGAGGCGGGTGTATCAGGCGAGGGTGTTGAGCATTGATGTGCCAGGGGAGAATGAGGGCGTCTCTTGGACCCCGCACCCAAGATACTTGAACTGGCCAAACGGAGGGTGTATCAGGTGGGTGAGGTGGGTGTATCAGGCGAGGGTGTTGAGCATTGATGTGCCAGGGGAGAATGAGGGCGTCTCTTGGACCCCGCACCCAAGATACTTGAACTGGCCAAACGGAGGGTGTATCAGGTGGGTGAGGCGGGTGTATCAGGCGAGGGTGTTGAGCATTGATGTGCCAGGGGAGAATGAGGGCGTCTCTTGGACCCCGCACCCAAGATACTTGAACTGGCCAAACGGAGGGTGTATCAGGTGGGTGAGGCGGGTGTATCAGGCGAGGGTGTTGAGCATTGATGTGCCAGGGGAGAATGAGGGCGTCTCTTGGACCCCGCACCCAAGATACTTGAACTGGCCAAACGGAGGGTGTATCAGGTGGGTGAGGCGGGTGTATCAGGCGAGGGTGTTGAGCATTGATGTGCCAGGGGAGAATGAGGGCGTCTCTTGGACCCCGCACCCAAGATACTTGAACTGGCCAAACGGAGGGTGTATCAGGTGGGTGAGGCGGGTGTATCAGGCGAGGGTGTTGAGCATTGATGTGCCAGGGGAGAATGAGGGCGTCTCTTGGACCCCGCACCCAAGATACTTGAACTGGCCAAACGGAGGGTGTATCAGGTGGGTGAGGCGGGTGTATCAGGCGAGGGTGTTGAGCATTGATGTGCCAGGGGAGAATGAGGGCGTCTCTTGGACCCCGCACCCAAGATACTTGAACTGGCCAAACGGAGGGTGTATCAGGTGGGTGAGGCGGGTGTATCAGGCGAGGGTGTTGAGCATTGATGTGCCAGGGGAGAATGAGGGCGTCTCTTGGACCCCGCACCCAAGATACTTGAACTGGCCAAACGGAGGGTGTATCAGGTGGGTGAGGCGGGTGTATCAGGCGAGGGTGTTGAGCATTGATGTGCCAGGGGAGAATGAGGGCGTCTCTTGGACCCCGCACCCAAGATACTTGAACTGGCCAAACGGAGGGTGTATCAGGTGGGTGAGGCGGGTGTATCAGGCGAGGGTGTTGAGCATTGATGTGCCAGGGGAGAATGAGGGCGTCTCTTGGACCCCGCACCCAAGATACTTGAACTGGCCAAACGGAGGGTGTATCAGGTGGGTGAGGCGGGTGTATCAGGCGAGGGTGTTGAGGATGAAATGCATTCGGAAAGGGCCAAGCTCAAAACCTGCTTTGATTGGTTCTGGCTGGCCAACTGGACAGTGTGCCACGAGTGGATGAGCAAGTGAAGTGGTTAAAAGTGTTGTTTAACCGAAGCAGGTGAGGTTGTATCAGGGCGAGGGGAGATAGTATGTGCAACGACTTAAAGAGGCGGGTTTCATGTAAGTGTGCTTACTTTGAGTTTTAAGGGTTTATGGTGCGTAATTAAGTTGTGCTTATTTGAAATCGCCTGAACTCATGGATTCATGCAGGTTGGAAGGTCAGCAGTATCAGCAGCAGCAGGCCCACCACCATTGGCAGCGCAGCGTGAGAAGCAAGCAGCCAAGAAACGAGTGCGTTCTGACATTCATTGCAGTACACTGCAATGCACTGCACTGCACCGCACTACACCGCACTGCAAACAGGTTAGGAGAAGAGTATGAGTGGCAGAAGCAGGTCCATTGCCGCTGCCAGCACAGCGTGACAGGCGGCCAGCCAAGAAAAGAGTGGACACCGTCAGTCATTGCACCGCACCGTCAGTCATTGCACCGCACCGTCAGTCATTGCACCGCACCGTCAGTCATTGCACCGCACCGTCAGTCATTGCACCGCACCGTCAGTCATTGCACCTCTGTTTGTTGTGTGCGGGTGACACTCGTTCTCCCATCCCCTTTCTTGCACTCAGGCAGCACGTTCAAAGGATGAGGAGGGAAACGGGGTTGCAGGAGAGGAAAAGGACAGGATGGGCGAGGAAAGGGGCGGTGATGACGAAGAAGGGCTGCGGCTGGAAGTGAGGGAGGGGGGAAGCAGCAGGGGGAGCGGGGAGGAGGGTGGGCTGGAGCTGCACCCGGTACTGGAGGAGATGCCCAAGTGGAAGGTGCTGCGGGTGAGTGGCTGGTTATATGGTACGAGGGTGAATTTCAGAGTAGCCTTCAGGATGCTTGTAAGCCTAAAATCTGCGAAGGAGGGTGGGCTGGAGCTGCAGCTGGTGCTGGAGGAGATGCCCAAATGGAAGGTGCTGCGGGTGAGTGAGACGCTGTAAGGGTGAGTGAGACGCTGTAAGGGTGAGTGAGACGCTGCAATGGCGAGTGACACGCTGCAGAGGTGAGTTTGATAATTGGCTTCAGCCTGTTTTAGGCATTGAATGTGGGAGAGGTGCTTCCAGCTCGATAACGAGCCCGTGACTGTGCTGGTTTGATAAAGTACTCGGCTTTGGGGAGAGGGGGGGGGGAGGGGTGGGGGGGGGTGAGTTCAGCGACCGTGCTTGTTAATCATTCCGTCTCAAGTGTTCTTTTTTGTCGCTTGCTGTGCTGTCTGCAGGAAAATCGCATGCTGCCTGCCTCTCATCAAGGTTTGAGATATTTTGGGCCAAGTTGTTTCCTTGCTTCGTGACCTCCAATCATTCCCCTCGCATCAGGAACTGCTGGAAGAGATTCAAGCGGAGCGCAGCACACAGCAGGTTGAAGCAACAGCAGGCGCACCACCGCCGGCACCATTACCATCAGCAGTGCCGCCTGTGCTGGTGGCGTGCAAGGACGAGCGCACTTGCCACCAGCTGCAGGACGTGCTTGCATTTGGTGCTGCCACGGTGAGCTCACTCCTCCCCATTCCCCTCCACTCTCCTCCACTCCACTCCACTCCACTCCACTCCACTCCACTCCACTCCACATGCCGTACGCCGCAATCTATTGACCCTCTTCTCTTCCACCCTTCCCTATTTTTCCCTCCTCCCGCCCTCCTCTCTTCCCACCGTCACAGGTGATGCAACGGAAGTGGCAGCACTTTTGAGACTCCCGTCTCAAAAAAGTCGGGAGTGGCAGCACTACCTGCTGGCAAGCAACAGCTGACCTCATGAAGGCACATTCCATACACCACAAACGATCACCCTTCTCCTCTTCCACCCATCCTTACTTGTCCTCGCTCCCGCCCTCCTCTGTTTTCTGCGTCCTTAGGTGATGCAAGGGGAGTGGCAGCGTTACCTGCTAGTCAAAGCCGACCTCGTGAGGGCACATGGCTTACAGCCGCAAATGCCAAACCTCTCCTCTTCCACCCTTCCCTATATCTCCCCGTCCTACCCTCCTCCCTTCCCGCCAAAGCCGACCTCGTGAGGGCACATGGCATACAGCCGCAAACGGCGAACCCTCTGACGTTCCACCCTTCCTCGTTTCTCTCCCCTCCCGCCCCTCCCCTCCCTTCCCAGGTGATGCAGCGCGAGTGGCAGCACTACCTGCTGGCCAAAGCTGACCTCATGAAGGCGAATCTTCCCAGAAGGAGGCATGCGGCTGCTGCTGCTGGCGGCGCTGCTGCTGCTGGTGGTGCTGGCAACGCTGGCAGTAGTGGTGGCAGCGGTAGTGGTGGTGGTGGCAGTAGTGGTAACGGTGGTGGTGTTAGTGGCAGCAGAAACAGCAGGAGCGGGGGAAACGGTGCCACTAGAGCCGATAGCAGCATGGATTTGTTTCAGAGAGAACAGGTGCTGCTGCTGGCAGCGGCGAAGCGAGTGAAGAGGGAAATGGAGGAGGAGGAGTTGGAGATGTTTGGGAGGGGGGAATTGGAAATGGGGGGATTGAGAGGGGTGTTAGCTGGGGGAGAGGGGACGCAGGGAGTTGCGAGAAGAGGTGGAGGGGCGAGAGGGGGAAGGGAAAATGGAGGAGGGAGGGGTGGTGGTGGTGGGGGGAGGAGTAACGGGAAGGGGGTTGCAGCAGCAGGGGGTGGGGGAGTGGAGGCGGATGGACGGCAGGTGCGACTAGAGTTGGATTTGAGAGTGGTGGAGAGGGATAATGCGGAAGGAGAGGTACGGGATGGGGGAGGAGATGAGGAGGGGTCGAGAGAGGGAAGGGAGGGGAGAGAGGGGAGGGAGGGGAGAGAGGGGAGGGGAGTTAGTAGTGAGGAGGACAACGGTAGTGATGAGGGGATGGAGAGAGAGGGGGATGAGAAGGGAGGGAGGGGGAGAGGGAGGGGGAGGAGGGGGCGAGGGAGAGGAGGGGCGAGAGGGAGGAAAAGAGGTGGGGGGTCTGGAGCAAGGGGGAGGGGGCGGGGAGCAGAGAGGAAGAGGAAGCGAGGAGGGGAAGGAGGCTTGCAGGAGCACGAGCAAGACAAGGCGGAGGAAGGGGAGGACGAGCAGGGGGGGAGGGGTAAATTGGCCTGCGACGGCAATCGTGATGGTGATAGCGATAGTGATAGTGATGTTGTGCTTTTAGAGGAAGTTGAGGCAATAGCGAGGGACGGTGAGGGGAATAGGAAAAATTCTGTGGAAATAAATGAGGGGGCGAAAAGGCAAAAACTCCAGCAAACGGACCCAAACACCTCCACACCCATCCAAACCTCCAGCATACCGAATCAACCCTCTCAACCTCCACCCACCACCTCTACACTTGCCAATTCCAACACAGACATTCCACCCCACCCCGCCTCCTCCCTCCCCCTCCCCGCCCGCATCCGCCTCGAGTTTGTCCCGCCATCGGCCAATGGCAGGCTGCCAGGTGTCCACCTGTGTACGCTGGAGGGCGCATCCCACGTGCTGGAGCGGCTACAGCCGGGCGTGGTGGTGGTGTATGACCCTGATATTGAGCTCGTACGACAGATCGAAGTTTTTCATGCTGCCTGGGCGAGTGCTCGGGCAGGTGCGGCAGGCAGGGGAGAAAGTGTTGTGGGTGCTTCGGAGGCTGCCCCTGGGAGAGAAGGTGGTTCAGAAGGGGGAGGGGGGGACGGTGTGTGTGGAGGCAGGGGGGGAATGAAAGAGCCTGGTGAAGGTGAATCAGTGACAGACGTTGCTGCCACCGCCGCTGATGCTGCTGCCGATGCTGATGCTGGTAGTGGTGGTGCTGCTGGTGCTGCTCCTGCTGGCGCTGGTAGGGCTGTCACTGCACGGTCGCAGCAGCGGCCCCCTCTGAGGGTGCTGTTTCTGTTCCACGAGGGATCAACGGAGGGCCACAAGTTTGAGGCGAGCGTGCGGAGGGAGAACGGGGCGTTTGAGCAGCTGATCAGGCAGAAGGCCGTGATGACCATTCCAGCAGAGCAGGTGTGCATGCTGTATGTGAGATGTGCATGCTGTATGTGAGATGTGCATGCTGTATGTGAGATGTGCATGCTGTATGTGAGATGTGCATGCTGTGGTGCATGTTGCATCTTGTGGATGAGTGGTTTCTTCTGAGGCGCCTCAGAAGGCGAGTGTGCAGCGCGAGAACGGAGCGTTTGAGCAGCTGATCAGACAGAAGGTGGTTATGACCATCCCTGCAGAGCAGGTGGGTGGGTAACTTCTTGCAAAAACCGATCACAGTGCGTTTGAGCAGCTGATCAGACAGAAGGCCGTGGTGACCATCACGGCAGACCCTGCCGATCCGCCACGGACCATGCCCACATGACCCTGCCTCCTCTGGCTCTCCCCCTCCTAGATCTTACTTTCACTTGTCTCCTTCCTTCCTCTTGCTTATTCTCATTCCCGTTCCTTCGTATTCTCTTGTCTCGAGCGACAATGCTTTCCCTTCTCATTCTCGTTCCCCTCCCTTCTCATTCTCGTCCCATTCACAATCCATCAGGACGGCAGGTCTGCAATAGACCAAGCCCCTATGACCCTGCCTCCTCCGCCCCTATCCCACCCCGCTGCTGCCAATGCCATCACGAGGAGAGGGGGTGGGCGGAGAGCAGCAGAGCGACAAGAGATGAGGGTGAGTGTGGATGGGGAGAGAGGAGGAGAGGGGTTGGGCGGGGAGCTGCAGAGCGACAAGAGACGAGGGTGAGTGAAAAGGAAAAGGAGGGAGTGGAAGGGAGAAAGGGGCAGGAAGGGGGGTTGTTATGACAGGTATATTTAGAGCACACTGTCTCTGTCTCGCCACGCTGCTGGCACTGTCCCTTTTTCCCCTGCCTCTCTTCCCTTTGCCTTGCATCCACCCACAGCACCTTCACCCTGCATATATGCGCCCCCCTCCATACCAGGCGGTAGTGCACATGGGAGGGAGACCAACAGCAACAGCATGCGGTGGTGTGGTGTCTGCTTGCGTCCTTCGTTCCACCACTCGTGCACCTTGCACTTCATTCCGCCCTCCACCACTCCTGAGGCGCCTCAAAATACACCTAGCTAGCTGCATCCCCTCCCCGGACATCTGTGTCAAGCGCAGGGGCCTTCATCACACCACACCACCACCTTCGCCTTGCATAGCCTCCCCTTCCCCTACCAGGTGGTAGTAGACATGAGAGAATTCAACAGCAGTCTGCCCTGCGTGCTGCACCAGCGAGGCATCAAGATCCTCCCGGTCACACTGGAAGTGGGCGACTACATTCTCTCCCCGGACATCTGTGTGGAGCGCAAGAGCGTCTCACTTGGTCCTTCTTTCCATGCCGTTTGCACTTGCATCCCTCCCCAAGCAGGTGGTGGTGGATATGAGGGAGTTCAACAGCAGCCTCCCCTGCGTGCTGCACCAGCGGGGCATCAAGATCCTCCCAGTGACTCTAGAGGTCGGAGACTACATTCTCTCGCCGGACATTTGTGTCGAGCGCAAGAGCGTCAGCGATTTGTTCGCCTCGTTTGCGTCAGGTCGTCTGCACCACCAGGCGGAGACCATGTGCCGCTACTACCGACTGCCCGTGCTACTGATAGAATTCTCCAGCGACAAGAGCTTCTCTCTGCAGGTAAGAAGAGACTGTTGTGTGCAAGCGGCCTCATTGCCTTCTTCGCTTCGGGCCGCCTGCACCACCAGGCGGAGACCATGTGCCGCTACTACCGCCTTCCGGTGTTGCTAATCAAGTTTTCCAGCGACAAGTGCTTTTCGCTGCAGGCAATAAGGGTTTGCGCACGAGTGGCCTGTTTGCCTGCTTTTCTTCGGGCCGCATCGCTTACAGTACCAGGCTGAGACCATGTACTCTTACTACCGCGGTGAGCGACGTCTGTGTTTGCTTCACTTCTGAGCGATTCACAAGGCAGCTCAGAAGAGAGAGCGACCTGGTAGCGTGGTTTGCTTCTAGGTGCCTGGACCATCCTAAGAGGCCATGAATCTCCTGCCTCTCCGTGCTGCTCATTAAGAACTTTCATTCATTCTTCTGTATGTTCACTTTCATTCATTCTTCTATATGTTCACTTTCATTCATTCGTCTGTATGTTCACTCTCATCCCACCCCACCTCCCGAATTCCGCGTTTCCAGTCAGCGAGTGACATCAGCGATGACATCACCCCATCGAGCATCATATCCAAGATGTCGCTGCTCGCGCTGCACTTCCCGCGCCTCCGCATCGTGTGGTCCAGATCGCTCCACGCAACGGCTGAGATCTTTGCGTCGCTGAAGACCAATCAGGACGAGCCAAGTGTTGACCAGGCAATGAGGGTCGGCGTTCCCACAGAGGATGGGCTGGTGGAGGGCGACACGAGGTAGGGGCAGAGTGACACGAGGTGGGGGCAGAGTGACACGAGGTAGGGGCAGAGTGACACGAGGTAGGGGCAGAGTGACACGAGGTAGGGGCAGAGTGACACGAGGTAGGGAGAGGGTGACACGAGGTAGGGGCAAAGTGACACGAGGTGGGGGCAGAGTGACACGAGGTTGGGGCAGGGTGACACGAGGTAGGGGCAGAGTGACACGAGGTGGGGGCAGAGTGACACGAGGTGGGGTGACATACAAGGTATGCTTGTATTGTATCGTTCCAGCAATTTCACAATGGTGGTGATATAAGCCAGGTCAGGTGGTGTTGGTCTGAGGTAGAGGCTAGGTGATATGATGCGGCTGGGAGATTGGTGAGCTGAGAGAGAGGAGGATATGAGGTTGGTAGGTTTTTCGAGTGCATTCAAAGCAGAAGAGGATGGAGGGGAGATGTGAAGCACAGAGGTAAGGGAATGAGAAATGAGTTGAGACCACGTGGAATGGGGCATGGGAGGATATCATAGGAACCATGGGAGCACCACAGTTACACATTATCCTTCCAAGGTTTTGACTGAACGTCGCCTAAGGACCAGCAGAACAGGTTATGGAACTGAGTGTGCTACCCAAAGGGACTGCTTTTTGCGCCACCTGAACATCTGTGCCTCTCTCTTGCTCCCTTTCTTCTTATTCACACTCACTAGCTGTGTCCTCTTCTTGTCCACCCCATGCTGCCCTTTTTGGTCATTATCCCACCAATCAGAGACGAGCATTTCAACACGACAGCTGTGGAGTTTCTTCGGCGCCTGCCCGGAGTCTCTGACGCGAATTACCGCTCATTGGTCGATAACTGTGGCAGCTTGGCTGAGCTGGCGCTGATGCGTGTTGATGAGCTGGCACCAATCATGGGCGGCATGCGCCCAGCTCAGATGTTTAGAGACTTTCTCGATGCCAAGTGCCCTACACTGAAATAGTTAATTGCTTGGAGATGGCTTGTGTGCCAATACCGTCATACCCCGGATAGAAGCGCAGGCCTCGGATAAGCGCCGGCGCTTATAAAGGGATGAGGGCGCTTATATCCGGTCCTCGATTATAAGCGCACCCCCTAAAAATTTATGATTTATTATAAGCGCATGTCGAATATTATCTGAAAATCAGTCGAAATACAGAAACGAATTTCACCTTACCAGGAGAGCGAAGTATAGTCGGTCCACTTTCCCACTCACATCACACTTGCTGCGCGTCTAGTCAGCACGCGCTGTCGCTTAGTCAGCATGTGTTGGCAGGGAATCAATCCCTGCCAAGTTGCTCGAGAGTCAAATTCGCGACCCCATATATTTTCGACTCGATTACAATTGGCAGAACGAAATCTACAGCTTGGTGTAAAAAAGAAACTTAATTTCATTTTGCCGTTATATAAACGCCGGCGCTTATAAATTTCCTCAATTATAAGCGCACCCCCTAGAAAACAGAGCTTTATTACAACCCCAGGGGCGCTTCTATCCGGGATATGACGGTACAGCTGAATGTGCTAGCATGGGCTGGGTGGGGTGCTTACCTTATGTGTATATAATTACATTGTGCACAGAAAATGTCACACTTTTCCTTATTCATGTTACAAGTATATTTACTGTTTCATGCATTTTCCTTCTCTCCAATCTCATGACGCATCTGTTACTGTATTTTCTTATATTGGTGGAATAGCCTCTACCTTAGCGCGACTTTTTAGCGCATAGCGCGTAAGACTGATACATCCGACTTGTGCGCTCTTTCAAAATCGCCACTACCACCAGCCATTGCCGCATTTCCGCAACTGATGACGCGTGTTTCGTGACTAGTCAGCCATTCGATGAAGTCCCTAGTACTCCGTCAGTAGGCATCTGAAACGGATAAGCTTTTGAAGGAGATAACCGATCGCTCTCACGGCCTTTTTATTATCATTCCCACCCGTTTCACTTCGACACGTGTCATGTCAACGCAATTCAATTTATCCCGATATACCCGTTGCAAGGCCGCAGCAGTAGGCAGGCCTGGTAGACTTAACCAGGCGCGGGACGGGGAGCGCGACTGGCGTGCGAGGTGTTCCTTTAACGATATAAATCGATGCGCGTTGGCACTACCAAACATTCTAGTAGAGTCCGGGCTCAAGGCGGCAGTGGGGACATTCAGAGGGTCCGGAAGGGACTCACTGGACAATTGTCAGCACGGCAGTCGTATAGATTGTAGGCAGACGGGTTGCTGCTCTTACAGCAGCAGCAGCAGCAGCAGCAGCTTCAAAAGTAAGAGCAGCAGCAGCAGGAGCAGCAGGAGCAGCAGGAGAAGCAGTGACAAAATCAGCAGTGGCGATGGAAGGAAATGGTTGTCGATGTCCTCGTTTAAGCACGTTGTGAGTCCGTCAGATGGGGTTAAACCTCAAAGGCGCTCAGTGGCTCTTAAAGCTTCCCAGTCTTCGTTCACCTACCTGAGTCCCTCCGAGGCAGAGTGGCGGCTGATGCTGACGGAGATTTGTGTGCAGCCACGTAAGATGCCCCGCATTCTGACTCAGTACCACGCGATGCCTGCTGACGTGGCAATGGAAAGACTTGTCTTCCTTCAGGGTTTGGGGATAGACACCGGAAAGGCCCTCTCCTCATTCCCGAAACTTTTGTTCTACCCGCCTTCAACTGCCCGAGCCATGGCGAACTACCTCTCCTCCGTTGGCATCAAATCCGACTTGACTGGGAAAGTTTTGTCTGCCTGCCCACAGCTCCTCGTGCTGAGTATAGAAGAGAATATCCGCCCAACAATTACTCACCTGGTGGAAGCATGGGGCCTCGACCAATCACGTGATATCCCTGTGGTGATCTCTCGCCACCCACGCTGCCTAACCTACTCCATCTCAGAAAACCTTCAACCTACCCTTACCTTCTGGCTTGGTTCGGGAATCGCCAAGCCTGCGAAACTCATCCGAGCCAACCCATCGATCCTTGGACTTTCCACTACCAAACGGATTCTTCCCACGATCGCTGCTGCTGACAGTTATGGCATCCCACCGCACCTCACGATTGAGATGGTTCAGAAATTCCCTCATCTCTTCAATTACAATTGGAATACTAACTTAATGCCAAAGCTACAGTACCTGGAAGAAGTTGGGAGGGGAATTGACGAGGCCGTTCAGCACCCACAGTATTTCGGGTACAGTTTGGCTCGGCGGATTCGGCCGAGGCTCGGGGGCGTGGCTCGGGCCGGGCTGCATGTGAGTCTGAGCTTTGTGCTGCGGCTGAAGGATGAGGATTTTGAGAGGTTGTATGGTGATATGTGTAGGGACGAGGACGAAGGCGTGGGAGGGGATGGGAGGGACGCACAGGAGCACGGGTCTGGCATGTGAGAAGCAACCAACTTGGAGTGAAGGATTGGACCAAGCATACTGCAAACTTATTACTAAAGTGAGTCGACTGGTTTTGTCCTCTCGTCAGCCTGCTATTCCTTTCATTTTTGCGCATTCTCGTTATATCTCATGCCTTTCGCCTTCCCTCCCACCCCCCTCCCCCCCCTCTTTCCTCCCTTCCCCCCCTCCCCTCTCCCCAGGCCTCTTGTTTCCAACATCTTTCACGTAAGGCCAACACCCCGCGGAACTCGCGTACAAGCACCTCAAGGACCTGTATCAAGCAACAGACAGCGTCAGTCAAAGTCGGCTAATGGCGCGACTGACAACGGTTGAAATGAAACCAGGAGAAAAAGGAATGGCATATGTCAGCCGATGTCGCGAACTGCGCGACAAGCTTCTTCGATGCGGAGGGTCAATCTCTGAAGACGCCTTCGTGACAGTCATCATCGGCGGCCTCGGTCCTCAATGGCGCGCAACAAAAGCCATTCTCCGAGCCCACGGAAGAATCTCCGAAGCAGCGCTTTGCGCCGAAATACATCCACGCTGAACAGCAAGACATGGACCTGCAAGAAGAACGACACAAGAGAAAGACATCAGTACCGGAATTCGCGTTTCACACTCAGCGACGATACAACAACAACAGCAACCGACAACAACCAAAACCCGTACCTCCGTTCTGCCACATCTGCAAGACGTCTGGGCACCCACGCACGCACTGCCCAAATCGACAACAGCCAACGCCACAACAGCGACAGCTTCGACCTTCAAGCAGCCAAGTTGCTTCAACGCAAGCGAATCCTACGACCCAGGTTCAAGCTTCAACAACATCAACGGGACAACCTGCACAAGGCGCAAGAAACATCGTCAGTTGTATGGCAAAACTGACCGACTCCTGCATCACCGAATCACCACCTCATCACTCACTGGAAGAACAGCTTGACAACAGCACGCCCCGCCGCGAGTCACTGCAGCCAAACCCGACATACGCCGCCATCGCCCAGAGTGAACCATCCGGGAAGGACACATGGTTCTTGGACAGTTGCTGCGGACAACACATGTGTTCTTCAGGACGCTTCGTACAACGAGAGTATCAACTTCAACGAGAAGTAGTCATCACCGTCGCCAACAACCAGAACCTGCGCACACGACGACAAGGAGTGGTACAACTTCAGTCACGAGAAACAAGTGTGATTCTACAAATGACCAAAGTCTTAATCGCAGAAGGACTCGGCTACAACTTACTGAGCGTCAGTCAGTTGATGGCGAAAGGCATTCACCTCGAAGCAGACAGCACCACCCAGGAGTTCAAGCTGTACCACGGAAAAGGCGGCCTCTATATCGGAAAGGCAATTCTCAAGAACAACGTCTTCGTTCTTGACTTCGTCCCAGACCTCGGCACCGCTGACAGCGACGGCATCGTCAGCTTTGCTCCTTGGACACATCCTCCAGATCTTGACCCAAACTTCAGCCCCGGCGGCTTCTGGCACTCACACACCATTCCTGAAACAGAGAGAACAAGGGCGTTAGCAACAATCCAACAAACATCGGCAGCAGCAGAGACAACATTGGCAGCAGCAACACCACACCTGCGTACACGTCTCTCGAAAAGGTGTACAGCGACATCTTATACAACCGTGAACCCGGACAAAACGCCTACAGCTACACCATCACCTTCATCGACGCCGCAACTCGATATGTCTGGCACCTAAACCTTCCAAGTCGCGACATGGCTTTCGAAGCCTTTGTCGCCTGGCTTCCAGTCGCAGAACGAGAATCGGGAGCTAAGCTAAAAAGCTTTCAGTCAGACGGGGGAGGAGAATACACCTCACAGAGGTTCAAGCAGTACTTGGCAGAAAGAGGAATCAAGAGGCTCATCTCCCTTCCCTACGCTCACCAACAGCAAGGCGTAGCAGAAAGGATGAACAGGACGCTGCAAGCCACCATGCGCAAGCTGCTACGTGGCATGCACCTGCCCAACCACCAGTGGCCCGAAGCGATGGACCACGCCGTCATGCTGCACAACTTACTTTCCTCATCATCGCTCCCGAACAACGCATCACCGCATCTGCTGTGGACAGGGAAATTGGGCAGCACAAAAATGTTGAGAGTCTTCGGTTGCATGGTACAGTACCGACCCCCATCTGCACGAGCTGGGCGATTCTCTCAACGCGCACAGTGGGGACTACACCTGGGTATCGTAAAACATTACAACGCGTGGAACATCTTCAACATCAACAGCAAGGAAACAGTGGCAGCACGTGATGTCATTTTCTACGAAAACCTCACCCTCAGAACTCACTTCATGTACATCGAAGAAAACCGACCTGATCTCTCGGGCGGATTTCATAAACACCGAGCCTTTGCCTCGGCAGAAGACGAAGCTGACTGGGACGAGCAGAACGTGGAGGGAGCCTCGGAAGCAGCCGGACCACTCCCTTACTGCTCCGTGGACATCCCAATGGACGAAGACAATCCTCGCGAAAGCGTCAACGCCGAAGTCTTCTACGAATTCGCCGACAATGGTTACGTTACACCTGCACAGGTCAACACCAACGAAGCAGAACGAGTAGGACCGAATTTCAATCCAACACCAGAAACGGGAGACGAAGCAGTCTATCCCGAGGACACCACACTCCCCCGCTACTCACAGAGTGGACTGCAAATTCTCGGCCTCGTCACCGCAGTCCACGGCTCAGCCATTCCTAAGGAGCCTGCGACAGTTCAACAGGCTCTGGGGGGGGAGCACAGGGAAAAATGGCGTGAAGCCATGGACAGAGAATTAAAAGCGCTGGAGGAACGGAACACCTGGAAAGTCGTTCCCATCAGCGTGGCAAGAAACAAGACCATTCTCACCGGGAAATGGGTCTTCCGCGTCAAAACGAAGGCAGACGGCACAATCGAGATATTCAAAGCACGCTGGGTGGTACGTGGATTCGATCAGGAGCACGGACGGGACTTCACCGAGACATTCGCCCCGGTTAGCCGACACACCTCACTCCGAATTCTTCTCGCGATCGCCGCCATGAAGAAGAAGAAGCTGCGGCAAATCGACGTCGCGAACGCCTTCCTCTACGCACCCGTTGACGCAGAGATCTTCGTGGAACTACCGCACGGCACTAACGGAGAGCCGAACAAAGTCTGTCAACTACTGAAATCGCTCTACGGGATTAAGCAAGCCCCGCGGCTATGGCAGCAGTATCTACACGCCCGTCTCATCCGCATTGGATTCAAGCAACTGCCCCACGATCAAGGGATGTACCGGCTTACGAAGAACAACAACTACGTCCTACTAATCGTCTATGTAGACGACCTCCTCTACGTCGGCTCGACCGACAACATCACTACCTGGTTCGAAGGGGAGCTGCAGTGGGATCTCACGCTCACGGTTTCATCTACAGTCACACAGTACCTTGGGCTTAGCATCCGAGAAGAAGACGACGCGATCTACCTCAGCGCCGCAAAATACGCCGACACTATCGCCAAGCGTTTCGCCTTCACACCGACCGCGATCTCCACGCCATACCGTTACACGACAGGAGCCGACAAGGGAGGATCTACTCTACTGAAGCCCGCCGGCATACGCGACTACCAGAGAAAGTTGGGCTGTCTTCTCTTCGCAGCTGTCACCTGCCGTCCCGACCTCTCATACTCCGCAAGCCAGCTCGCTACCTACCTCAAAAGGCCTGAAACAGAACACCTGGCGGAGCTCGACCGCGCTCTTCACTACTTCGTCAGCACTCCAACGATCGGCTTAACGTATCACAAGAACGCAACTACACCAACCAAGCTAATCGGCTATGTCGATGCCGATCACGCCGGCGATTCCGACAATAGGCGCTCCCGCACCGGCTACATCTACCGACTCGAGCCTATCGGTCCTATCTCCTGGCAATCGAGTAAGCAAGAACTAATCGCCCTCTCATCAGCTGAAGCAGAATATATCGCACTCTGCTCAGCCACCAAGGAAGGACTTTACCTTCGCGAGCTACTGGAAGAAGCGAAGTTAGCCGAGTTACCCAACTTCACTCTGTTCTGCGACAACCAATCTGCAATTCGCATCGCCAACAAAAGTGGCTTCGCGAACAGGACGAAACATATCGCCCTGCGATATTTCTTCGTGAAAGACGAGATCGAGAAGGGGAGACTTGAACTATCCTACTGTCCCACGTCCGAGATGGCAGCCGACTATTTGACCAAGAAGCTCGGAAAGCAGAAGTTCGAGTACTGCATGCTGCTGACTGGACAAGGCCACGTCATCAGCAGCGACACTCCAGAAGCGAAGGGGAGTGTTGGAAACAAGTAATTCCTTAAAGCGCCTCTGTCGTGTCGAAACACCACACCAGAAGCGAAGCGAGTCATATCGAGGCACGAGCGAGTCAACCCTCGGAGGTTGAAAGAGGTTGCCGGAGGTTACGCGAAAGTCAAAGGTCAGCGACCTTTGACCTGACAAGTACACAGCGACAGCAAGGACACACAACCGACTCGTTACAGAGCGGTTGCCCGAGTCGTCACTGTATCGAACCGCAACAGCAACAGTAAAGTAGTTACAACTGTGTTGGAAACAAGTAATTCCTTAAAGCGCCTCTGTCGTGTCGAAACACCACACCAGAAGCGAAGCGAGTCATATCGAGGCACGAGCGAGTCAACCCTCGGAGGTTGAAAGAGGTTGCCGGAGGTTACGCGAAAGTCAAAGGTCAGCGACCTTTGACCTGACAAGTACAGTGCGACAGCAAGGACACACAACCGACTCGTTACAGAGCGGTTGCCCGAGTCGTCACTGTATCGAACCGCAACAGCAACAGTAAAGTAGTTACAACTGCATCCTTTCATATTCCTTGTACTCATATATAAATGCTTGTATCTCTTTGCTTTAATCAACTTACTTTGCCCTCACATACCAGCGCAAGGTGGTTCACAAGTTCTTCATTAACGCTTCCGCTATTACAATTGTCCTACCCCGAATTTACCCCTGCAAAGATCCTAAGGGCTATTTCTCAGCC